GGTATAGAACTCCCTATGAGCAGGAAGGCTAAATTGGAGGCCTTCACAGCACCCTTTCTTTTTCCACTGCCCAGAAAGCAGTACATCTTCACAGTATTTAACCAAAAGTAGGCACTCTTAAAAGTAAATTATCAGTTATGTAGGATGCATTTTAGTTTGATGACGTTCTCAGGTCAACTGCTGTTAATATTCACCATTGCAAGTCTTGGCCAATGAATCCAACATCAGTTCTCCCTGATATTGTGCAGGTGATCTCTGAGCAAGAGAATGATGTGAAATTATACAGCTTATTCAAATTCTGTAGCACGTACTTAAATTTACAGCATAACCAGAAACTCCTGTGTAGGCCAAAAAAAACCACCATCAGAGATCAAGCATCCCCAGGAAACACTGAAATGGAGAAAACCCAAGATTACTCTCAAACCCGCAAACTAGAGAGGAAGTGGGGAAAGTAAGGGACTTTTCTTGTGCCTACAGTTGTACTAACAGTAGGAGAAAAATATTCAAGAGGAGTAAAATTTGCATGGATACTTCTTTTTCTAGTGTATATCTAGGGGAAAAAAAAGATCACTAAGAACAACATGATACTGATTTCTAATCAAATTGTTATATCTCCCTTCCTGCTTCTCTCCTTCTCTCTTCTTTTAACTTATCACTCACACAGGTTTTCTACAGAAAACAGGACAAAAACAGTGCAACAGGCTGCCCTGCATGCAGTGGAAAAGAAACAAATGGACTTCATCCAAGCCAGAGCAGAACTGGAAACAAACACCACCAGTCCCACTGGCAAAGCAATGAATGATTCAGAAGAGAGCAAGCAAAAGAAAAACTAAAGGGGAAAACACTGTGCGTTCTGTTGAAATGTCTTGAGCGCTGAGAAGCATGAGATGAGGAAGAGATGTGATCGTGATGGTGAGCAGGGGGAAACTGAAACAAGAAACAGAAGGCATGAGGTTGGAGTCTGTGCAATCAGAAGTGCCTGAGGGGCGGTGAAGGACTGAGCCAAAAGACAGAAGTGGCAGGTAATACCGTGGAGTCTGAAGCTGCATGTAAGGAGTTGGTGACATCGGGAGCAGGTTTTGAGTGCTAAGGGCATCACTCCAGAGAGTCTGCCACTGTGTTTCTGAAGGTGTGGTGAGGCTATGGAGGTTGGATGGACCCTCCTCCAGGAGAGGTTGTGTGAAGCAGCAGGGACCGAACTAGAGGCTGGGGGTCAGAAGAGTGATGGGTGTGTTAATGAAAATGTGATGTTTGGCAGTGTGCCCTTGGAGAATGACAAGCTGTGCAGAGGGAAGTTGTGAAATGAGCAGCAGGCGTTATAGAAGGTGACTGACAATTTCTCAACCTGTGTTCCCCAGAGCAGTAGTAAGGCGTTTGCTGCACGGACTGAAAGTGCAGTATTTTGAGGATTCAAATGGGAAATGAAGCACTGGTGCATAAGGCTAAGTATGATTTTGGACAGACAGTTCTTGCTTTCATAGTTTGTCAGACTCGATGGAGAAGGGAGAATTGGTAAAAAAAATCATTTCCAAAGCCATGTCAGTGACAGGTTCCGTGCAGAGGGAAAGGGGAAGAAGTTCATATCTAAGTAACCACACACAACTAACAAGATGTTTCCCCAAGAGAATGATTGGCTGGTTCTCAGCAGATTGAACAGACACGGCTTTTTAGGCAGTGTTTAAAGAGCCCAGTGCTGCAGTGCAGACATGAGCGGTAACACGAGTGTTGCATCTGGACCACACGGCATAGAATTCAGGTTGTAATTTTCCCTGGCACCAGGGAATTTTCCCACACCAGGTGGCTGCTGCAAACCAGTCACCGAAGTTCCAAAGAATCTACAAAAAGGTGAGAAATTCCTAAATTTCTCCTTTGCCCTTGTCTAAATTTGTCTTTGCCCTTGCGCTCTGTCTGATGCTTTTTATCATGCTTCTGGAGAAGTGGTAATGAGAAGGGAGGGGAAAAAATGGCAGAGAGGAAATCAAACGTTTCCCCTCTCCTGCTGGTTAGAAACTGACTGTAGGTGTGTGATTGTCTTCGTTATTTTCACAATGGGAAAAGCCTCATTCTGGGAACACCTTTCCATGAACAAGTGCTATCATATTGCTATAAATGCATCTCTGTAAAAGAAGAGGCTCTATTCAAAGACATTAGCAGCTTTCATCTTAGATGATCACTTAAGATTAGCAGAGAAAACACAAGTGCATAACTTTGTGTTCTTGGTCTTTGCGGTATCCTTCCTGACTGACATCTGCCACAAGACCTGCATGCTGCTCAGCACGTAAACCACAGGCAGGATGCCTAATCCCAAGAAAGAAAAAGATCACCTAGACTCTGCTAGCTGTTGTTTGATTCAGGCTTCCATTAACAAATTACACAGAATAGAATAGAGATGTGAGAACTGTAAGTGACTTTTTGGATGTTCTTTCCCACAGTCAAAGAAGGATGTCTTAATTTCCATAACAGCAGAGTGCAAAATTACTGATGTTTTTTCATCTGGAGATAGAGAGGAAATCCACGATGTTAGGAGGCCACGTCTTTTCCATTTGCATGCTATGGATGACCGGGGAGGGGGCAGCTTTGGTAGTGCTGCTGGTCAGGCAGTTTGTGCCCTCTCCAGGTAAGGAAAGCAGATTTCTTTCTCAGGGGTGTTCCACACGGGGCTGACAGACCTGCTGCAAAACGCACTGTGCTAAAACAGAGGTTCTGTGCTTTAGATTGTGCTTTTTGTTTTCCACAACCCCTTTCAGTGCATACTTAAACTCTGTCTTCAGAGACCATGGATCTCTAAAGTCCTCCCACTGGAAGCACAGGATGTCATACACATAGATGAGGATGGCAATATCCAGCGTCCTGCAGAAGAACACTGTGCACTGCCTGCTTCCCTGCTTCTAGAAAGCACTAAAGGTTTCAAATCCTGCAAGCTGTGGCAAAGATCAGCCCCCTTTGGCTGTCTTGTGCACACACTGAGCCCCTCATTGAAGGTGGCACTCTGCGTTTGCTGTCAGCAAAGATAGGCAGCTGACTGCATGACTCCCCAAGACACCTATCTTGAGACTACATACATGACTCCTGGAGGTGTTTATCAACCTCTATTAATTCAAATGGAAAATTTAGGGGTTGTTTTAAATGAGATATTTGTATTTCTAATAGAGAATGCTAGGTGTAATGGCCCCAGCAGAAATCCCAACCAAGCATTGCTGGTGTTTGTGCCTGCTACAGAATAATGCAGCGAGATTGTGTCCTCTACCCAGGCCATCAGCTGGGTGAAGAATCCTTCTGCAGCATGCATTTATCTCACCTCTGTTCTCCACACAGTACTGAAGGCAATGTGTCTGGAGTGGTAAGATGAAACGAAAATGATTTTGTTCATCAATCACACTTTGCCTGTGTAGGTAGTGTGCAAGGTGGCATTTTACAAAGAGGGAAGAGGCCGTTTGTGACAGTCCAGTGATTCACTTTTTCCCGAACCTCACCACTTTGATTTGTTCCTCTCTTGCTGCTGTCTTTCAATGCACTTCTCCACCTTCCTGTGTCTGATTTAAGAGCTGGTGAAGATAAAGAAAAAAAGCTGCAATATTTGGGTTGGGAGTTGGTTTGGTTTGGTTTGTCGGTTTTGGTGCTTTTGGTGTTTTGCAAGATTTTCATTCAGATCCCAGTGTCATGGGGGAAGGAGTAGGGTGAACAGCCCCAAGGAATGGGGTGAAATAAATTGTTAAGCCATAATCTCAATTTGAGCTGGCACAGAAAACCAACGACCTCCTGGGATGCATCAAAATCAGCATGCCCTGCAGGGGGAGGGATTCTCCCTCTCTGACCTCTCTGACAGTGCTGCCAGGGCACTGTGTTCAGCACTGGGCCCTCAGCTGGACCAAGGTCTTGGGCCAAGTCCAGAGGAGGGCCACGAGGATGCTCAGAGTGCTGGAGCACCTATCCTATGGAGACAGGCTGAGGAAGAGCAAGGCTTGTTCAACCTGAAGAGAAGACTCCGGGGAGACCTTGCTGCTGCCTTCCAGTATTTCTTATAAGTAGCTTATAAGCAGGAGAAGGACTGACTTTTCACATGGGCAGATGGTGATAGGACAAAGGGGAATTGTTCTAAACTAAAAGATAGGAAATTTATGTTAGATGTGAGAAATCCTTAGCACAGAGGGTGGTGAGGCCCTGGCACAGAATGCACAGAGAGATTGTGTATGCCCCATCCCTGGAGGTGCCCAAGGCCAGGCTGGATGGTGCCTTGCACAGCCTAAGCTGGTGGGGTGCAGCCAGCCCATGGGCAGGGGTTGCAGCTGGGGGGGCTTTGAGGTCCCTTCCAACCCAACCATTCTGTGGTTCTGTGATTCTACGAATTCCTGTGAGTGTCACAGTGTCCTGTGAGGGTCAGGTGCTTTGTCCCATGTATGGTTCTTACCATTTCTCTAAGAAAATTAAAGGCTGACTCTGTCAGGCCGAACTGCTGATTGTTGATACCCACAGCCCAAGGGATCAAACCTGTTACAATGAACTACACCTTGTTAAAATCAGAATCAGTCATCTACAATATAGTAGTCTCTACCATGTTTTTTGTGCATTATGCATAGGGCAAACCTCAATGAGCTGTAACACTGCTTGAAGTTGTATATAGACTGCCTGCAACTTTTACACACTTCTGACAAAACTTATCTCACCTAATCCTACCGGCATGATGCTAAGACTCTTGTGCCATATTTCTGAACACTGGGTTCTTCTTTTACTCAGGCAACAAAAAGAGGTACTTTTCAGGCACGATTAACCTGAGATGCTCTTGCTCTTTTTAAAAATGCATGTTTTCCACTGTAAAAAGGCTTCAGAATTGAATTAAAACAAAGGAGTGACAAACATGTGGTTTAAATTTTCCTACATGCTGTATAGAATTTGGCCTGAAATACAACATTTTGAGAAGTAAAACTCTGCCCTCTCTCCCTCTGCCATCTAGCTCTGGCTACAGAGAACTGGGATGAATCCAGAAACACCATCATGTTATCATGAGGGAAACTCACGAGTTACCACCTCTTTCCTCTCTGCCCGCAGGTGTGTGCAAGGTCACCCAACATGAGTACTTCGACTCCACCATTCTTCCTCCCAGACACAGACAACCAGGTCCAAGGAGCTAATCACAGCAGCGCTGCAGGAAAGCCAGAGCCATCATATGCCGTTCTCAAGTTCATGGAGAGCTTCTGCCTCATCAGTGCCACCTGTGGGATGGTGGGAAATGGCGTGGTTCTATGGTACCTTGGCTTCTGCATCCGCAGAAACCACTTCACTGTCTACATCCTAAACCTGGCTGCCGCTGACTTTGGCTATCTCCTCTGCATCGCCATCGAGAGCATCCAGTATCTGATGCAGTTCAACGTAGGAGTGCAGTTTGGGATATTCCTCTTCCTGGATCTTTTCATGTACGGGACCGGCTTGTATCTCCTGACAGCCATCAGCATCGAAAGGTGCCTCTCCGTCCTCTGCCCAATCTGGTGCCGAAGCCACCGCCCAAAGCACTTGTCTGCCATCATCTCCGGCTCGCTCTGGGGCCTTTCTCTGTTACTGAACATGGCTGGCTATATTCTGTGCTCCATCCGCCCCTCTGGCAGCTGCTGGATGCTGCTCATTGCCATTGGCGTCTTGGATTTCCTGGTCTGCACACCCCTCATGGTGTTCTTCAGCCTGACCCTCTTCCTCAGAGTCAAGTGCAGCTCCCAGAACTTCCGAACAGGACGGCTCTTCACCGTCATCATGCTCACCGTGCTCTTCTTCCTCATTTTTGCCGTGCCTCTCAGTGTCCTCATCCTCTTTGACTTCTTGGGCTACAAATTCCTCTATTCCCCCGAGATCGGCTTTGTGCTGTCCTGTGTGAACAGCACTCTCAACCCTGTCATTTACTTCCTTGTGGGGAGCTACAGGGACCGGAGGATCAAGTTCACCCTCAGGCTGGCGTTCCAAAGGGCCTTTGAAGATTCGGCAGATGACAAAGAGGAACGGGATACCCGAGACACAATAACTATGTCCTCCTAACACCCTTCTGTGCCAACTCAGCAGTAGTGCTCTGGAGATGGGAGGTGATTGCTCACAGGGCTGAAGAACTCTGAGGTACTGCTGGAGGTCCGTCCCACCCAACCTTAGCAGTCTCCGTTCTGAATACCTGCCCTCTCACCAGTTACTTGAAGCTCTGCCCACATTAGGACTGCATTTCTTCCCAGCAGCTATTAAATGATAAGGCGAAATGCCTTGGTGGCTGCGTTTCATCACAGGAATCCTGCTCAGTTTACCACTCAATATTAAGTTCTGTTTCTCAGAGCATTAATATTCAGTCACTTTTTTTACACAGATCTCTGAAGATGAGGGCGGATCTATGATCTTCCTGTTGAAATCAGATAAGAGATTCCCAGAAGAGAGTCCAACTCCATTAATTTTAACTATTTGCACATCAGCAACATATGCAATCTTTGTGGCTCGTACGGTGAATGATTCTTTGCTTTGTAATGTGAGCATTTCAAATAGTGAAATGCTTCATGTTCTGGAAGTCTCTGTTAATTAGTTAATAGTTATTAGTTAATAGGAGCGTTTCACACTGTGGGTGTAATGTAGTAGAAAAGAGCTCCATCCCCTTCCAATTTGCCTTGCAACTCCATGCACTGTGTTGCATGCACTGTTTTCTTGCATTTCAAGTAAATACAGAGTCAGAGTTGTGTATCATTTTAGCTTTCTCCAACACAGCACAAAAGTACCCGCATTTAACTGCAGCAAGAATTTGTTATTTCTTCCCTTCCCAGACGATAAGAACATGGCATCCAACACGTCTTGACCTACTGGAAGAAATAAGTTCAAAGAAAAGAAAAAAAATAATAAAACAGAAAATGGAAGATAAGTACATATCAGAAATTTGCAAGAAATTCTTTTCAGCCCCAATGACTGGACACATAAGATGTGATTGTTTGAAATGTTAGACTATTACTCCACACAAGATTTGCTCTTTTAACCTAACTCAATAGAATAAGATAATACAAGACATTTTCTATGAGAAAGCTTGCTGATTTCCTCTTCGTACTCTCATCTGCAATTAGTTTCTTAAGGGAAGCTGCATTCTTCTACTGTCTATTCCCTTTTCTCTGTTCATTTGCCTTTTTTTTAAACACTGAAAAAATACCACTTAAAAATAGTGGTCACCCCAGCATCTGTGGTTGCTTTTTACTTCCTCTTTACAGTTTTTGAAAGCTGAAAAATTGAGTCTCATTTCTATTATTCTTTAATTTTTAATGAGATTTTTCTGCATCATACACATAGTTGATTCAGACTAGGCCTATGTCATCAGTTGTTTTTAGTGAGATTTTCTTTGCTTCTGGCTTCTACTGATGGGGGGAAGAGACCGTCCATTTATCTGAAAGCATGTTAAAATGTATTCTTTTTAATATCTGTAATGATTTTATCACTGGGAGAGAAGAGGCTCAGCTCATTTCCTTTATTATTAAAAATGTTTCAAGGCTTTTTTTTTTTTTTTTTTTTAATGGAAAACAAGCTCTATTAAAAACTAAATGTTTATCTTCTCAGAAGAAGCCATCAATTGATGAAAACCTATGGAACGTACACTGTGAAAAACTTTCCATCCTGGTTGTCCCTACATGTACCCATCACGAAGACAAGCGCCGTGCAGAGCAAACACACCTTCTGGCTTTTCCCTTGGATGTTTAAAAGGTGACGCTTGTATGTAAATGACAACTGCAGGCACCCATGTGTGATGTGAGACAGGCATTCTCAGAGGTGGCATCTGCAGATATTTGCAGTGCTTTCTTGTGGTCCAGAAGTCAGCAATGAAATGGACATCCTTGGCAGGATTTTCCACCCTGAACTAGCACAGTGGAAAGCATAACAGTGCCACAGGAAGGAAGGGGAAGCAGGCAGGGAGAAGGCTGTGTTGTGCTGTTGGAAGGAAGAGAGTCAGAATCAGCTAACTGGGAGTGGGAGGAGAGGCAATACCTCTAGACAGTTTTCTTTTGCACTGTTTAGGGGTTTCGTAAGCTCACAGCTAAGTGACGTCTCACAACCCACAGAGCAACTTGGGATCAGATGAAAAGGAGAGCAGGGGAGGTAAAACAGTGCAAACAGGCTTGCTGGAGAGAACGTTTCAAAAACCCCACCTCAGGCCCTACAAGTTGTATGCTTTAAAAGCTTAGCATGGTCACTCAGCCCTAACCAGACTGGAGACAGCATTTCAAAGTGTCTGCAGGCAAGAAGTCATGTATAAAAGAATTGTCAGCTTGACACCAAACTCTGCTTGATTTTAACTAATAGAGATGACAAAGTCAAGTAATGACATCACAAAATGTGGGTCAGATCTGCTCAAAGGCGATCACTGAACGTGAAAGAGGAGGAAGACCATTGCTTCCTCGTAGTATGGCACCTGGAGGGTGACCTCTCCCTCTGGGGCCAACACCTATCCATCCCACAACTTGCACAGACACGTTGTTAGAACTCTCTCTTCCTCACCCCATCGGGATGAGCCATTGGTTTTTGTGGGGTGCAGTGAAATTACTGGGTCAAACCCTGAGCCAGTGGTTGAGCACCAGGTGAAAAGGCCTGGCTAAGCCAGGGAGCTCAGGTGCAAACAATGCACCTGAGTGACTGGAGGACTGAAAGCCTGGATCCACCCCTCCTCACCTTCATTTAAGGGCTGGCAGTGGAGGGAGTAGCATCTCTCTGCATAGAGATTGTATTTCTCTTGAGCTATCACTGGTTGTTGGAAGGGGTGAGCCAATCTTCCTTCTTTATTACCTGTTATTGCTCTGTGGTGCCTGTGTCTCATTTGAAGGCACTGTCATCACCTTCTTTTGCTGTACATGGTGTCAGTGACAGTATGTGGGGTGGGACGCTGCACAGGAAGTGCATTGTGGAGGAAAAGTTGGGAAAATGTATACTTTCTCTTAGATAATCTAATCCCTGTCAAATCTGATTTCAGAAGAAAGACAAAATGAAACAAATTCCATTCCTCTGAGAATTTCTTCTGTCTCTTCTTGGCTGCTTGTTTATGCATCCCTAGCTTAAGAGCATTTGGCCCTAGTACAAGTGCATAGAAAGCCTTCCAAAGATTCGAGATGTATACCAGCACAGAGCTAGTGATGGAATTTCTGGGAGGTGATTTGCTCCCCACCTGATCTAAGAGCAACCAGAGCAGAAACGTGGCTTTGCCTCATGACATAGAAGAACCCCTTTCTCAGTTGCTGCTGACTTCACCCCATCCTATTCCACGCAGTAAACACATTCCTTCCTGTCAGAACTTGCTCTGCTGTGCTGGTACTAAAGAACACACATTGAAACCTGAAGATAGAAACATCTTCACCTTCCCAAAAATCCAATGGGATAAATTAGAAACTAAGTGGAAGACAGCCTGAAGCAAATTACAGATGCCAGATTCTTTGAGAGCTCAATTCAGCTGCACAGGTAAGCACTTGAGGGCTAAGTTGACCAATTCCTCACCATCTACATGGCACCATCTACATCACCATCTGGTGCTCTGTCTCCCTGTTGTACCATTTTCTGTCTCCTCTCATAGGCATACATGCACGCACAGTCACTGTGCAGCCAAGCCTGCCCATCTCCTATAATTCTAAGTAGCAACATTCCACTTACTTTTCTTTCTTTTCTGTTAGGTTGTCTTATTCTTTTTCCTCTGCACTTATTCCACACTTGGCTGATTCCCATCTCTCCAAATTCTTGCATGATTTTGTCCTCTCCTCAGCATCTTACGTCATGCTAGCTGTTAAGTATATTCCCCCCAAAAGCCAGCTGTCCAAGGCCGTGAAGCCTGGGAATGACCAACATGCCAAGCCTCTTCATGCCCTCTTCTTAGATGAGTCTGCTGCCTTCCTGGGGGCCAGGTGAGGAACATCACCAGGAAACTACCTAGCCTAGTAAAGCCAGCAGACCACGTCCCCTTACTGCTTTTCCATATAGGGAGAGATGTGGATCAAGGGCTATCAAAAGGGACTTCATGGCCTTGGAATGACAGCTGAAGGAGTTTAATGCGTAGATCATCCATTCTTCTCTGCCTCCTGTGTTGGGTAAGGAAATGGAAACCAATTGAAGGACCTTATCTTTAAATTCCTGGCTTCATGGCTGGTGCCATCATAAGAACTCTGGTATTCTTGATAACCAAATGGCCTATGTGGCACCAGGAATGCTCAACATTGCACAACATGTGGGAGAGGAAATAATGTGTAAATGACTGTCAAAGGCAGCACTAAGGATAAGGCAAATCATAATGAGAAGACACAAAGGGAAGAATGAAAACAAGAGATGAAGACTGAGCCAGGTGAATAATTTTTTTATATTAGATACAGGAAAAACCTTCAAGTCACTGTGGGGTGAAAAATGTCAGAAAAGTGAATTTTCTTCTATAGCAGCTGATTCCAGCTATGTTAGTCTAGTATTTAATAGCTGTTCTAGATCTCTGGAGTGAATAATACAAGGTCCAGAGATACTTTCTCTTTATACTTAGATTCAATTAGGCAGATATAGATGCTCCCAGAGAACCACAAACACTTATTTATTGACCAAAGGGAACAAGAATTTATTATACTGGGATGAGGGGATGGGGACCCTCCATCTGCTTGCAAGGGTTCAGCATCTCCAGGCCCTGCTGCTCCTATCCAACCCCTGCCTGGGCATTTCTGCTCCCCAGTACATGGCATCTGCATCACTGGAAGTCTTTGTAGGAGCCTGAGATGATGGCCACAAAGCTGAGTGTGTCACCATAGACAGATGTTGGGTAAAAATTACTGCAAATAGAAGTTAAGCAGGTGGAAAAGCCCTGAGCACCCGCCACGTGATGCCTGACAAGTGACTGTGGTGGTGGCATCGGTATAGACTTAGAAGAGCACAGAAAAACATCACTCCACACTGCTTTCAGGAGATACACGCTGCTAAAGGGACAAAAGAGAAGCATGAGATGAACTGTAGTGAAAATCAAATCTGGGAAGTTCAAACAAACAAAAAATCTCGCACTACAAATGGTAAGCAAAACAAAAGAGCATCGGATCAAAGGCGGCGATGGCCAGAGTCAGGATACAGACAGTGAAGGTGCTGTTCTTTGCATGAAAGATCAGGAGCCACAAGGCCATCAAATTCATCACCAAGCCACAGAGCCAAGCACCCCACCTGAACAGAGACAAGTCAACCAGCAAAGCTTGTCATTCATCAGAAGAGCTGCTCCCTACCCCTGTCTCTCACAGCATCCAAGGAATCAGTGAAAAGAGAGGAGTCTGTTGAGGTGGTCTCTGCCATGGGGAAGCTGCTGCTCTGGTTGGCTGTTTCATCCCATTCCCACCGCCTCCTATGAGAAACAAGGAAGAAAAGACAGATGAAAGGTATTGGTGGTCCCAACACTTGCCATCTCTGCCCGCAGCTCCTCAGTATCACTCCTTCCGTTTTCTTTCCCCTACCCACAGCTTTGCCTTGCTGGGTTCTACTGCCTGTACCTGGTGCTGGGCCAGGAGACCCCCCACACTGAGAACAGCAGCACGTGGATGTATGACAGCATCAGGGTTTCACCCACTGCCTCTTATCGAATGGCCCTGGCAGGTCACTTCACAGATTGCATCTGAAGGTTGGAAAGGGCTGAAAATGGGGTTTTACCTATTAGAGATTCTTGTCTCACCAAATCTTATTCATCTGTACCATGGGGACAATTCACTGGGGTTTTTTTCTCCTTTCACATGCTCTGTTTCTCCCTCTCTTCTTCCTCATCTCTCTCTCTCCTTCTCTCTCCCTCCCTTCCATCCCCTAAATTGTTACCCCATGTCTTCTTCTCTACCCCGCTTCTCTACCCTTGTTTCCCACTCTGATCCATTGATTTGCCCATTTGTGCAATCCTTTTCGAAGAACCCTTCCTTGCTTGAACAGCAGAGATGTCCTGCGATCCCCCACGGATTACATGCCATACTCTCCCTCAGCGGATTGTCGCAAAGACCACGAAACTCACTTGCTGACCACAAGGAATCAGAGTTTATTCACAGGACCAGGGCAAGAAGAGTCCTTCCCTCGGGGAATACAGCCCATACACGGCAGAGCCTGGCTGGGCAGCACTGGCAGCACCTTGCCACACACCCTCCCATCAAGCTCCAGCTGTGTCACCCCAGCAGCCCACAGACTGCCAGTGAGGCTCTGCATCTCCAGGCCTCCTCACCAGCAGTGTTTCACACCGTGGTCTCAGCCACTCAGTCCTCAGGTGCAGGGCTCCCCTCCTCGCTGGTCGCTTTCTCTTCAAACACTCAGCACAGGGCAGCGGTCACTGAGCACGGGGAGCAACGCTGCCAGCAGCGGCCCACCAGGAAGTAAATGACAGGATTGATGCTGCTGTTCAGCATCGCCAGCAGCAGAGAGATGCCTTTGGGAAACAATTGCAGTCTATCTGCAAGGTTCCACACTGAAAGGAATAATGAAAACGAAGAAAAAGATCACGTTGATCAGAACAGCAATATCGTTTCCCTGGGTGCCATCTCCAAAAATTGCACTGGAGTTTGATGAACAGGGACAGGTTGGAAATCAACATCATCAATGAAAAAGCCACACATATTGCAACAGATACAGCTCCAAACGTTTTCATGTGTTCTTCACCAAAGTTAAAGCTAAGATACATGAAGGAAACCAAAGACCCAGTGAAAGACCACAGCAGCCCACTCACGATGCCTGCCAAGTGCTTTGGCTGACGGCATCGATACCAAATGGGAAGAGGACAGAGACACACCGCTCCACACTGATGGCAGTAAGGAGACCCAGGCTGCCGAGATCAAAGTGGCGTAAAAATCCAACTGCAGTGTAAATTTTCATGTAGGAAAAAAATGTCGTAAAAGAGAGAATAGATGGTTAAGCTCAAAGCTAACAACATGAGCAGAGCAAAGAGGAGGAGCAGAGAGAAGTCAGCAGTGGCCAGGTTTAGAGTGTAAACAGTGGGTTCTTCTTCACATGAAAGAACAGGAGTCGCATGACTATCGTGTTATCCACAAGTCCACAGAAAGAAATCTCCATACAGACACCTGAATTGACCTCATATTCATAATTCAGCGTGAAGCATTCTGACGTGGTGTTTTCACAAGAGTCTGTGTACCCAGAAATGGTGTAGTTCAGCACAAAGCATGCTGAGGTGGTCTCTGCCGTGGTGAAGCTCCTGCTCTGGGGCATGCCTCATCCCTCTCCCGCCACCTCCTATGGAAGATGAGAAAAGGGAGGCAAGTGAGGGGCATCGGAGCTCCCAACACTCGCCATCTCTGCTCACGTTCCTTCATCAGCCCCAGGCCAGGCTGGGCTGGACCCCAACCCCGCCATGCCTTGGACAGCCTCCAACTCCATCCCTGGCCAGGCAGCATCTCCCACCTGCCCAAGCCCAGCCTCCAACTCACAGCTCATCACAGGGCCAGGTCTGCCAAGCAATAAGAGCTGCCAGAACACCCCACTTTACTTCATCCTGCAGAGCAGACCTGTGCCGAGAGGCTATGTCAGGAGGCTCACCCACCTCACAAACTCATCACACTGCTGTCACCCCCTTCCTTTTCCTCTTCCTATTCACAGCTTTGCCTTGCCATGTGGGGATTGCTGGTTGTTGGTGTGTGCACCCACTGGTGGAAGACTTTCTCCTGCTTTCTTAGGGGCAGAGTTTTGGCATAATTTCTGGTGTGTACTGCAGTTAGATATAGTCACAAAACAACAGAAGAAAAGTCCTGCTGAGCCAAGGGCAAGCAGAGTCTTCTGCTTGGAGGTTAAGGAAGAGGAGCATAGTGCCAAGGACAGACAATGCAGGCTGGGCTGTCCGAGCAGAGAGTGAGAGGTCTGTGAAAGACACGTCCCAGCCCAGGAAGATCTAGGGCTGGATTTGCAGATCAGTGTGTTACATGCCAGAACAGTGGACTATGCTGAACATCACAGCACAGTAACTTGTCCAATTTGAGGCCCTCTGATTCCCCCTTCCATGGTCCTGAAGGCAGCAGCTGGCCTTTATCCTGACCCCTTCCATTCACCCCGACTACAGGGCCATGAGCTTCAGGTAGTGTTAGGCCAGAGTACCCAGGCTTTGGCTGAGCTGTGAAAGAGCTGTACCTGCCTGAACCCCCACCTCCACCTCCATTCACTGTCTTGCTCTAGCCTCGTTTCAAGTCTACCTGTGGTCTCAGGACCAGCTCTCCTCGGAGAGACTCTGGACCAGGTTCTTTATTGTGTGTTCAGTATGTGAAATCAGAAGATCTCCTTGGAGGATCTCATTACTGGGGATGACAAACAGGCAATAACTCTCAAAAAAAGGATTCAGAAGATGGAAAACGCATGAGAGAGAATATAAACCATGAGAACGACAATGCGAAAGGATGAGACTGTGAGAGAGAAGCCATTTAAATGAATAAAAGCACAGTTGCAGCATGGTGTACCCAACAAAACGTAATCTCATGCATGTTAAGAGCACAATTAGATGCATGGGCAAAGCCCCGGTGCTATTATATATTTGAACACTAGTGATTTCTCAAAGCAAGCTGAGACAAGAGCAGGCCTCTGCCTGCTTGGCTGCTGCTGAGAAGGTTCTGCTGGCATCCCAGGTGCAGGGTGTGGGTGTGATGGAGCCTGGGGGCCAGGAAAAGGGCTGGTATGGCTGGGAGTGGTTCCACACCTGTGGAACGATGAGTAGAAGGAGCATTATGGCCACAGGATGCTAGAGACTTCTGAGGGCTTTCTGCTATTTTGTCCCTGCTGTTAATGTTCCTTGCTCAGCTCACTTTCACCGTTCCACCTTCCTCTTGCCAGGCCTCATCCCCACCATCCCCTTGGAGAAACAGGCTGTAAAGCTACAGCAAAGTAGCAGATGAGAGCTGGGGAATTCTTCCATCACCACCTGTGCACAGCAGAACACTGAATGCCACAGGAAGATGAAGGTGGAGGACATAATGGGATTGCTGGAGGTGCCCAAGGCTAGGCTGGACGGGGCCCTGGGCAGCCTGAGCTGGTGGGGGGCAACCAGTGCATGGCAGGAGTTGGGGTTGGGGGGCAGCTTGTCGCAGTTTTCTCTGTTGACAACCAGGTTTCATAAGAAGCAACCTAAATCATTATCTGACTTGAAATGAACTTCTACCAGAACTCTGGCTATCTGCTTTCTTTAAGGCAACTTTAACAGCCTTTGTTTTGTAGCAGTAAAGTAATGTTCTTTTAGTACACCTTATAATTCCCATGGTTTTGTTCCTAAAGTAAGGCAAAGGGAATACACAAGTAACTCAGCCATGATTTCAGTGCCACATTAAAAGATCCCATGGAGAAGTCACTTCAGCAGCCTTCATGCCCCAGGCTGGGCAGAGTTGTGTCCCTCTTAGGCATTAGGAAGGGTGCTGCTGGATGCCATTCCCAGAGGATGGAGATATGGGAATGGCATAGGGGAAGGATATGTCAGAGGGAAGAGATATGTCAGCGTTCCTGCTGTGACACAGTGCCTGCTTCTCCTGCCCTGCTTCTGTCATTACAAATAAACCTCCATCAACTGTAGGCACAGCTCCTTGCCCTGACAGCAAAAGAAGCTGTGTACCTTTACCAGAACAGAGAACAAGGTGACAGTAATCAGTCAGAAGTATATATATATACTTATATACATATATGTATATATACAGATATATATATATATATATGTAGCTTGTTGCCTAAGGTGCCTACTAGTGGGAAAAAGAACAAATAAAAACAGGAGACATCGTTCAGAAAGTTTTGAATGCAGCTAAACAGGTTTGATTTGCAAATCAAAAATCCTGCTGGCCTTTCCCAGAGTCGTTTTGCATGGATAACATTTTTTAAATCATGATTTCTGTATGAGTTGCTCAAAAAAGCCCTGGTGTTTCCAGATATTTTCAGGCAGTCAGGTGTGGAGATAAGGCATTGTGCTCCAGGAGTGGTTACCTGCCTGGCAGGGTTCCTCGGGGCTGGCAGCAGAGATTGTGTCCCTGTGATGGGAAGAGGGCTCTGCTGCAGAGGGGCACCTGTTTCACTTGGCCTGTCTTTGGATGAGACAAGCCGCGTCCTCAAACACTCATATCTGCATAGCTTGGGGTCTACAGGTCTTACTCACATGCAGAGAGCTTCACAGCTGGTGGCTGCATAAAGAAAGCTTTACTTTGCTCCTGAGCCTCTGCCTGGAGAAGACACAGGATCTACTCTGATGGACCAGGCTTCCCCAGGCATGTGCAACGCACCCCAGCAAACCAATGACATTTTACAAACAGCAAATGCTGTGCAAGTATGTCCCATAAGTAATTTAATGTAATTCAGTAGTGTGGAGTAGGTAATGTAAGTATGTTACATTCTTTTCACACTCTTAGCTGCGAGGAGAGTGTCTTTGCAGGAAAGCAGCTCCAAGGATTTTAAGACATGTTTCTCTTTTCAGCATGTCCACAAAAGCTTTGTCCAAAGAGCTGGAAACATCCCAAAGGAGCCTTCATGCTGCTGGTGTAGAGGTTCTTTTGCCTCACTTGTCTGTTCAAGAGCTGAATGGGAGGTCTCCACACAGTCTTTGCACACACGATGGAGATGCAAGCAGAAGAGTTTTGCCCAGACCCTCATACCCAGCAGCACTCAACCCTTCAGCAGAAGCCCCAAGGCAAAGCACCATGAGGAACTGAGAGCCTCTGTGGCTCTGCTTTAGTAGCCCACAGAGTAGCGCAAGCTCCTTTTGAAACAGAGACAGCTCAGCCCTGCTGGATAGGCCAGATTCAAACCAAAAGATTCCAAGCAAAAGGTTCAAATGGATTAAACATCCATTTCCACTGTGCTTTCTTGGGAAGCTTCACCTACGTTTTCTGGCTCCCTTACCTCTTCAAAAGCTCTCTGGCAAGCAACCCTCACGGAGACTGTGAACTTCTTCATACAGCACCCAGCAAGAAAGTAAAGGACAGGTTTAATACTGCTGTTCATACATGCGAATAGGAGAGAGGTGCCAAAAGCAAGAGCCGAAAAATCAAACAGCCTTAGCAACAGCCAGTAAGCGAAGTCAGCAGTGAAGAAGGGGAAGGAGATGACAGCAAGCAAGACTGCAATGCAGAGCTTCCTCGGCGGATATTGCCATGAGCAGCAGAAGAGCTTAGCAAAGAGGGCTAAACCAGAAAGAATTAGGATAAGCACCGACAAGAGGTAGCTGAAGACAAAGGCAATTAGCATCAGTGGGGAGAAATAGAGGGTCACAGTGAGCAAGAGGGCAAGGGCCCAGAGCAGGGCACACAGGAATGCTGGGAAGCACCAGGAGCTCTGGCAAGGGCAGAGGGGCTGTGGGAGGGCAGACAGGCCGGTCCTGGCACCCAGGGCTGCCATGAGGTAGACACCGGAGATGAAAGCAAAGGTGATGGCCATGTTCAACACTGTCATCACGTCCTGTGAGCCCAGACTGTGACAAAAGCTCTGTGGGCCATAAAATATTATGAGGGCAATGACGATGGAGAACAGGAAGGTGAAGTCGGCCATGGCCAGGTTGAAGATGTAGATGGTGATGAAGTTCCTGCGGACGCGGGTTCTGAGCAGCCAGAGGATGGCCCCGTTGCCCACCAGCCCACAGAGGCAGATGAGCACTGTGACAGGGACTTTGCTCAAAGCACTGGCTTCACAGTGTGTCCAGTCATAGTCGTCCTCATAGGAGCCAGCTTGCCTCAGCAGCCCGTGGTGCCAGGCTCTGCTGTAAGCTATCGTGCTGGGCTGGCTCCAGCAAGCAGGGCTGGTTCTTCCTGCGGTGGGGAGCGGCATGCTCATTGTGAAACCGTGCTGCTCCAGCTTCCTCTCACGCAGCTGGAGGGATGAGAGACAGAGATGTGTTAGAAAATCTGATGACCCCTTGTAGAAGGATTTTCAGCTCGTTGTAACTGTGCCCTACCTTTCACGTGGAGGAGCACAAAGAGAAATGAGAGACAGAAGGGGCGGAAGGGGGTTGAGAGGAGAGGATATGACATTCCTTGCACAGGAGTGCATATGAGGAGAGGAGTGAAAGCAAGGGAGATGCCTTCTTCCTGGCTCTGGATGAGACAGGTCTGAAGGAGGGCAATAGCAAGATGATGGGATTGTCCCTGGAGATGTCAAAGAGAGAGGGGGTTTGGGGGTGGATCTGATATGGACTCTCAGGTGCATGATGTTACAATTGATAATACTCAGTTGCTGGGTTCCTTCAGTAAGTCAACCATGTCTGTATTCCCCTACCACCTTTTACCACCAGATTTATAGCTCCCAATATCCTTCTCCATTCAGATATAATGCAAATTGATCAACCTATTCAAAACCAACGAAGGGAGACACTGATTAGGCTGAAAAAAGTAACCCAGAGAAGTCTGACCTTTCCTGTCGCAGCCTGGAGATCTTCACAGGAGCAGATGTGCTGCAGACTCAGATCATCTTGCCAGCTGTTACACCCACAATGGGATCTTCACACGAGGTTTCCCCAAACTCTCATTTGGAAACTGGACACAAGCACGTCCTGGAGAGCCTGTGCAGCACCCATCAGCATTTTTCTTAGGTCCTTCCACAAAGCATATTTGTCATATTCTCAGGGATTCTCGAAAAAAAGGATAAAAAAGAAAACTATTTCATTGTATTTGATGGCATCAGGGTTCTGGTAATAATCGTCATACAGGAAATGACTAATAGATCTCAGAAGCCAGACCTATGGGAGAAGCGGACTGTCTCTCCATCAGGTTCCTCTTTCATTTTACTTTAAAGCAACCCTGTTCCTAAAATGGCCATATCTTTGAACTGGAGGAGCCTGTTCAGGAGGTGATCTTTAGGATCCTGTGCTACAATCTTGGCATTGCTGCAGAACTTCTGTCTGATTCCAAACTAGGTGTGCCACAACTTCACAGTGACATTTGGCACTTCCAACAGCATTCTGCTGTGTGCACAGGAGCTAACCAAGACTTCCCAGGACAGCAAAGTTCAGTGAGATGAGCCCTGCTCAGGGTGGCTGCAATGCCTGTGAAATTCAGAGAGTTCCTGCTGCACTAGAGAGCGTGCATGGCTTTCTGCTGACATCTCTCCCTCTCTCCCTCCTGGGTGCTGCCTTTGCCTCCCCAGCTACAGAACTCCCTTGCCAAGTAGATCCTTTCAAGTGCAAGCAGATGATCAGAAGGCAGACTCCAAGGAAAGGCTGCATAATGCTGTGCACATCCGGCTCACTGCCCTATATACACACGTGTTCTGCCAAAGAACAGACTGTCAGCCTTTCTGTCTGTCTGTCCTCCGTCCAGCTGACACAGTGCTGATCACAGGCACTTGTTTCTTTGCCTGTCTCCTCTTGCCTCCCCGGATAAACCCTGTGATGGTGTAAAGATTTGGTTGCTGAATGATGCTGCCAGCTCTGGTCAGGCTGAGGGAGATGGGCGTCCTCTGCCAGTGGTGCAGGCAGACACCAAGCCAGATGGAGCTGAAAATGTCCCTTATGTCCCTCTCCGTCCTTTCCTCTGGAATTGTGAGGATGAAGGCAGCGGATGCTCTGCTTCTGTATTTCCTAACCAGCATGTAAAGAGCTGAATTAATGCTGCTGTTGATGGAGGCCAGCAGCAGGCAGATGTCAAATATGAAATCAGTGTAGACAAAGAAGTTGAGGAAGAAGTATACACTAAGTGGGATGGCAAAGACTAGGAAGAAGAAAACAGTGAGGAAGATCACAGAATAGAATCATAGAATAGCTTGGGTTAGAAGGGACCTCAAAGATCATCTTGTTCTAACTTCCATGATAGGTCAGGGTCACCAAGATGACAGCATACGGCCTCTCTTAAGCGGTTCTGCCATGAACTAAACCTAAGCTTAATGGCAGGATCACTCTGTTCCACCATAAAGGGGCCAAAAAAGCAGAAACTGAGAAAACACAAAGTTGCCAGAACAACTCAGCAGCCTTTGGAGTGACCCAAGTCTCACATGAAGTACACAAGCATGGAGAGCACACAGGTGAGGGCCCAGAGCACATTGCACTTGGAGGCAAAGAACACTGACATGCAGAAGAGGAAGCAGGCATCCACAACAGCCATATTCAGGGTGTAGGCAGGAAAGAAATTCCTCTGCATGTGAAAGCTGAGAAGCCAAAGGATGGCCCACACAGGCTGAAGAGCAGTGTGATGCTAGCGATGACATTTGGGGAAAATGGGCTGGAAAGCATCTGATTCCATTGGATCCCATTGTATCCATCCCCACAGTCCCTATAAGTGGTGAGGCCGTGGTGTTAGGATGTGGGTCCCTCCTACTCCTTGCAGTCTCCTCATCTGGGAAAGGGAAGAGATGAAAGGGAAAGCAGTGACTCCCAGTGCTGTGCTCCTCTGGTTATTCAGTCTGTGGGGTTGTGGGGTCTTCAAAAGCCACCAAAACCTGGGCCTGAGCCCCTGCCCTGGCTGGCCCTGCTGGGACAGGAGTTGGGGCAGGTGACCTAGAGGTTCTCTCACTGCTTCTCCTCACTGCTCCACATCCCCAAGGTTCACTGAGGGTCCCCTCCCTATGAACATCCCAAGAGAAGGACCAAGAATGAGGTGCCTGCGCCCCTGCAGGGCTGGTGGGAAAGGCTTGGTGGAGTCACTGTCCCTGGAGGTATTCAAGAAGTGTGGAAATGTGGCACAGAGGGACATGGTGTAGTGGGTATGGCAGGGATGGGTTGGGGTTGGACCTGGGGATGGCAGTGGTCTTTTCTGGCCATAGTAATTCTATGATTCTATGAGTTGTGGGGATGGATTAACAATTGGATATGATGACCTTAGAGGTCTTTTCCAGCATTAATGGTTCTATGATTCCATGATTATATGTCTACCCTGTAGGACTCCAGGTTTGCTTTGCTTCCTTGTTTATAGCAACATGTCCCTGCATCAGAAAGCTCCCAGCCCAGCAGTACCATCGGGCACCTTTCCTTGGACAACCCCACCTTCACGCCTCTGCTAAGAGGCTGACAGCAAGCCCAGGGAGAAACAAAGAGCAGAAAGCAAAGCTGGAGTCTGATGTTTACCGTCTCTTCCACATCCAGAGCCAGCTGGACAAAACTCCAAATCACAGGAACTTATGAATGAACTGAATTTAATTAATCCAAATTCCTCTTGCTGCAATATCCGGTGCACTCTGGGGGTGGCTTCTGCAGGACCTCCATCACTCACACTCCTCCACCTGCAGCAGCACCTGGTTGAGACCATCTCACTGTGAGAACCTGGGACGAAGCTCTGAAGGATTCCAGCAGAGCCATAGCAAGCAGAGACCCTTTCCCCTCGGGCTGCTTAGGTAGCCCAAGTGAAGTTCAAGGATCTTCATGCAGAGCTCTGCTTTGGCTATGTGAGCAGCTGTGCTGCCAAATCTCGCAGCAGTCTCTGTTGCTGTCTCTGAATCTCTCATATCCCTACCCAGATGTTCCTCCCCTGACCACAAGCCCCTCCACCCCGCCCGCTCCCAATTCCCCTCGGCACATTCCCAGCCCCATCTTGGCCGTGGAGGAGCACACAGAGCACAGCGGTGCCAGCAAGAGGCTGGAGGCTTTTCCATGTGCCTGATTCTGGTTTGCTTTATGAGGGCAAAAATGGACATCTGGAGGAAAGCTCCATGTTGGCTGCAAAACCTTACCAATTCCCCCGAGAATTCCCCTTTTCCAAAAGGGAAAAGCTAAATGCCTGCAAGATAAAATGCACTTCCTCCAGCCTACAGCAAAACTTCTTGTGCCTCCAGCTGTCTGAAATTAAGCTCCAGAAATCCTGTCCCTTTTTGTTTTCTTTCAAGAAAAGTCTATGCAGAGAATTCCAACAGAGCACAGCACCAGAGAAGGCATTCTTCTGAGTACCTGTGTCATTAAGGGGCACTATCAATAACCAATGGGATCTGTGAAGTGCTGCTTGGTTGCTGTCAATTGTTAGTGTCTGAATTAGACCGACAACAAACGGTCATTCTTGGTTCCCCTCTGGTGGTGTATTTCTGGAGAGATATTTTCCAACAATCCTCCTGCTCTTCCCAGAAGACCTTCTAAGAAGTGCTCCACCACCCTGCCAGACTCACAGGCATCACCATCACTGCCAGCATCACCAACATTGCCAGCATCACAGCAGTAACAGCCCTATGAGGAATAGTGAAATGTGAAGCAGAAGGAAGGATCTCATAGCTGTCAGTCACAGTGCAGAAAGAAGTGCCTTGAATCAGAAATTCCTGAGGAGCAATTCACAAATGTCTGCTTTCATGGTTTCTGGCAAAAGCCACTTCCTTTGTGGGAAGACACAAAGAAAAAAAAAAAAAGAAAAAAAAAAAAAAGGCCAAGATAAATAAAAACAAGGAAGCAGAGCTCTGACGCAGTGGTGATTACAAAACGTTTCTTGACACTGTCGGGACTCTGCTGTGGCTGGGGGAGCTGGTGTGCATGGCACAGAGGAGCCAAGGTGAACAGCCAAGGAGAAACCAGAGACATTCAAGGGACTGGGGAACGTTCTTCATTGTACGAGTGGCCTGAGGGGATCTGCTTCAGGATACGGCTCCAAAGGGCGCATGAGATGCTGAGACTGACACCAGTCTGCCCAAGCATGGATGGAAAGGCAGCCCTACGCAGCAGCTTCATAAAACTTACAGTTAAGTGCAATGTTTTCCCTCGTCCTTTCCCATTCTCCTTTGCTCGCTCCCTCCCTGCTCTCTCGGGGACCACAAGAACTTCAGGGCTCTTCCTCTGCATTGCAGCAGCCCCTGGCAGTGCCCTGCCCTCTCTCTTCCCTGTGCCTCCGCTCTTCTCCCCACCCATCTCTCAGGGTCCCACTGTTGCCCCGCTCTGCCCACAGCCGGGACCACCTCATGCCATGGAACCCAGCCACGCCACCCCGTCCCCTGCATTGCCGATGGCTGCTGGAGAGAACACGTGTGAGATGGATGTCTTTGATGCGGCTGTGGATGGGGCCACGCTGCTCATCAGCCTGTGTGGGCTGGTGGGTAACGGGGCCGTCTTCTGGTTGCTCAGCTGCCGCATCCGCAGGAACCCCGTCACCGTCTATGTCCTCAACCTGGCCATGGCCGACTTCACCTTCCTGCTCTTCATGCTCACCTACACCCTCCTCAACCTTCTGAAAGACCTCTCCTGCTCCACGCTGCCCATCTTAGTGAAGCACCTCGTATCACTCCTCCTGCTCTCGCTACTTGCCCACAACATGGGCATGTACCTGCTGGCGGCCATCAGCATCGAGAGGTGTGTGTCCATCCTGTGCCCACTCTGGTACCGCTGCCACCGTCCCCAGCACCTGTCAGCCGTGGTGTGTGCCCTGCTCTGGGTCCTCTCCATCACTGTCATTGCCGTGGTGACATCCCTGTGCCTGTCCCACCAGCAAGAGCAGTGCCGCCTGGCACTCATCGCCATGTACATCCTCAACTTCCTCCTTTTTGCCCCATCCATGGTCATTTCCAACGTGATCCTGCTCATTAAAGTGCTGTGCAGCTCCAGGCAGCGCCAGCACAGGAGGCTCTACATTGTTATATTTCTCACAGTCCTCTTCTTCCTCCTCTTTGGAGTCCCCCTCAGTGTCTGGAATTTCATGCAGCATTTCAGCTCAGACCCACTTGGGTATCACCAGGTGGTTTTCCTGCTCGCCTGCATCAACAGCAGCATCAACCCCTTCATCTATTTGCTGGTGGGTGGCAGTAGGAGGCACTGCTCTTTGGCATCCCTCCAGATTGCCTTCCAGAGGGTCTTCGAGGAGACTGGGGTCACTGTGATCTCCGCTTGAGAGCCCACTGTGATTGTGCTGGCCACAGCCCCCATCCTAGCTGCATGCCCACACTCACATGGGCAGGCCTGCGGTCACCTTCCCATGGCTGCATATCAGGATGTGTCTTTGCATGGTCATTATTTTACCCCTATCCCTGTCCCATTCCACTCCTGTTTGTCTGCATTCCATCCCCAAATGTTCCCCCTTCCCATCCCTGTCTCATCCCATTCCTATCCCTGTCTCAGTCCCTGTCCTTGACCTGCCCCCATGTCTGTCCCCATCTTCATCCCCATCTCCACCCCATTCTTGTCCCCATGCTGTCTTGTACTGTCCCATTCCCTCCTCTCCCAGTTCCCTTCCCCATCCCAATACCCGTTCCTTCCCTGCTATCCCACCCTTCCCCACCCAATTCCCCATCCTGTCCCTATCTTCACCCTCGTCTCATTCCATCCTCATCCACATCCCACCCCGCAGCCCTACTTGTACCCATCCCAATTCCTGTCCTACTCAGTCCCATTCTAATCCATGTTCCATCCCATCCCATCCTCATCCCCTTCCCCATCCCGGTCTAATGCCCATCCCATCCCCACCCTCACACCCACCGCAGTCTCACCCCCCCCCCCTTCCACTTCCCACTCTGGTCCCGTTCCGTCCCCGCGTTCTCCAGCCCCGACCGATGCGGAGCGCGGGGCTCTGCTGCCCTCCAGCGTGGAAAGTGTGGAACGCTGCTGCCCTTCAGTTGCTGCTGCAGTCCCGAGGAGTACCGACCGCTTCGCAGCTCTTTGCGGAGGATCTGCCGCCTCCGGGCTCCACTCCGCTGCGGGCATCTCCGGGCCTGCCCCCCCCCAATAAAGCTGCTGCTCTGCCACTGACTCTCATTCTTCTGCATGGCCGGGGGTGGAGGGCGGGTTGGGGTTCTATGGTCAGTGGAGTGGGGACAGGCACGCGGGTGGCTGGCACCACAAATGGGCTGGGGTGTGCACATGGTGTTTGCTGTCAGCAGGAGCAGGCACGGCTGGGGAAGGGCTGCCCAGGGGTTGGGGGACGGGGGCTTAGAACACTGAATGTGTTTCATCCTCTTGCATGTGGGTCAGTCCTTCCCAAAAAGCAGAGAGGCTGGGAGTAGCGCCTCAGGGACATCGCGGCTGCACTATCACGCATCCGAGAGTGCAGCAAGAGAGTGATATACCAGGATACAATGCAGATATTTATTGACCGTGCTCCCCAGGAACACCAACCCCACCCCCTCACCCCCCCAGAATTCTCCTAATGTAAAGCAGTGGAAAGGCTTCAAGGGGCTGAGCTCAGCGTGCGCATCATGGAGTTGTTGCTGCCCACACCATCATCACCCAGCTCCTCAAAGACCCTCTGGAAGGCAACCTGGAGGGATGCCAAAGAGCAGTGCCTCCTGCCGCTACCCACCAACACATAGATGAAGGGGTTGATGCTGCTGTTGATGCAGGCGAGCAGGAAAACCACCTGGTGATACCCAAGTGGGTCTGAGCTGAAATGCTGCATGAAATTCCAGACACTGAGGGGGACTCCAAAGAGGAGGAAGAAGAGGACTGTGAGAAATATAACAATGTAGAGCCTCCTGTGCTGGCGCTGCCTGGAGCTGCACAGCACTTTAATGAGCAGGATCACGTTGGAAATGACCATGGATGGGGCAAAAAGGAGGAAGTTGAGGATGTACATGGCGATGAGTGCCAGGCGGCACTGCTCTTGCTGGTGGGACAGGCACAGGGATGTCACCACGGCAATGACAGTGATGGAGAGGACCCAGAGCAGGGCACACACCACGGCTGACAGGTGCTGGGGACGGTGGCAGCGGTACCAGAGTGGGCACAGGATGGACACACACCTCTCGATGCTGATGGCCGCCAGCAGGTACATGCCCATGTTGTGGGCAAGTAGCGAGAGCAGGAGGAGTGATACGAGGTGCTTCACTAAGATGGGCAGCGTGGAGCAGGAGAGGTCTTTCAGAAGGTTGAGGAGGGTGTAGGTGAGCATGAAGAGCAGGAAGGTGAAGTCGGCCATGGCCAGGTTGAGGACATAGACGGTGACGGGGTTCCTGCGGATGCGGCAGCTGAGCAACCAGAAGACGGCCCCGTTACCCACCAGCCCACACAGGCTGATGAGCAGCGTGGCCCCATCCACAGCCGCATCAAAGACATCCATCTCACACGTGTTCTCTCCAGCAGCCATCGGCAATGCAGGGGACGGGGTGGCGTGGCTGGGTTCCATGGCATGAGGTGGTCCCGGCTGTGGGCAGAGCGGGGCAACAGTGGGAAGGGGCAGCAAGCAGGGTGGGAGCACTGTGGAGGGCAGTGGGGAGCGGGGGGAGCTGCAGGCAGTCTGTGGGCACAAGGCAAGGTGTGGGTTTGCCCCATCCCTACCTTTCCAGGCAGCAGCCTGGGGCCGGTCCTGGCAGGGCTTTTTCGTCTCGATGAGGAGATCTTGGGTCTCCGGGTCCCCACAAGGCTCCCTCTGGATGATAGCTGCTCTCTGGGTACCGCTGCAGGACCGAGTCAGCTTGCAAGGAGTGCTGGGCAGCCCAGCAACAGCAGCTGCAGCACCAAGCCTCTGCACTCAACAAATTTCTGTTGGTCTTGACAGAAATGTTTTGTCTGAGAGAATACCCCTGAGGACAAATACTGCAGCAGCTTCATCTTGCTGTGAAAGAATCTCCGTGCTTTTAGGATTCAACCTGATATCTCATTAAAGTGGCAATTACCACCTTCCTAATTGTTTTATTGCACTGCCATCTCCTCCCCTACTCTTCCCAATGTGTTGGCATCCTTCTGAGATTGTTCATTACTGTCTGCATTTGCCTGCAGCTCACAGGCATGGCACCCCATTGTCACAGGGACGGGGGAACTTTGTTTTGGGTCCAGAACAGGGACACAGGGACACCATGGGAAGCATCTCCTTCCCCAGGGGGTGCCCAGGTGCTGAGCACCTCCTGACCCCAAACCCCTCAGCAGTAGGACAGAGCCGTGGGTGGCACTGGGGAGCACTGGGGCAGGCCCTGAGGAGAGACATAGCTCCCCAGTGCATCACCGGCTGTGACACAGGGTGGCACTGGCAGGGCCGTGAGTCACTCCCTCCCTCCGCCCTGGACTTTGCCTCTTGCGGATGCTCTGGGCAATAAATCTGGGAGCAGGGAGGGAGTGGGAGAGGGGTGAGGGCCGGGCGCAGTGTTCTGGACAGCCCCGTGCCTGTCCCCACATCCCAGCCCACAGCGTCCCATGCAGCCGCTGCCTGAGAGTCAGAGCTCGGCCCTGGGGCCCCCTGAGCCCACGGTCGCTGAGATCAAAGCCGTTGTGGTCGGGGATGGGGGCTGTGGGAAGACATCTCTGCTGATGGTCTTTGCTAGAGGGGACTTCCCCAAGGTGAGGGGCCCAAAGCCGGCCAGCGGCACCAGGATGGGAACTCCAGCCCTGAGGACCTGCCCGTGCCATCTCCTGTCCCTGCCAGGTCTACGTCCCCACAGTGTTCGAGAAGTACACAGCCTCCTTCCGGATCAGAGGCAAGCCTGCCAAGATCCACCTGTGGGACACAGCAGGTGGGACCAGAGGGACTGCCCCACGCTCAGGGTGTCCCCAGCTGGCACCCCCCGGGCTGGGGACAGGTGGGGCTCCTCTGCAAGGAACCTGTGTGTGACGGGTGGCGTCTGCTGGGGCACCGCAGGGCAGGAAGACTACGACAGGCTGCGCCCGCTGTCCTACTCAGACACCAACGTTGTCCTCATATGCTTCGATGTCACCAGCCGCAGCAGCTATGACAACATCCTAACGAAGGTAACGCAGCCCCGCAGCTGCTCCAACCCCACAAAGTGGACATGGAGCCAGGGCTGCTGCCCGCCCCGCTGTCTGTCCCACTGTCTGTCCTTCTTCCTATCACCTGCCTGTCCCATCCCACTGTCAGTCTGTCTCTCTCTCTTTCTGTCCTGCACGTCCCTCTGCTTGTCCCACTCCCCATCTCCTTCCCGCAGTGGTACCCGGAGGTCAACCACTTCTGCAAAGGTGTCCCAGTGCTGCTGGTGGGCTGCAAGACCGACCTGCGGCAGGGCCACCACGAGTCTGTCACCTTCCAGGAGGTCAGTGCCACTGCCTGCCGCGGGAGGGACGCATTCCACGTCCTCCCCCAAGGCTCAGCACCGCTGCCTGCAGGGGGAGGCCATGGCCCGGCAGGTGCAGGCTGCAGCCTACTTGGAGTGCTCAGCGCTGCACCGGGACAATGTCAGGGATGTCTTCATTGAGGCCTGCACCGTCGCGCTCCGTGGCGCCCGTCGGCCCCGCCGCAAGAGGTGGCCCCGCAACGGCTGTGCGCTCTGCTGAGTCCCAGCACCATGAGGCTGGCAGGAGGGCAGCCCCGGTACGCAGGCCACTGGCACCCCCCCGGGGCTGGGAACTGACTTGGGGACCCCTGAGCCCTGCTGGACAGGAACGGATGTATCCCCACGCAGCACCGTTGTGGTGTGGTATTAAAATTCAGTGATCAGCGTGATGTGGTGTTTGTGGGCAGCGCCGGTGCACGGACGGGACGGGACGGGATGGGGATAGGCTGGGAATGGCAGCTCCACCCGAGCACGGATTACACTATACGTGTGTGCGCTCCAGCACGCACGCAGAGGCGCAAACGGGCGCGCGCGCGGCCGGCCACGGGGGCGCGCTCACCCGTAGAAACGTTCCCCGTGCGCATGCGCGGAGCAGTGCCCACGAGGAGGCGTGGCCAGCGCGCCGCCCCGGAGATATGGCCAGTAAGGCGCCCGCGGACGCGCGCATGCGCGCTCTCACCCCTTCTCTCCGGCGAGGCGGGGCTGGAGGAACCGGGCACGGGGCTGCGCACGCGCACGGCGTCGGCCGATGGAGGGGGCGGGGTGGGAGGGGGGCGCGGGGCGGCGCAGGCGCAGTGCGGCGGCCGAGGCAGTGTGTATGTGAGGCTCTGACGGGTTCAAAATGGCGGCGGCGGCTCCTGTGTGAGGAGGGGAAGCGCGTCCCGGGCGGGGAGCGGGCTGGCGGCTGACGGGAGGGTGCGGGCGGCGGGGTGCGGGAAGAGAGCTCGGCGGGCGGCGCGGGGGACGAGGTGGGGGCGAAGGAGGACGTGGTGGCGCCGGGCCGGAGCGGGCCGGGCGCGGGGCCCGCGGAGCGGTTGCGGGCCGGCGGCTGGCGGGGCTGTCAGCGGGGGCGCGGGGGGCGGCGGGTCTGTGGGGCGGCGGCGGCGGCAGCGGCGGGGGGCCCGCGGCGCTCGGAGCCTGACTCGGGGCTTCTCCTCCGTCTGCTGTGTTCGTGCTGTGCCGGCGGCAGGAGAGGACAAAGGCGCAGGAGGGACCTGGTGAGCCACCGGCGGCGGGGCGGGGGGGTCCGGGGGCCGAAAGTTTGGGGGGCGGCGGGCGGCGGTGACAGCTCCGGGGGGTGACAGCCGCGGGCTGTGGGGAGCGGGGACGGAGCGAGGAGCGAGGACGGCTCGGCGGTCCGCTCGTCCCTTCCCGGGGAGCTCCAGGGGGCTGTGGGCTTTGCCGCTTTAGAAGCGGAGGTGGAGGCGCTGCCTGACACCGCTGCGTCACACGGGTCGGGGGCTGAGTGTGGGAGTCCTCCGGGCTGGAGCTGCGCTGTGGGGGCTGTGCAGGGGGCTCGGTGCTCTGCTGCTGGCCTGGGATGCCCCCCGGGCCGGTGGCCGTGTCCTGGGGAGGAGCTGTTTCTGTAACACGCAGCCCTGTTCTGGGGGCACCCAGCTGCTCCCTCGGTGCCTATAGGTGATTAGCAGCAGGCACCCGGTCTGGTCCGTGGTGACAGTGCCGGGAGGAGACCCACTGTGTCACACATCTGCTGCCTTACACAGCAGCCTGCGAAGTCACTCTTAAAGTTAGAGCGTTTGGGTTGGGGTGGGCTTGTCGCTGTGCTCATGTTCAGGAGGGAGAGAGGTGGGTGCTGCATGGCCCCATGCCCTGCCTCACTGCTTGCCTCTGATTTCCAAGGAGGAAGAGGACGACGACAGCAGCCCTGGAGTGTCCTTCTCACTTTCTTCGGAAGAGTCAGAGATGGAGCCCGAGGAAGAAAGGATCCGTTACAGCCAAAGATTAGTCAGTATTGGTCCTTACCAATCAAATTCTTGGTTCTACTCAGCTGAAGGATGAAACGGCTCTTACTGGCAATATATTTAAACAACCAAACAAGCGTTGCGATGGATGGCTTTGGGTACTGGAGGCCCACTTTGTGGGTTTTGCCCTGGTGGAAGGCACTTCTCTGCTGAGAGGGCAGCTGGGGGATGGCACTGGGGTGTGATGCTCCTGGAAGGGGCTAGAAGAAGATACAGCATGAGTGTCTGTGTAGCTTCTGGCGCAGCAGGTTTCTTCCATGTGTTCATACCAACCAGGGAATCTGCAGTGATGTATGTGTCGGCCTGGACTTGATTTGAATGTTCTGCAAAACTGGGGAAAACCAGCTTTGGCTTCAAGCTCTGATTTGCTTGTGCTCGTGTTTGTGCCTGCATCTTGTGGTGCTTGTGTTCATACAGAGTTGTCCTAAGACTTAGGTTCTGGTTGCAGTGCAAGGGGCTGTTGCTCCATCACCAGCAAGTTGATCTGTTGTTTTGAGGCAGTTTTAAGTCCTATGGGAAGCTCAAGCACCAGTTGTCTGTGATAGCTGAGGCTGTGATAGGGTTTGTCTGTGAGTCACCACGGCACATGCATCCTCTCCTTCAAGGTGCTGTCTGTGAAGTTAAATCCTTATCCTTTAATGCTCTGACACTGCTCAGTATGAGGCAGTGCAGCACTCCGCGTTAAGCTCTGCCCTCGGACACAAGTCATTGTTGCTCCTCTGCTGCTGTGTGCCTGACCACAGGTGCTGAGACAGAAGTCTTTAGAGGACAGAAGCAATTGTTTCAGCCCGTGTGGTGGGAGAGTGGTGCACAGGCACCTGTGGCTTCTCTGCAGCCCTGCTTTGCTTGAGGTCTGCTCCTTTTGGAGTTGGTTCTTTCCAGTCCCTTGGGTGGCTTTAATTTGGTAATGCTGCCAAAAGCTGTGGTCCTGCCTTATCCTGATGCACTTATTTCTTTCCGTGACTGTGGCAAGCAGCTCAAGGTGCTGAAGGCAACCACTTGTAGCCAGCATCATAGCTTCCTTTGGGGAGGGGCTTTGGGTTCTGTTAAACTATGATTGTAGCTGTGCATTGGCCCTGCTGAAGTAACTCAAAACAGCAGGACAAAAACAAGGCTATTGAATGGTACTAGCAGCCAGGAGTTCACTTCAAAAAAAAAGGCTTTGAGCTCACAAAAACTGCAGGAAGAGTTGCTGTCTGAATGTACCCAGCCCAAACTCTAGCAAACACGCTAAGCTGGATCAGTGGCTGCACGCTGATGAGCTGCATGTTTAAGGGGCTTGGGAAAGCACATGGGCAGCAAGCAGAGGATGAGGGTCACCTCAGCTTCTATGGCTTCGTGCTGTCCCTCCTGGCCTGCAGCCCAGAGGAAGTATGGCCCCAGTGAGGTGCAGTTTGTGCTTTGCTCTTTGTGGAAGCCTCCTGCTTGCTGTGCTTCGGTGGAGCTTCCATGATGGAGGACTTTGCAGATGTCCTTGGTTTTCTTTTCCTAGATGCATTCTCTCAACTCTTTATCCAACTCTGGTTATGGATTATTTGAATATCGTATTCTTGACATACGTGTTGATCTTGGGAGTTGGTTTCCATGTGTCTGCATTAAAACTCTTAGATGGGGAAACAGGTAGTTGGTAGTACAGTTACATCTGTGCTGCTGTGAATGGCGTTTGTCTTGTGTGTGACTGGCAGCAAGAGAGGAATAAATATACTTTTAAAGCTACATCCAAGTGTGGCAGCAGTCCTGCTGGGCAAGCATCCTGGATCAGAATAGTTGATAGTGGTGAAGAGGCTGGGTTAATTGCATTGGCACAATGCTGCACGTGGTCTGTCAACAGGAGGTTGCTGCATTGACTGCACCTCTCAGTGCATCACCCCAGTCTTAAAACTTGACTGGTTTCCTTTGGGGTGTAGAGAGAGTTTCAAGCATCTTGTTTTTAGTGAACCATGCTCTATGTTTTTAGTTACTGTACTCTTTTTCAACAGAAATGTGATGTATGTTGATTCTTTTTTTGAACAGATTTGTTGGTGGAAGATGTGAAATTTGTCTGTTTGTCACTGCTCCACAGTGCTGTAATGAGGCAGTATGGCAGGACAGGCTTGAGGTGCTGGCTCTGTAAGCTGGAGATGGATGTTTATAACGCTTCATGAAGGGGCTGAAACACCGTGTTGTGTCCTGAGGCAGGGATGGTAGAACAGCCTTGGCACTGATAATGCCGCAGTCCCTCTGTGAGACCTGAGAGTGCAGCCTGTGCATGGCGAAGCTGGGCACATGCTGGAGCCAGAGCTTGTTGGAGGCAGGAGTGAGAGATGGCCACCACCTCAAGGACCAGTCCTGCCTGCTGGGGTCTGTAACGCTGCCAGGTCAGCAGTTGTTATCTCAGGCATGGTTCCAGGTAGGACAGCGGCCTGACAAAGCCTCCGTCTGCATTTGCCTCAGAGGCTGGTGTCCCGGAGCTGAATGCTGCTTCAGGGGACGCAGGATCGCACCCTAGGTAAAAGCCATCAGGAGGACATCACATCCACATGGCTGGCTCGCCTCCACCTCCAGCAAACCTGGTGAGACTGGAGAGGTGGCAGGCCACAGCGGGGAGACTGGGTGGGGTGGGAACCTCCTCAACCAGCTCTGCTGCTGGAGAGAGCCTGCAGTGCAGCCACACCCTCCACCAGTGTTCACTGGGCTCTGGAGTGAAGCTGTGTGCTGTCTGGGCCCTGGTGCCTGTCCGTGGCTGCTTGGTGGCACTTCATGACAGCTACTGAAGACTGGTGACAGATGATTGGGCTGCTGGAGGATGAGAGCCAAGCTACTTGCTGTAGGTGATGGAGCATGCCAGGGTTGTGTGGAACACTCTGCCCATCGCTTGGTGCAGCCCGTGTCCTGCCTTAGCATTGCTGTGCCCTGTGATTGGAGCTTTTTGTGAGATTAGAGGCAAGGCCTGTCCCTAGCAGCCAGAACCTGAGGCTTCTCCTGTAAGCAGCGGTCACAGGCCTGTCCTTAACTGTCAGTGTCCGTGCTGCCCTGGATGGTAGTTCACACGAACAGTATGTGGAATCATCAGCTGATGATGGTAGAGGTGGGGGGCTTGGGTGTGCTGTGAGCATGCTGGGGTGCACAGTGTCTGTGTGTGGTGGCAAGGAGGCTGGCTCTCAGCCTATGGTTTCCAAGTTGTCTGTATTGGTGCTGCCAATGGGGGGAGGGAGGGGTGAAGCCAAGCGCAGGACAGAGCCATGGATTGGAAAGGTTCATTTGTCAGACAGGTCTGTGGTGAACCTCTTGCCCTTCTTGTGTGGCCAAGGGGACAGATGGCCCCAGGGCAGTGAGAGGAAGGTGGGGAGGGTACGGGACATGGGCTCGCTGCTTGTGCCGGGTGAGGTGGCAAGGAAGAGTATGTATCCTGGGTGAGTGCGAGAGCTGCGGGTGCTGAAGCATGGCAGCCTTCCCATTGCCTGAAGGGTTGGTCAGCTAGAGTCTGGTGCAAAAGCTTGTCTTGGCCAAACATTGCTCACTGCTGGGCCCGCCTCTGTTTCCCAGTCTGGACTGAGCCTAGGCTGATCAGATGATTAATCTCCAGCATGCCTCTGCCTCAAGCTGAAGACACTACAGAGTCTTTCCCAATGACCCAGGTAGAATAATTGAGCCCTGAATAATTTAGGAATTCTGTTCAGTTTTGTTCTGGACCAGATGTAGGGACTGAAAAGGGGGAGTTTTGCTCTTTGGCAGAAGCAGGCAGCAAGCAAAGACTGTTGCTGGGAAGCTTTGGGAATTCCAGTGAGCGTTTAGGTACTGGAAGAGCCTCACAGTCCCAGGGAGAACATGGCCCTGAAACCAAAGGGGTGTTGCTCTCTGTTGACAGGGGGGATGCAGAAGGTGAGCAGCTCTGCTGACTTCTTGCTGTCCCAAGTCTGAGCACACCTTGTGAGCATCCTGGAAGCTGCAGTTACCAGGTAGAACTTGCAAATTGCACTGATGACTCCTGTTGACAAGCAGCAGGTTTTCTCAAGGTTATCTTAACTGGAAATGGTGCTAACAAGATAGAGCCGTCCCCATGCTCCCAGAGTATCTTTATTACTGGTGAATTACATCCTGAGCCACCCAGACTGGGGGCTGTGGGGTGCTGGTTGATTTCTGGGGAGCGCCGATTCACTTGGAGCCTTGCTGGGTGGTCTGCTCAGAAGGTGGAGTAACAAGGGAGCTGTAGCTGAGGTGTCTTGCTGCCCTTCTGCCAGCACTTGAGAAGGTTCCCATAGGTCTGGGAAACAGGCACAGTTACGGGAGAGAGGAGCTGGCTTTCACTCTGCTCTGTTCAGCAGGTCTGTGTTTATGCGTCTCTGTTGCTGTAGAAACAGTGCTGGTGGTGAGCAGTGAGCTCTGGGGACGGCACTATGCGGCTGCGCTGAAGGTCCTGAGGGCTTTGGGAGAGGAGGAGCTGTGCCGGAGGAGAGATCAGCAGAAGGATCAGGTCGTTGCTTGCTAGGGCTGTTATCTGGAGAAGGAGATCCCAACTGACGAGGTGTGTTCTCCCTTTGAGAGAATACCCAGCGGGGATGGTCCCTTCTGATGTTGCTTCCTTCTTTGCCTTGTCTCCTCACTGATGATAAAAGCCTGCAGAGCGAGGAAGGAACGGGACAGCAGTGTGGAACTCAGAGGACGATAAGAGAGTGCTGGAGAAGGATGGGAAGGCAGGGATGCCTGTTCTTGTTGTGTTTTGTTGTTTTTTTTTTTTTTTAAAACATTGAAGAGTCTGACCTGTGCTGTTGCAATCTAAGGGAGTCTTGCTTCCCCCTTGCTCTCTTGCGTGCTGCAGCTGTGGTTTTGGAATATAGCTGGGGCAGCCAGAAGGGAAGGGAGCAGACTGGCAGTGCACTATCCTGTAGGGTTAAGCTATCTGCGTGTCTCTAACTTGCTGTAGAATGCTATTTCCATGTGTCACTGAGCCACGTTTGGAATAAGGAAGGGGTGAGCACTAGACTTCTTGTGGGGCAGAGGGAGGGAGCACATGATGCTGTTATGACCATGTGGAGGAAGGAGGATGTATCATTTCTGGTAGATGCTCACGCTGGTTGTGTTCATCCCAGTGGCCATGGGTTGTTTTTCTTCTTTGCAGGCATCTTTGGCCCTTGGCTTGTCTGTTCAGAAGACCACATGGGAGTAGCAGGAGCTGTGCTACAAACCCTGTGCCCAAGCGTGCCTGCAGTCCAGCCTTGTTTTATGGGTGTGTTGGTCAGAACTGGCAGTGGGCTGCTGCAGAGCTGGGCCAGGGCCATGGGAATCCCGCAGGGTCAGCTCTTCCCTGCTGGGAAACCTGAGCTGCCTGATACAAAGCTCAGTAGCCTGGTGCTGTGTGGGTCTGGAGGATATAGGTGAAGTGTGTGTCACTTTTAAGCCTGCCTTTTTGGAGAAGTTTGTCTGTTTTTGTTTTGTTTTTTGCCTTCCTGGACAAAGCAGAATGGGGTCATGAGACTGTAATGCTCACCTACCTGACTGTGTGGCAGGTGTGCTGGGGAAGTCCAGGCAGGGATACAATGTATACAATGTTTTTTTCTTGAATTTTTGTCTGATGTGGAAATGTGAGAGGTAACCGAAATAGATTTGCTCCATTTATTTGAGAAATAACAAAGCTTAACTTTTCTTTTTAAGTGGTTTTTCAGAGTTTGCAATGCTCGAAAGATTGGTTTTCAGTCCTGGAAGGTGGCATGGAGGATGATTTGATGGTCTTTTCTGAGCTTATGGCATGGAGGCAGGGTCTGTGTGGGTACTGGGGTGTTGTGGTCATACCATAAAAGCCACTTGGGAAGTTGGTGCACATGAAGTGGTGGCAGGTGACTGGAGAAGCAGCATCCCTTACAAAAGCAATGGTAACTCCTTGGGACTGTTGCCAGACATGCCCATCTGTGATCAGATCTAGCATATTCTGCCCTGTGGCTGGCAAGTGTGTGGTGGCCTGAGTTCTGTGTTCCCTGTGCCCCTCATCTGTCTCTAAGCCTTGCTCTGGTTCCTCAGTTACTCCTTGTGTACATCCAATTTTGTAATGCAAAATGCAAACCAAAGCTCTCTCCCTGCTCATACTGAAAGGCTGCCAGCCCTGCTTGTGGTGGGAATCCCTCCTGGAGCTGCAGAAGTCTGCAAGGGCTCCAGCTCTGCCTGGACTTCTGTCCAATCCTGAGCCTGCTGCTGGGAGCAGGAACATGCAGCCTGGGCTGCCCCAGGTCACCTGTGCAGGTCTTGAGAAATGTGAGAGATGATGGGAGGGAGGGGGCAGGGGGCAGGGAGAGAACATTAAGCCTGCTGGTTTAGTCCCTGTTCCTCTGGTGAAAGCAGGAAGCAATGAGTGAATTCAGTATGGCTCTTAGCCACCAAAACGATGAACTGGACAAGGCATGCAGTGCCCTTTTCCCTGATGTGAAAGATCCCCTGCGTGGCTTTGGGGTGGCTCTCCATGGATAGTGGAGCTCAGTGAAGTGTCCAAGCAGTGTTTGGGAGGAGGGGCTCAGACACAAGTGTGAAACCTGCCCATCTTCTTGTCTACATGCCTACTCCAAAGGCGTGAGGGAGGCTCCCAGGAGGCAAGCTGCCCTGGAAATACAGCAGCAGAGGGAAAGCAAGGGGTGTCAGGTCTGATGAAGCAGGAGGCTTGTCCTGGAGACGGGAGATGCTGGGGCACCAAGGAGAGGATGGCAGCACTTGGGACAGGAAGTTACTAAAGTGCTGTTGGTTTCACTTTGTAAGTACAGGAGGCTCTTTCAGCTTAAGAATGGCTTGTTCTGTTTTCAAATGTGATCTTGTCCTCATTTTTCTCTCTCTCTCAAAAAAAAAACAAAAAAATCAAACTCATGGGAGAGCAGTCCTCTGGTTCCCTCACCAGCTGCTGTGGTGGAAGGAGATGTCTATGGAGCATCCTGAGGAGCAGTGCTGTGGAGGCAGTTCTCAGTGTCCCTTGGAGCAGGAGGGTCAGAACAGGAGGGGTGGCACTGCAGGATTCATATTCGTGCTTCCCATTTCCTACATTAAGCAAATGGTACCCAGGAGGGCCAGAAAGCAGTGGTGAAAGACAGCTAGCGTGGTGAAAATTACTGGCTGGCTGCTTTTGGAGGGTGAACAAAAACTGCCTTTCTCTTGACCCTATCTGCATTCTGCTCTGGACTGCTTGTCAGTTCTTCCTTAGGAAAACTCGGGATGAGAAATGGCAGCATCCTAGCGTGGATCACAGAGCAGAATTTGAGTATTGCTGCTTGGTGCTGAGCGCTGTGGTTGTCCCATAGGGATGCCTAACATGCCCAACTCGTGTTGCTCTGCCTCAGCTAAGCTTCCTCTGGGACACCAGAGATTCTCATAGAGGCAGTTTTCAGGTGCCTGTTGTGGAAGTGCCACATCGCTGACAGAGCTGCTGGTTGGCATTGGCCATAAGGGAGAGCTGTGGAGAAGCTGCAGGCTCCAGCAGGGCAGTACTCAACTGCAGAGATCTGCCCACAGCCCTGATAGATACTGTCCCAAAATGTGTGCTTGGGAGTGCAGAAGCTTTTTCTCCCCGTCCTCTGCATGCACTGAAATGTTGTTTTTCCCCACCCTGCCAAGACAACAATGGCATGAAAGCACTGAAGCATCTTGCACTTGAGTGGCATTGTATAACTGATGGGAGCCATTTGTATTGTGATGCTTCTGGGTCCTCTGCAGTCCCTGGGATCCTGTTCTGTAGGCTGCTCATCAGGGAAACTGGGCTCTTTCCTGCCCACAGGAACAACCCAAGCTGAGTGGATCATGCAGCTGATGCTGCGCTGGTATCAGCTTGAGAGTCAGACTTTGGAAACAGTGAGGCTGGAGGAGACAGTCCCCTTTCTTATGTGTTATGCTTCCTGCATGGGAGCATGTACACAGGTTAAAGGACAAGGTTGGGTGTATCTAGTGCTGTTATCCACAAAAGCAGCCTGCAATAAGTGTGGGTGGCACAGCCTAGTCCTCTGCTCACCTGATCCTAAACAGCTGGGAGCCAGAGACCTTAGGACACAATCACTCCACTTCATTCTGCACATCCTCTAATGAGCCTCGTGGCCCTGGAGCCTGAGGCTTGTCCCATAGGCTTGGGTCTATGGGAGGGATTTGGGGAACACAGCAAAATTAATGGGAAGAGGTGAGCTGCTCTGCCTTGGTGAGAGTGAGCAGCTTGGAATGGACTGGTTCTGGAAATAGTAGAGTGGTACCCAGGTACTGCAGGGGGGAGAGAAGGTTCCCATCAGGTCCTCACTCAGGTTCTGTGGCATATGAGGCAGCCGTGGGATGGTGGAAGGACAGAGCCAGAGAGGTGCTCTGCTCTTCTCCAGGAGGCTGTAGAAGAAAGAGATGGAACTGTGACAGGAAGCGCACAGGGATTGGGACACCAGAGGTGCACTGCTGTCCCTCAGTGTCAGAGAGGTCCCCAGCTGGGACAGTGAGCTGCTGGGTCTGTGGACCCTTGGCTTACCCCAAGGTGAGGGCTGCTGCTCTGTCACCTCCTGTCCCTGGCTGGCTGCTGCTAAGTGCATCTCCAACTGGGGAAAGCCAGCCTGGCAAATGCAGAGCAGGCTGGCTGTTATCTGAGGGGAACTGGGGAGCATTCCCACGATGGCTGCCAGAACACGGCCAGTCTCCGGAGGAGTGGCTAGCAGCTGGGAACAGTAATTTCTTCCAGATCCAGCCATGCTAGAAGAGAATGTCTGTCAGGAGTACAGCACAGATGTACTTATGAGACCCTCTAAGAAGAGGGTTGCTCCTCACGAATGAGTGAGTAAATCAAACTTATGCAGCCAGGTGTAACCAAAGATGAAAACTTGAGAACATTCTGTAGCATGAACCCCTTTCTTTATCACTTTGACATTCTAGCAGAATTTAAGTTCACAAATGCTGTGCGGAAAAATACTGATGTACCTGTTTAAAAAAAAACGAACTGATTTTTCTTCCTTTGTCCCAGTTACACCAAGCTGTCTCTCCTTATTCCTTGCTGGTGTTAGTGCTCACTGGGAGCAGGTAGCCTGTCTGCAGTACAGTCCAACGTACACAGATGTGTCAGTTGTAGGAGGAGCAAATCTGATGGTGTGTTTGGGATCCAGGACCCAGGTTGCCTGATTAGATTTCAGCGTATCTGCTGAAAACTGATACCAGCAGTGTTTGCTGGGCAGGAGGCCTGAGGGATAGTATAAAGCACAGTGGCATGCAGTCTCCAGTCTGGGAGCAAACTGTGCGGGCTCACAGAGTGCTTGCTGCTGGGTGGAGGGGGGACAGCTGGGCGCTGGGCATTCCTCCTGGGATGCAGCTCTCACCTCCTGGCCTGTTCTCTCTGCAGCGTGGCACAATGCGGCGGCGTTACGAGGACGACGGCATCTCTGATGACGAAATTGAAGGGAAGAGGACATTTGACCTTGAGGAAAAGCTCTCCACCAACAAGTTTAATTCTACCTTCGTCATCTTCATGGAAGGCAAAGGTTTGTGCTGCAGCTGTGGCTTGAGCTGTTGCTGTCTGTAACCAGACAGCTGCTGTGGTTTTCCTCTTCACTGCAGTGTGATGTGTGAGGTGACCTTTTCCCCAAGCTTTTAGGAGAAAGCTGACAGTGATCACAGTTGGATGTGTTCTCTGCATCTGACTACACACTGAGCCTTCCTGACTGCCAGCATGAAGGGCAGTTGTAGTGATAATCAAATCCCTTTCCAGTGTCCTACACTTTGCTGATTTTTGTTTTCCACTAGAGCTGAAGAAACTGACTGCTGTTCACACTAGCTCTGTGCTTTCCTTTATTGTAAACTGCTTTTGTAACCCATGTGGACAGGTGAGGCAGGAATGTTATGCCTGCTCCCCTGCAAGCACCTTGCCAGCAAAGTGGGGCTTATCAGTAGAAGTTTGGTTCAAGTTTCCCAAGTCCATAAGCCAGGAAACTAGTAACAGGGAGCATGTGTGGGAAATGGCGTGAAGTAAGCTCGCTCTGGAGAGATGTTCTGGCCTGCAGCTCTGCAAGCTCTCTAATACACATGGCAGCCAGGAGCAAGAGGGTTTGCCTGGGACAGCACCTGAAATTGCGGCCACATGTCTGCTAGATGTTCAGTTGAGAATACATGAGATCTCCCTGCTGTCTTCTACCATGTGTGCAGCTCAGTGGGATGTCCTTTCATCACACAGCCAGTGCAAGCCCTCATGAGGATTTACCGTGAGGGAGGAGGTCCTGCCTGGCTGTGAGTTCCTTAGGAAAGCGAGGAGCAGAAGCCCAAGCTGTTTCTCTGTCTAGCCCAGCCTCTGGAGCAACTCCCCCTCCCTCCCTCCCAGGCGGTTGTCTAAGAGCTGTCACCAGCACACACCATGCTGCTTACAGAGCTGCCACAAAGGAGTTCCAGGATTTCTGCAGGAGTGTGGGAAGGGCAAGACTCCCTCAATAGACAGCTGTGCCACAGAGATTTGAGGTTTTGAGCCGCCTGAGTAGAGTCTGAAGCTAGTTTGCAGGGAACAAGGTTGAACTAGAGATCTTGTCTAACCTCTGTTTTTATACAATCCTCTGTAGGAGTCTTGCCTTACGCCTTCTTCCTTTTCTCTCCACACCAGACTTCACAGTTGAATACATCCAGCGAGGTGGCCTGAGAGACCCCCTCATCTTCAGGAGCTCTGATGGCCTGGGTATAAAGTAAGTGTTGGAGCACAGAGCGGTGGGTGGCTCTGCTCTGATTGCTTGCCTGACTTCATGTCATGGGCAATCTGATGCTGGTCACTGAATCTGTGCTCTGCCAACCTGATAAGACTGTGCCCTGTTCACACTGTTGAGAAAACAGAGAAAAGCATCTTCCATCTCACATATCCTATTGTTACTAGTCTGCTTGGGCTTAAAATGAGAGGATTGAATTTGCTGTATGTGATCACAGTTCAAGCAAATACCTGGCAAATGTTACTACTGCTTTCAGGCAACATCTGTCTTGTTTGGTGGTGTTTTTTTGTTGTTGGGTTTGTTTTTTTTTTTTTGCCTAATAATACAGGCAAATGTTGCCAGATATTCTACAAAATGCTTGACTGGCGTTTTCCAGAATACAAAACTGGTCTGCCTAACATGTTTACTGCTAAGCTGCCATCCCTCTCTTGCTACAATAAGTCAGTTCAGGTTTACTATTTTGAGTATAAAGCTGTACTGATGGAAGACTTTGTACTATTTGGTGCTGTACCTACTGTTGGTATGTATATACAGCACAGGTAGGATATGCAGTTTTAGGGCAAGTAACACTACCTCCAAACCTTACTGTTGGCAAGTTGGAAGCATGAATTAGATTTAGCAAACTTTGTCAGAACCACCATCAGCAGCACTGTTCTTAAATTCCTCAACTAGCTATATGAGAATGGACAGTAGATAATGGAGTGCATGGTACACTGTGCTGTGATGAATATGTGAACAAATGGTGTCAGGCTTAGTTTTAATAGCTGGCTGACTTGGGAGGGCACATATTTGCTACTGAGGGTTACAGTGTGGGTGAAACGGGATTCCCTTGAGCTTTTGGTTATTTCTGTGGGTCTGGAGCTGCTTGAATGACTGTCTGCCCATTGTGCTTGTGACAGCAGCATTTGTGTAGATACAGTCAGAGGAGTTATGTTGTGTTACTGAATATACTGCTTCTACTAGTCCAATGGTCTCCCTTGTACTGGGACAACCCATGCAGAGAGTCTTTACAACGAGAGCTGGGATTGCTTAGTTCCATTCCTTTGCCGAAGTCACTGTGCTCTGTAGGTGTCGTATCCTGTTCACAAACCACTCTTGCTTACCCAGCCTTGTGCCACTAGAGACCTGTGTGCACAGTCCTTGTCTGTATCTTCACCTACACCCATCAGACAAAAAAGGAGCACAGCAGGGCTGAGGAGAGGTTACGGGTGGGAAGAGAATGCAAACAGAAGTGCTTCATGAGTTTTTTAGCAAGGTGTTTGTCTTGCAGGATGCCAGATCCGGACTTCAGCGTAAACGATGTGCGGCTGTGTGTTGGTGAGTGTCTCTCATTGTCTAGGAGCAGCAATGAACGTCAGCTGCACACTGGGATGATAGGGAGAAACAGAGAGTCACTGGGTGTATCAAAGCTAGAAGCCTGGTTTTGTGGCACCCCTAGTGCGCAGCTGGTTGAACCTGAGCTGTACTTTGCCAGTGGGTCACAGCTTTTACCTGCTTGAGCAGTCTAGTTTGTCCTGAAAACATCTTCCTGTGGAGGAAGATAAAGTTATGGGAGAGGCAGAGACATTGCAAGCATGTGTGGGTGGGTTCTTTGAGGAAGTGCATCCAGAGCATCTCTTCTGGGAGGCCTGTTGTGCGCAGGAACTGCTCCAGTAACATTTGTCCACTCTGGCAGGGAGCCGGCGGATGGTGGATGTAATGGATGTAAACACACAGAGGGACATAGAGATGTCCATGGCACAGTGGGCACGCTACTATGAAACACCTGAAGCTGAACGGGAGAAACTTTACAATGTCATCAGCCTGGAGTTCAGCCACACCAAACTGGAGAACCTGGTGCAGAGACCTGCTACGGTCAGTGCAGTTCTTTCTGCAGGGATGTCCCTTTGTCCCTTCCCTTGTGCTTGCAGTCGCTCTCAGAGCGCAGTCCAGTGCGTGAGTACAACAGGAGAGGAGCTGTTCAGAGCATGCATGGGCTCAGCCAGGGCTGTGCTCTGGAAGCTGTTGGAGCTGGTTCTGTGCTTTACTTGGATCCAGCAACTGATCTCACAGTACGCTGGGGCTGGTAGGCCTCGGCTGCAGTGACCATGGTGCATGATTCTACTTTGTTCGCTAGCTGTCAGTAATTAGAGAAATGGAAGTGATTTGCAAAGGAATAATTGGAGTAAAGTAAACTGTTCCTGCTGGCTGGATTTCAAGAACAGACATGGAGGTCAAACAAGCATCTGAATTTGGTAGAGAGGTGTAGTGTGTTGAGGCAGAACGGGGTTGCTATCTCCGAGCCTCTCCCAGTTAGCTGATCCAATTGTCTCTTTGATACTGGGTGCAGAGCCTTCAGTGCCAATGAGGTCTAGAATCAAGCAACAGCTCAGCAGTGTTTGCTGCATTGGTGGAAGAACAGCAAAATCTGGGGTGAAGCTTCATGGCTTGCCTGGAAACAACAATTCTGTTAGAATAACACCCTGGTGTCTGACTGCACGAGGTTGCAGGAAGTGTAGCTGATGTGAAGTGCTGAAGTCCCTGAGGGCAGGGAGTGCCCTGGGATAGGGCTACAGCATTCTGTCTGTCTGCCAGGTGAAGAACCAGCTGACCCTACTGAAGTGTTACAAGTACCTGCATATCTGAGGTGAATGTCCTGAACTCCCTCTACACTCAGCAAAGAGAATCAGGCAGCTCTGAGGGCCACTTGTTTCTCTCTGCTAACTGCAAAGGGAGTCTGGATATCTGTGCTTGCTCTGGCTTTGCTGAATCTGAGCAGGTTGTAGCCCATCCCTGCAGATGCCTAGCAGATGTTTTATGTGAGCCCAGTGTATATGTGTATATGTATGTGAGCAGTTTCTGATTGACCACCTAAGTGGAAGAGCAGCATCCCCATGCTGTTCTTGTGATCTTGCCAGGGTGTTTGCTGTTAAAATTCATTCAGAGGCTCACTAGCATGAGAACAGCTGATCTCAAATGCTTTACATGTAGGATTGCAGCGGGGGCACAAGAGAAGTTGCTGAGGTGAGCGGGAGCCAACATGGGAGCGTTGTGGCCATTCAGCTAAACCCAGAGGCCCTCCTTTCCTTCCTAGGTCGCAGAGTTTGTTGTGGTTATGCTCTGAACTGAGCTTGCTGGCAGCCTGTGTGCAGCACCATAGTAGTTTTGGTAGTCCAGTGCAGGAGTGTTGTGCCACTTTCATTTATACTCATGTCTCTCACTTTTCTGCTGCAGGTGGATTTGATTGACTGGGTTGATAACATGTGGCCCAGGCACCTGAAGGAGAGTCAGACAGAGTCCACAAATGCTATTCTAGAGATGCAGTATCCAAAAGTGCAGAAGTAAGTGACTTGTTTTGCTGCCTACCACCATTGGCATAGCTCAGGATCTCTTGCAAGAAATCTGCCCAAAGGAGAAGCAGTTTGTTCCAAGGGGGGAGGGGGAGGAACAGCTGTGCCACCTTGTGCCCCCTTACCCCATTTATATTAGCAGGTAACAACTCTGTTAATAACTCTGCAATTAGTTTCTGAAGCCTGCTCCACGTGCTGTGTGGAAGGGTGGGCATGTCATCTTGAGGCATTTGCTGCACTTTGAGGAAGCTCTTGGTGCTTGCTGCTTTGAGGCATCTGGAGTCCCCTGAGCTGTGGAGTGCTGCCCATCCTTCCCTGTAGGACAGACCTGTGGCTTGAGGGTTTCTAAGTGAGTGAGGATGAAAGATCTCCTCTTGCCTGGGCTAGATCTTCTTGCAAGGATGTGACAAATGTGAAGTGAGCTCTCCCACAAATCACCTTCATGCAGCTGAAGTGCTTAACACTGCAGCGATGGGTTTCAGGCAATGCACTGAGCTATTGGTTGGGGTTTGGGCAGCGTGTTCACTTTGAATGCACTGTATTTATTTAAAAATGTGGATCGCCACCTGTTTTCACCTTCTCTTCTTGGTTCCCACCAGGTACTGTCTGATGAGTGTCAAGGGCTGCTACACCGATTTCCATGTGGACTTTGGTGGTACTTCTGTGTGGTATCACATCCACAGAGGAGGCAAGGTAGGAGGACAGTCCCTGTTGGGAAAGGTGAAGGCGCTATAGGAGAGTGACTCTTAGTGTTGTCTTCTATTGATCCTTGAAGATGCAGGTCCCAGACAGTGAATTCAAGTCTTTTCACCCTAAGCTTGTTCATGTATGGCTCTTAAGAGTAGCTGAGGCACCCAGAGGTCCACCAGGCACAAGCTGAAAACCCATGCTGTAGAGGTGATGCTGAGAAACTTTACAAAAGGCTGGATGGTATAGAGTGTAATGACCCCATTCATCCAGTGCCTTGGGTTTCTGAAGGATCATTTGGCTACATGACTGATCACCTCTTGGTGTGGTGCAAACAGTAACCCTGGAAGGAGCAACAACCAAAAGAAAAATACCTAAAGGTGAATGAGAGCCTTCTAAAGCTTAACTGTGCACAGGTTTTTGAATAGCCAGCAGATGTGTGAGGGTGTCACCTTAAAACATCAAGTGATTTCAAAAGTAGAAGCTTTCAAACTTGGAGGTGAGGGACAGGCTTTCTGTACAAAACCTATTGTAATGTTTCTTTTTTTTTGTGAGAAGTAGTTCTGAACTGGGACTGTTCAGTCTGGGGAAGAAGAGGCTGAGGGAAAACCTTATTACTCTTTCAAATACCTGAAAGGTGATTGCAGCAAGAGTGAGGCTGGTCTCTTCTCACTGGTGACAGGATGAGGGGAAATGGCCTCAAGTTGCATCAAGGAAGTTTTAAATTGGATATCAGGAAGGGTTGTTAAGCACTTGAATAGGCTTCCTAGGGAGGTGGTTGAGTCACCATCCCTGCATGTGTTTAAAAACCAATTGGATGTGGTGCTCAGGGACATGATGTAGCAGAGGGCTGTTAGAGTTAGGGCACTATGGTTAGGTTGTGGCTGGACTTGACGATCTTGAAAGTCTTTTTCAACTGGAGTGATTCTATGATTCTGTGGTTCTAACAGTGTCAGATGTGAGCTGCTTGTCTGTAATCAATTCCTGTAGCTGAATCAGTCCAAGACTTGAAAACTGAATCCCAGTTCTGTTGAGATGAAGTTCACTGGGTTACAAATTTTGTGCACAGTTTGCTTCCCAGTTGGTTGTTTCCAGTCAGTCAAGCAGGGGTTCCTGTATGCCAGGTATCCCTTACTCCAGCTTGATGTTGTATGTGGGCCTGGTTGGAAGGAAGCCCATCTGGAGGGGGAACTGGAAGGTGCCAGTTCTCTCTCCTGCCTTCAACAGGGTGAGTTGTACCTTAAGCTCTGCTTATAGTTGGATATGTTGCGTCTCTTCTTTTCACTTTCAGAGAAGAGATCTGTAGCAATTCAGATGCTGTAACACTGAAGGAGCTAGCTAATGCAAAGTCAGATGCCCTAGCTGGCTCTTCATCTACCCTGGAGAGCACAGTTACGTTCAGCAAGTGAAACTTAAATGACACCAAGTCCTGGCTGGGAGCAAACCCCCTTCAATAGCCATTGGCTGGATGTGCCCATTGTCACAGATACAGTCTGTGCTTCAGCAGTACTGCTCAGGGGAGCAACACAGCAGACTCAATGTTGCATGAGTGAATTGGTGCGGTCAGAGCAGGGAAACGTGATGGTAGCTCAGCATGCCGTATAAGCAAAACAAATATCATATAGTGCAGAATTTGCCAAAGGCTTCACCTCTGTTGCCCAGTGAAATGCCCCCAGCTGCTAAACTTTGCCTTTGAGAGCAACTGGATATTCCTGGAGCTTCTGGTTAAAGCCACTGATCATCTAAGGCTGAATTCATTAAGGATCTTCTGCAGTGGGTGAGAACAGATCTGGGAAGAAACTGGCTAAATGGGCAGTTACTGGGAAATTATACTATCCCATCTTTTTCCACTGACTTGAGCTGTGTTAAGGGATAACAGCAAACTGTCCCTCTTGAAGAATCTGGGCTTTCAACCTACTTCTCCTTGCAAAGGAATTGTAGCTGCCAGACTCTCCCATAATTCTGATTTGTGGCTCCACTGATTTCTCATAAGACAAGCTAACAGTGTCTGAAGAGCCTAGTAGAGGGGTTGGTATTTACTGGCCCACCTGTACTGTGCAGAGGCTGAGAAATGCAAATCTCTAGTTCATCTGTGGCTCTGAATAACATGTCAGCATTCAGAAAGAGACAAGTAAATATCTCCTTTGGTTCAGTGCTCTCGTCTTTAGTTGGCTTTATGTCTGTTCACATTGACTTTGTAAGTAATGCCTTACAGAGCATCCCAGGCTCAGTCCAGGAATGATGCTTGGTGCATGGGGGATGAGGACCCTTGTTCAGTGGCTTGCTCTCCCAGATGGGACAGCTGCTTTGGTCACTTGACTGGGGATTTCTGCACGTCTGCATCCTCTGTGGGTAGGAAGAGGAAGATGTCTGGATATTTGGGGGAGGGAGCAGGACAGGTTTAGAAGAAGCTAACAGTACAGTGACTTACGTGTTTTCTTTACTTGCAGATCTTCTGGTTGATCCCTCCTACACCCCAGAACCTGGAGCTCTATGAAAACTGGCTTCTCTCAGGGAAGCAGGGAGACATATTTCTTGGGGATAGAGTGTCAGAGTGCCAGCGCATCGAGCTGAAGCAGGGCTATACGTTTGTCATCCCCTCAGGTACTGCAGGTTGGGCAGTTGCATCTTGTCTTCTGCCAGGTTTGTGGCAAAGGAACACCTGAGACACAAGCAGAATCAGGGCAGGCAAAATTTAGCTTTCATGAGTAGAAGAGAGAGGGCAGTGTTATGTGGCTCTGTTCTCTTGCTTGTGGCTCTCAAAACATGACTTTCATGGTACTGCAGATTCAACACAGGTGTCCAAAAGGCTCTGTCTGTCTTTCATCACAAAAGGAGGTTTTCCCAAAACCCACCACACTGTCATTCTAAGCCTGACTTGTTTAAGCAAGCAGAACGAACAGGAGTGCATCAGCAGTGTCTTGCATGCGCAGTCAGTGCAGTGCTGTGCTAGAAAACAGCAAAGGCAGAAAAAGATGGGGTGCAGAGTTGGGTCACACAGCAGCCTGATTTAATTGTTGGCAGGAGCTGTCTCACAGCCTTTTAGGGCTGTGATTCAGACCTGGGATGTCTGTAAAATGCCCTAGCTGTAAGGAATACTTTCTTGTAAGGAGAAAGATGATTGGACCCCTTCAAGGAATCACTTTCAAGGCTTCTAATAGAACTGCCACATAAAAGTTAGGTCCATCAGGCTGTCTCAGATGGCAGAAGCTGTTTCCTGTTAACAGTAGTGCAGAAATTACGTGTGTTGTATACACATGTTCCTGTAGCTTACAGCAGAAGCAGGAACAGAAGACAGCAGGGGCTGTACAAGTGACTTGTGTCATGACTTTTTGCCCTACGGGAATGCTGGGATCTACAAAATGTTGGACTTGTCTGGATTAACCTCTGAGACAACGGAACTGGGACTTGATTTACTTTGAGGTTTTTTTCCATTGTTAAATAAACTGTGAAAGACTGTCCTTGGTTCTGCTGATGTTTTTAAGTATAATGCAACTAGGAAGCAACTGACAGAGACTGGAATGACAGAAAGTTGTGGAGGGGAGGTAGATACTGGCACACTCGCTACCTTGGGAAGGTGAATTTAGGTGTGTAAGTATAAATCTGCCTCTAGCTCTTAGATGGGTAAAACGAGCTGAGCATTGAGTGATTCAGTAGTGATGCTTTGTGAGGATTAGACATTGCTGTGCTAATGCAAGTGTCAGCCTTCATCAAAGAGTTGGGATGCAGATGGTCCACTCCTCTCCTTCCTCTGCTGCTAGCCCTGGCTGTTGTGATGGGTCATGGCTAATCTGTTAACAGCTGACCTAGGTATGGTTTAAAGCCTAACTATCAGAATAAGCCTAGCTGAGCAGTGTGGAAGTTATGCAGTTTTGAGAGCCCTTCTCCAAAAACTGCAGTTGGTAAGCGGTTTCAAAGGATGAAACAGGGATTAGTTAGGGATTTAACTGGTTGTGTGACCTTGACCTCCCCTATTCACTCAGCAGAACTCTTCAAACTCTTTCTCCCAAAGGTTGGATCCATGCTGTGTACACTCCCATGGACACACTGGTTTTTGGAGGCAACTTCTTGCACAGCTTCAACATCCCTATGCAGCTCCGGATCTACAGCATTGAAGACCGCACGCGGGTGAGGAGAGCTGGGAGGAAGCAGCCTCCTAGGGTGGCAGGGAGGGCACAGGAGCAGTGGTGTGCAGGCAGGCGAGCTGCATCTCACCCTGTGACATTGCTGGAACTCCCCTGCTAGATGTGCAGGAAGGAGCTTGGGTGAGGGATGGCCCATAGCACGTTAGGGCTTGCTGTGTTCCTTCATCCTACCTCCAGTCTCATGTCAGGCATCCAAGGGGTTGGAAGCATTGCAGAGAGTGTGGTGGGGATCTCCCCTGGCAAAGCAGCCAGGGAGGAGGAAGGCTCCAGCAGGTCTTCGGGAGTGCATCCAAGCACAATGCCTTTGCCCTTAGCCATTCTGCTCTTGTTTGATGTTGATCGTGGGCTTTAATGTGATAAAGATGGCTGAAACAAAAGGCTCCCAGAAAACTCAAGCCAAGAATGCTGTTGACAAGTGAGTGCTCTCCCTTGTTTCTTGTGGAGATGTGGCTCCTGCAGAGAAGCCTGGGCTGCGGCATCTGCTGCTCTCCTGTACTAAGGAGAGGGAAGCCAGTGGAGAGCTGCAATCCTGACAAAGGAAGTGTTAATGTTACTGATTTGCAAGTGAGAAGTACCTGGTGTCTGCTCCACCTGGCCTTTGCTTTCCTTCCATGTGGAGAATGACATCTGGCACAGATGCTGCTCCTGTAGCATACATGTACATGCATTTCCTGCCTCTCTGGAGGGGATTGGGCTCGCTACAGGCAGCACAGCAGTCTGCAGCCCTTGCAGAAGGCAGTCTGAACTGATCCTCTTCCCTCTTCTGCAGGTCCCAAACAAGTTTCGCTATCCCTTCTATTATGAGATGTGTTGGTACGTGCTGGAGCGCTATGTCTACTGCATCACCAGCCGCTCACATCTCACCAAGGACTTCCAGAAGGAATCACTCAGCATGGGTGAGCTCCTCTCCAGCCCCTGTTCCTCCTCACATGCTGCTGCAGGTCTGTGTGGCAGGCAGGGAGGGCTGTGCGGGATAGAACTCAGGACCCTCACTTCCTCCATTTACAGAGTGGTTTCTCTGTGTGTTTCCTCTCATTTCCCTGTCTGCTGCACTGAGCAGTCAGAGGGTAGACTACTTCCTCCTCTGCTCTTGTGTCAGGCCAGGCTCCTTGCAGCTGCAAAACCAGCAGACCGGCTCCTGGCCTTGCTCATACATGCAAAGCGTGTAACAGAAGAGGGGAGGAATGCTGCCTTGCTGCATCATGGCTCCTTGCTGTGGGGCTGTGATGCTTTCATGCTGAGCAGGGCCATCCTGCATGCAGAGTTTGAGGAGCTTTGTCAGATGATCTTCAAGAAGGTCTCACAAAAGAGATGATTGGCCTCGTTAAAGCCTCTGCAGCAGTTTAAGAGGTTATTTGTTATGGATATACCCTTGTTGAGACTGGGAGAGAGCTGGATAGCCTGAGCCTGAGGGCCCTGAAAAAATCTGTCCTCACTCCTCAGAGGGGATCTAAATGCCCATGACTGGATGCTTTTCTGATGGCCAAAGCCTTTTGGGGACATTGGAGAATTGCTCCCAGCTATTTTTAGGGTCAGAGGAGGGTGCTTTGTTATGCACAGTCAGGCTCAGAGACCTTGTGGTCATCTGGAAAGCCCACATCTCCTGCCTCCCATCAGGAGGGCAGGTCCCACCCAAGACCAGATGGCAGGAGATGCCAAGCCCTCTCAAAATAAATCTGGACCTCAGCTTTGCTATCATCTCCTGGAGGAGGCTTCCCACATCCCGTGCCTGGCCATCCACAGAGTGACTGGGAGTAGGAAGGGGTTTTGCTATTCCTCTCTAGCAGCCATATGCACCATCCTTTTTGTGATCTTGCCCCATGTATATCTGTTGTGCCAGTAACGTGCTTCACTGGTGATCTGTCTCACCATACTAAAGATACAGGAATTATGAACGTCCCTCTTAAGCTTGTTAAAAACAATTACTTATTTTCATAACAGGTAAGGACCTGTGTAGATCCCCCAAAGCTTGGAATTCATTTACAGAACTCCTGAACAAGATTTTAAGAAATAGCTAATTAAATCTGGATAAATCCTGAGAGGGTTCCTTTGAAGACCGAATGTTTCCTGCGACCAGTTGGCCACTGGGATCTTGTCTCATGCTTTCTCTTTCATGGCAGATATGGAGCTGAGCTCCTCAGACTCGGTAAACATGGAGGAAGAGGAGGAGGAAGAGGAGGATGCAGCAGGAAAGGAACCAAGGAGACCGATCACGAGACGGTCTGTTCTTACCAGCCCTGTAGCCAATGGTGCCAACGTGGACTATGACGAACTGGGCAGGAGCTGCCGGAGCAGCCTGCCGGCTCTGAAGAAGAGCCCATCTGTAGACTCCTCTGACTCTAGCCGGGGCTCCCAGAATGGCCAGGCCTGGGAGCTACATGGTGGCAGTCCACGCAAGAGCAGGAGGGTGCACCTGACACAGTTTGAGCTGGAGGGGCTGCGCTGCCTGGTAGACAAGCTAGAGTCACTCCCTCTGCACAAGAAGTGCGTTCCCACCGGCATCGAGGACGAGGACGCTCTCATCGCCGATGTCAAGGTACGTAGGCTTGGGAGCACCGCTTGTGACGCTGCTCCCTGGATGAGTTCGTTTGCTGGTGTATCAGAGATGAAAACTCCACGCCCTCCCCTCCTCTCCCACCCCCAAATGAGGAATCTGTGTGCATTCGTGGTCTTAAACCAGTCATGGGGTGTTGCGTCTGCAGGTTTCTTTTTTCCATTATGTAAGGCTAATGTTGTGCTGGGTAATGTTGCACCAGCTGATGCTTCAGGACAGCCTTGACTTGGATTTTGGCTGGGTGCTGTGTGGGTCCCTTACAGGTGCCAGAGCTCATTTGCAGTGTGGTTCAGCCTGTTCTGGCTCTGGCCTCCTTGGGCTGCTGGATGCTGTGATAGTTGGAGCGCCCTGTCTTGGGTAGAATTGTCTGTGTTTCTTCGGGTTGTTCACACAAGATGTTGATCCTGGTTTATGTGGGAGTCTTTGTCCAGCTTTACACCCTGTGCTATATCTGATCTGTTTTGCTGCCTCTGTGCATCATAAAATCATAGAATATTCAAAATTGGAGGTGAATCACAGAGGTTGTGGAGTCTACCTCCTTGGTGTTTTAGCCTTTTCAGTGTTGAAGTGAGAATTTCAGCCTGTATTCCGTGCAAAGTCCATCTTAGTTCCTTAATCCACAGTTACTTCCTGTTCCTTCTTACTGGCAGTGACCTGCTCAGCTGCCTGTACCAAAGCTGATAGCCAAATGCAGCCATAGGAGCACCTGCTCCTTGCAGCTCCTTTTCCAGGGGCAGTCTCCAGACTTTGTGGGGCATTTGGTAATCTGTTCTGTGCTGGGGGCAGCTGCACGCAGCCTGTGGTCCTAACTGACCCCACGGCTTGTAGATGTCGGAGACACTTGGCCACAGGAGCCTGTCAGGCCTCCCTATTATGGGCTGCAGGTCTTCTTTCTCCTGGGTTTTTCAAGTTTGCAGCATGCGTGTCTGAGCCACCATGGCCCTGCCTGGACTGTACAGTGCTCTAGAGAAACATCAGCTGTGAGCAGGTTTCTCCCTTGGGATTCTTGGTGATCCTGACCAGACGGAATGCCGCAACACACTTCCAGCTGTACTCTGATAACCTGTGTCCATAGGCACAGACCTGACAAACTTTCCACACTGTCTCTTGTGTGGTGATGGTGAGTTTCAGGGTGCCCGTGTGCTGGGTCATACAGAAAAATGCGTTTTTGCATCCTGACATGAGTTGAGCCCAGAGTTGTCACATGGTGGCACCTGGCACTTTGGATGTGACAAAGACCTGCTTCCTGCTCTGTGCTAAGAGGTGCTGGCTGTCCGCTGAGACTCTGCAAAGCCATTCCTGAAAGGGCTGCACCAACACTGAGCAGGAAGAGCTGCCTCTGTCTCCTCCTTGACCTCTTAGCTTTGCCTGCATCCTTTGGACAGTTCCTGGCAACACTGCATCACTGCTATTTGCTCTGCCGTAGCTTAAATGAGAGGGCTGTAGGAATCCAAGAGTCTGCTAGCATGAGGAGTGAGGTTGACACATCTGGCACTGCTGTCTTGCTGAAAAAAGTCCATGAATTTGGTGATACTGTAGAATGGTCGGGTTGGAAGGTACATAAAAGCCCCACCAGCCTCACCCCTGCTGTGGGCTGTTTGCCTGCCACCACTCTGATCAGGCTGTCCATGGCCTGTCCAGCCTGGCCTTGAGCACCTCCAGGTGTATCACTGTGCATGGTCTGGTGAGTCACTGAAGGATCACTGGCAAAGATGGGCGCGTGAGAGGTCCTATCACCTGTGGACTGCTTCTGCCCATCACTTTGGATCCCCATTCCTCTAAACCAGTAGAGGAACAGTCACAAACTAGTTGTTGCGTTTGGGCTCTGCCTGGAGCTGCTGGAGCACCAGGCATGTACCTGGTGCAAGGTCTGCCCACATCAGAGCCATCACCTTGCTCTTCTGCCAGCATTGTACTCTTCCCTGCCTGCTCTGTTTATTCCGTGGGTTACATCTGCCCGGAATGTTCCCCATCCCTGTCTCTGGAGATCTGCCAGGTGGAATCTATGTTCCCAAGGCAGTTGGTTTCTCTAGGTGCTCATGTTGAAGAGAAGCGGCAATTGTGGCATCCTGCTGAAGCCCTTAGAGGAGTGATCGTCCCCTTAGAGGAGTCAGTGATCTCAGGACACTCCATGGGTAGTCTGGTGCAGGGGTGAGGAATGGGCTGCCCCCCTCAGAGCTGGACAGTGAAGGTCAGGCTGTGAGGCTCCCTGTGCTGGTATTACAGCTTTCACAGCACATCTGATGCTTCTCACACAGTAGGCTGAGCTGAGGACCCCTTTGCTGCCCTTGCTGAGCAGAGGTGACCTCTGTGTATGGTCCAACAGGCTTAGCATAGATGAAGTGCTGGAAAAGCCCCCAAGCTGTGCTACTGGTCTGAGTGTCTCCACTGCACTGCAGCTGACCCTAGAGGGCCTGGGGTGGTGGTGGAGGTGGTGATGGAGGTGGTGGTAGTCCTAGCACTGAGTCAGACAACAGAGCTGGGCAGGGCAGATAAAAGCTGCAGCTGCCTGCAGGAAGCCACACGTCAGGCACGGGAGCGGCTGCTTTCCCCTACTGCTGCTTTTGGGGACTTTAAGTGCCCCTCCATGTTAACGGAGGGGGCACGATGGTCTTGGAGAACTGGGGTGACCTTGCTGCGGGTCTGTCCTCCTCTAGTGCTGAGGTCACTGGTGCCTTTTGGGCCAGAGCTGCTCCTTAACTTGACGGTGATATGTTCATGCCTCCAAGCTGGGAGGGCACGGGTGCATTCCCCGCATTCTGGGGCACTCCTCCCCTCACCTTGATTGGAGCCCTTTCTCCCTACTCACGTCCAGCAAGAACCTGGAATCTGCTGTGCAGGAGGCAAAAGGAAGCTTTGGGGTGGCTCTCCCTTGACCTGGGGACATGGCCGCGTTCCTCCGTTTGCGGTGCGGCGGCGGGCGGGCGGTGGGCCACGTCGCCGGGCCCCTCTGCACCAATTGGCGCAGCGTAACCGCCGTGCCGCCCCTCCCGGCTCTGCAGCAGAATGGCTCTGCCCTCTGCTCGCTCGCTCTCTTTTTCTCTTCTGCCATCTTCCCGTTGCAAAGCATTGCTGGGAACCGCATGTGGGTGACGCAGCAGCATTGTTTCAGGCTCAGGAAACTGCCGCTGCTGCCCAAGGGCTCGAGAGGAGCACGCGGCTGCCGGCGTGGCTGCTGGATGGAGCCGGGGAGGAGCCGGGGACGCTCGGGGCGGGGGGCGCGGGCGCGCTTCTGGCCATGTCCCTGAGAGCTGTGGATCCGGCGCGGGGCCGCATAAGCTGAGCCAGCCCAGGCAAAAAGGGGAGGGGGGGCAGCCCTTGCCGTGTGGGCACCGAAACAAAGAGGGCTCGTCAAACTTCGCCTCGGAGTAGCAGCCGCTCAAGAAGCGCAAGGTCAGGCGATTGGCGGTGCATGCGGGACAGGGAGGGGACACAGGGATGCTCGGGGACTGCGGGGGGACCGGGGGCTCCGGAAGCTGGGGGTCCCTGCTTTCCTTCAGCAGGCGCTCGGGCTCCCCTCTCCGCTTCCTGTCCTTGGGACGTGCAGCCAGGGGTCCCGTCCTCGCTGCACCCTTGAGGCACCTGGGTTGGACCCACCGCCACCCCCCGCCGCAGCTTCCTGCGCGTACCCACGTGTGCGTGCATGCACCCTTGGTCCCTGACCTTCTCTTTCGGCCCGTGTCCAGGGACAGTGGGCTGGGAGGCGGAAGGGCTGCAGGCAGTGCGCCGGCAAGGTAGTGGCTTCCTGTCTGAATCAGTGCGGGGTTGCGGTGTTGGAGCCAGTCCCTAGGGATAGGGATGGGGTCGCTATCCCTGCCTGGCCGCGGGGATGCTGGCTAGAGGCTCCTTCTGGCGTGGCCATGGCAACGCCACGTAAATAAAGCACCTTTGCAGCAGGCGTGTCTGGTAGGCAGGAGGCTCAACCTCTTTGGATAACGCAGGGTGCTCGGGGGATAACTCACAGCAGGGCACAGGGGTGCCATGTCCCGAGGCTGTGGGGGGGGGGTGGGCCTGTATGCGTCCACACCCCTGCAAATCCCACAGCATCTCTGGAGCTTGCTGCTCTCTCCCTGCCCCTGTGCAGGGCCTTGGGGCTGAAACGCAGTCGATGAAAGTGCTCGTGCAGTCAGCTCAATGGAGCTTGTCTGGAACATGGGGAGGGCTCGCTGCTCGTGGGCAGGGGGAGAGTTCCTTGAGATCCTTTGCCAGTCCTTCCTGAGGCACGCTGGCCCTGGCATCTGTTCAGAGCCCACCTGGCTGGCAGGGGCATCATTCTGCTCTCCTCACACTTGTCCTTTTTGTCTTTTGTGCTTCTCTTCCTCTCCCTTTCCATCAGCTGCTGCTAGAAGAATACGCAAACAGTGACCCCAAACTGGCACTTACAGGCATCCCCATTGTCCAGTGGCCCAAAAGAGACAAGGTAGGAGCTGCAAAGAGGACTGTGGGTGGCTGTTCCTGGGGGGAATGGTGTGTGGTTTGCCCAGTTCTCCGCCTGCTTCTGGGGCTTGGCAGCACTACCTCCATACTGACCAGGGAGCGCTGCAGGGGCACAGCACAGGGCTCCGTGGGCAGCCCCCAATGTGCTGGTGTATGCCTTGTCTGGGGAGATCTGCTGTGACTCCACAGGATACTTGTATTGGTCAAGGGCACGGGCCGCTCCTCTGGGGTGGAAGAGCAGGAGGTATTTGCATGCTGCAGGTGTGGCATTCAGGTGCTTGGTGCATCCACAGCTCTGTTCTCCTGCTGGCTTTCTTAGCACATGCAGCATCGCGGCTGCTCCCAGAAGGATGCAGTGGGGGAGATGTCTGCTGTCCCGTGGGGCATACTGCCACCCACCCACCTCAACTCCTTCCCTCTTCTATCCCCAGCTAAAGCTGCAGGCCCGGCTGAGAGTGCGCCTGCCCACCATACCCATTACCAAGCCTCACACGATGAAGCCAACCCCTCGCCCAACGCCCATCAGGCCCACGATGTCCCCCATCGTGTCAGGTGCCCGGCGGAGGCGCGTGCGCTGCCGGAAATGCAAGGCCTGCATGCAGGGCGAGTGTGGCATGTGCCACTACTGCAGGGACATGAAGAAGTTTGGTGGACCTGGTCGTATGAAGCAGTCCTGCGTCCTCCGGCAGTGCTTAGCGGTGAGTTTGTGGTACAATCCCATTCACCAAAGACTGCTGCAGCCCGGCAACAGTTCTGTGTGGCTGACCATGCTCAAGATTGGTTTCTGCAGGAAGGTTTGGGGTCTTTCCCATTGTTTGGGTGGCGGAGGGAGGAGGAGGAGATGGAAAAGCTGTCCCGCTCTGCCCTGGTTTCACCCCTACTTTCCTTTGTAGCCCAGGCTGCCTCACTCGGTCACGTGTGCGCTTTGCGGGGAGGTGGATCAGAATGAGGACTCGCAGGACTTTGAGAAGAAGCTCATGGAGTGCTGCATCTGCAATGAGATTGTTCACCCTGGCTGCCTGCAGGTGAGCAGCAGTACTGGTGAGAACTAGGGCCAGCAGGGCTGGACTGTGGGGAAGGGTGCTGCTGACTGCCCTTTGCTCTTTGCAGATGGATGGGGAAGGGCTGCTCAATGACGAGCTCCCCAACTGCTGGGAATGTCCCAAATGCTACCAGGGTGACGACACAGAGAAGGGCCAGGTAGGAGGCAAGCCACACTGAGGCAGGGGAGGGCATTTGTCCTGTGTGTCCTGCTTTGGGTAAAGCAGGATTTGGGCCAGCCAGGGCATGGAAGTGACTCTGGAAGTGCATGGGCAGGGTTGTGGGGTGGGCTGGAGGCTGGGGGACCCCAGCAGGTAGCGACCAGGGTGCAATGCTGGGGTGAAGGAGCCAGCAGACACTGCTGCAGCCTGACCTCAGGGCTGACAACTGACATCCCCTGCTCTATCTCTGGCTCCTAGGGAGCCCACTGGCATGCCAGAGCCAGGCTCCTGCAGAAACGGCGAGCACCACCAAGTCCTTCTGGCAGGCAGCGAGCAGAGCGCACATGGCAGTGTTCAGCCCGCTGGCAGCTGCTGACACTACCCAGTATGCTGCCCTATCGCTACAACGCTGCCTGTAGGATTGTGCCCACTACTGTGGATGGAAGCAGGGCAGCCAAGGCAAGCTGGGCACCAGACAGCATCCGGCAGCGTCCTCACTTTCTCCTGGGTGATGTGCATGCTTGGGGTGCACGTATGGCTGGCTCTTGGGTCCCCCAGCACTGCAAGCAGCCAGAATGAGCACCCTTTCGCCCCCTCGGTGCTTTGTGCTGAGCTGTGATCTTGGGAGTTGTGAGAGGCAGGGGGCCTTTGTGCACAGAGTGGACACCAGCCCCAGCCTCAGGGGACACTATTTCTGCAAGAGGAGAAGGAAATGCCAATTTTTTTTGCTGTGGGTGTGGTGCATGACAACCGTGACGGATAAGAGGAGCGCGTTCCCCCACCCCTGCTAACCTGCCATCCTGCCTCTCTGCAGAAGCGCAAGGTAGAAGAGAGCGATGATGACATGGCACAAGCCAAGGTGCTGCGGCCCCTGCGGAGCTGTGAGGAGCCCCTGACCCCGCCACCCAACTCGCCCACCCCCATGCTACAGCTGATCCACGACCCGGTGTCACCGCGAGGTGTGGTAACGCGCTCGTCCCCAGGCGCTGGTCCCAGCGAGCACCACAGCGCCAGCAGGGACGAGCGGTTCAAGCGGCGCCAGCTTCTGCGGCTCCAGGCCACTGAGCGAACCATTGTGCGGGAGAAGGAGAACAACCCCAGTGGCAAGAAGGAGCTGTCAGAAGTGGAGAAGGCTAAGCTGCATGGCTCCTACCTCACCGTGACGCTCCAGCGCCCCACCAAAGATGTTCATGGCACTTCCATTGTCCCCAAGCTGCAAGCCATCACCGCCTCCTCTGCCAACTTGCAGCACTCTCCCCGTGTGGTGATGCGCCACACACCTGCCCGGATGTACCCCCGGGGTGGGGGGGAGGACGAGGCGGCTGCTGAGGAGGACGAGGAGGAGGAGGATGAAGATGATGAGAACATGGAGGAGGGAGGGGCTGCCCGCCTCAACGGCAGAGGGGGCCGGGTGCAGGAGGGTGAGGAGAGCTGGATGCAGCGCGAGGTGTGGATGTCTGTCTTCCGCTACCTCACCCGCAGGGAGCTCTGCGAGTGCATGCGGGTGTGCAAGACCTGGTACAAGTGGTGAGTATGGGAACAGGCAGTGCTGCCAGGACCACTTGTAACTCTGCAGAGCCTGGGGCCTGATGGGCAGCTAAGAGGGGAAGGGGCAAAGGATCATTCACCCCCTAACCTATCCGTGCCTTCCTCCTCTCCCCAGCACTGGCATTTTTCAGGCAGCATCATCCCACTGCCTCTTCTGTCTGTGCTTGACTGTCCCCTCGGTGGGAGATGGTCACACGGTGTAACTCAAATCCCACACCGTGTTCCTGTGAGGTGCTGGTGCTCCTTCCTCACCCGATGCCCTGTGCAGCCCTTGCCCTTCCTGGCCCCACAGCACGAGTTGAGTGAGGATGGGTTTGCTGCCTGGGAATGCCTTAAGGGGCGCTGGCTGAAGACAATGCTGGCAGCAGGACAGCTGTGGATGGAGAGCTGGGAACAGACAAGCATGGGGAACTGGGTTTCTTGATGCCAAGCAGTGGGAATGGCACGGCAGGGAAGGGCTGGCACGCTTTGATCAGCAGGCATTGTCTTGGCAGGCTGTAGGGGACGTGGCATGGCTGCTCTGGGAGTAGGGCAGCGTCAGGTCTCCAGCTCTTGTGACGGAGGAGGGATTCACTCCACCTTCAGGCTCCATAACAGCTCCTGGTGATGCAGAGAGCACTGCTATGGCTGTGGGATGGGACTAGGTGGAGCATTTTGCCCCCTGGAAGCAGGGATACTGAAAATCTTTGCCGTATCTGGGGAGCAAGCAGGCTGGCAGTTGCCGTGCAGTTCTGTTACATGGCAGCAAAATTCTGCTGGAGCTGTTCTGAGTATCCTAGGTGGCCAGGCGCCTCCAGCATCCTCGCATGTCTGGGAAGGCCCAACCAACTTGAAGGAGTGGCTTTGTTCTATGGCTGGAGCTATGCCAGGGCTGGGGTCCTCCCAGAATGACTGCTTCTTGTCCCTGACACCCTCAGTGCTCAGCTTTCACCCTTATCCTCGTCCCCCAGGTGCTGTGACAAGAGACTGTGGACAAAGATAGATTTGAGCAGGTGCAAGTCCATCACCCCCCAGGCACTGAGTGGTATCATCAAAAGACAGCCTGTCAGCCTTGACCTCAGCTGGACCAACATCTCCAAAAAACAGCTCACGTGGCTTGTCAACAGACTGCCAGGTGAGTGTGGGCTGGGCAGTGGTCCGCTGCCAGCCTGCTCCACAGCTCCCCAGTGGCTGAAGCATAGCAAGAGGGGTTCCTGCCTGCAGTAAGACTTCTGAGTGCTTGTGTCCCTTTGCTTGGGGAGCTGCTGTCATGGTTTCCTGCAGCTCTTCTCAGCGTGGAGCCTTGCTCTATGTCCCACCTCAGGCAGGGAGAGAAGCTGTTTCCTCCTGCAACTGAGACCTGACATGCCTCAGAGCTGGCCAAGCCCAGCTGGCATCTTACGTCTCTCTTTTTTTCCCGGCAGGCCTGAAAGACCTCATCTTAGCAGGCTGTTCCTGGTCTGCAGTCTGCGCTCTCAGTACCTCCAGCTGCCCCCTTCTCAGGACCCTTGATCTTCGGTGGGCAGTAGGAATCAAGGACCCTCAGATCCGGGACTTGCTCACACCTCCAACAGATAAACCCAGTAAGCCGCTGCCGCGTGGCCAAGATGACCGAGCCAGGCACAGGGCAGGAGGTGTCACTGGATCTGCACGGCGCAGCACCGTGTGTCTGATCCCGGCTTTTCCCCTTCCTCTGCAGGTCAGGACAATCGCAGCAAACTCCGCAACATGATTGATTTCCGGCTTGCTGGCCTGGACATCACTGACGCCACGCTGCGGCTGATCATCCGCCACATGCCCCTGCTCTCCCGCCTTGACCTCAGCCACTGCAACCACCTTACAGACCAGTCTGCCAACCTCCTCACGGCTGTGGGCTCTTCCACACGCAACTCCCTCACTGAGCTCAACATGGCAGGTGGGTGCTGCTGGCCTTACTGGCACGTAGCGATTTGCTCTTCTGCTCGGTGCTGGCGCTGCAGCTCAACCTTTCTCTCCTGTCCCTGCAGGCTGCAATAAGCTGACAGACCAGGCCTTGCTGTACCTGCGCCGCATCTCCAACGTCACTCTCATTGACCTGCGAGGTTGCAAGCAGATCACTCGCAAAGCCTGTGAGCACTTCATCTCAGATCTGTCCATCAACAGCCTGTATTGCCTGTCCGATGAGAAGCTGATCCAAAAGATCAGCTAGAGACCCTCCCCCGGGCAGGCTGAGGAGAAGGAAAAAAAGCCCACCCCTCTCAGAGAGCCACTCCTCCGCCTTCCCACCTTGCCCTCCATGTCCTGCCCCTGCCTCCTCGTGGGCAGGGCCGGTACTGGCCTTGCTCAGCTGTCTTTTCTCCTCCTACCGCTGGGACTTGTGCCGATGTGGGCATTCCCCTGGCTGGCCAGTACGAGAGGAGGACCGTGCCCGCAGCAGGGAGCTCCCAAGGCGGAGGTTGTCGCAGACATCCCTGGGTGGAGAAATGGGGCGCACCCTCTTCCCCCCGCTTTTCCCCAGCTCCTTGCCTTGAAACACTTGTCACTTCCCCATTAGCACAAAGCTTGAGGCCTCTCCAAGGAGGAGGGAGCAGAGCTGGGACAGACCCTCTCTCTCGGTGCCACCACCAGCTTGAGCCCTGCTCTTAGCCCCCTCACCTGGCCCTCGGATCCCGTTCTTCCCCTGCGGTGAGGGTGAGGGCAGGAGCCCTACAGCCTGGGCGTGGTGGCAAGGCTGGGGATGGAGCTTCCACCCTGGGGCTTCCTCAGAGCCCTGTGCAAGGCTAGGCTAGGGGAGCAGCCCCCAGAGCTCAGGGAGGACTCGAATAATCAGCGAAGGGTGAGTGAGTACAGGGGGAGCAGGAACTGCTGCTTCTCCCTCCCCAGCTGCCTGCCAAGGCCCAGCACTGCCAAGTGCTGAGATTTGTGTGGCAGGACTGTCCTGCTGCCTTGTCCTCTCCTCTCCCCCCGCCCCATTTTAGCTGCCGTTTTTTCCTTTGCAATGAGCGGTTGGTCCAAAGAACCTCTCTCTAGGGCAGCAGAGAGCTTTTTGCACTTTAAGAAAAAAAAAAAAAAAGTTGGTATCTTTTGGGTCACTCTTTTGTTTCCCTCCCTGCCCGCGCCCGGCTGCTGCTCCTCTCCCCGGTGCATGGCACAGCGCAGCCCCGTGTGCCCCTGGGGCCCCAGAAGCAATAAGGGAGGAGAGGAGGCTGCGGGGGTGCTGTTAGTGGGGGGAGCAGAGCCCCCCACCTCTGTCCTGGTGGTGGTCGCTGTGTAAGGCAGCGGAAGAATCAGCGTTTTTTCTTTTTTCCTTGGGTTCATTTGTTTTTTGAGTTTCGCCACCAGAAGGGCAGAGGCACAGGGAGCGGTGCGGGACCTCCCTCCTTTCCCCCTCCCCGCCCCCTCTCCCCCACAGCCCCGCAGGGACAGGCGATCTACCAGTAAGCGAAGAGAGAGTTCTATATGTGAAATCACTCAGTGATTTAAAGCACCCGGACTGCTCCCGGCCACCTCCCGCAAGAACAGTTCCTATTGTTTAAGGGTTTGGTTGTGTTTTTGTTCTGTTTCGACCTCCCCTCCCTTCTCCCCCTCGGAGAAATATTGTAAATATATATTTTTTGTTGGCAATTTAGAGTCCATCTCTGATGTTTGTGCTTTAAAATTAAATGTAAGCATTAAGGGTTAAAGCAAACCATAGCGTGCGCTCTCTGCGTTGGGGCTTGGGGGGGCGCACGGCGGGGCTGCTTGTTTCTTTTTGTTCGGTTGTTTTTCGTTTGTTATTTCACCGTTGTTCTCCAGAGGTGGTTTTGGAGATCTTTGCTCCTGCGGCATTACTGCGGTGATAGGCGAGAGGGGCTGGGAGGGCCTCCCAGAACCGTTCTGTTCCTCAGGGTGGATTTTTGGAATTAAAAAAGTTGAGGAAAACGAAAACACAAAACGCAGCGTCTGAGCTCTGCCCCACGGCTGGGGGGGGGCACATCCCCCTCTGGGCCGCGCGGGCCCTCACCCCCTCCCTTCCCGCACGCCTCGGGCCCAGCCCAACGCACTTCCGGATGCGGCTACTTCCGCTTCCGGGTCGCTGCTGGGGTCGGGCCGGTGCCGGCCTCGGCCCCGCGCAAGATGGCGGACCTAGAGGCTGTGCTGGCCGATGTGAGCTACCTGATGGCCATGGAGAAGAGCCGGGCCGCGCCCGCCGCCCGCGCCAGCAAACGGATCCTGCTGCCAGAGCCCAGGTGAGTGGCGTCGGGCCGGGGCCGCCGGGCCGGGCCCTAGCGTCCCTGCCGCCCTCAGCCCCATCGTGCCCCTATCTCGGACCCTCTGGCGCCCCAGATACTATTGGGGCGCACAGGGATACGGAGGGGAACAATGAGCCGACACTGACCCCCGGCTGCCCCCCAGCATCCGCAGTGTCATGCAGAAGTATCTGGAGGACCGGGGCGAGGTGACGTTTGACAAGATCTTTGCGCAGAAGATCGGTGAGTGGGGGCTGTGGGGCTGCAGAGGTGCTGGGTGCTGTCCTCCCCCGGTCTTCCCCGCCCTGTTGCTTCCCCTAGCGCTAACTGTCCTGGGCAGGAAGCGCCTCTTGCTTCCTTCCCGCGGCTCTGGTGGTTTCCGGCACCTCCGCCTCATGGCAGCCCCAGAGCCCTCGGTCTGCCACGCCCTTGCCGTGTGGCACTGCGTCCCTCGGCCTGGGTGCCACACCGTGGCGCAGACACCGCTCGCAGCGCTGCCTCTACCCCAGGGTACCTGCTGTTCCGGGACTTCGCCCTCAACCAGGCTGAGGAAGCCAAGCCCTTGATGGAGTTCTACGAAGAGGTGCGATGGGGTGCTGGGGCTGGGGTGTCCTGTGATGTGCCTGGGGGAGATGATGCCCCACATGCCTGGAGGTGATGCCCTCAGTGCCCAGGGTCCTGATATCCACAAGTGCCCACGAGATGTGGTCCCCCACTGTGCACCGTGTGCGCCCTTTGTGGAGCTGTGCCCCTTCACCACGCAATCTATGCCCTTGGCAGATCAAAAAATATGAGAAGCTGGACTCGGAGGAGGAGCGAGCCACTCGGAGCCACTACATCTTTGACCATTACATCATGAAGGAGCTGCTGGCCTGCTCCCACGTGAGTGCCATGCCTCATCATGCCACACCACAGGGGATTTCACCACCATGTCTCCATCCCACCTTCTCATGGTGATGTGGTGGTGTTCTGCCCCACAGCCGTTCTCCAAGAGTGCCACAGAGCATGTGCAGAGCCGCCTGAGCAAGAGGCAGGTGCCCCCAGACCTCTTCCAGGTAAGCTCTGTCCATGACATGGAGGGGATGGTGGCACTGGGGTCACCAGAGACAGCTGGCCTCAGATGGCAGAAGGTGGCAGTGGAGATGTGAGAAATGCCACCTAACTTCTGCAGGGAAGGGGGCAGACCTGAGTGGCAGTGGGGATGTAATGCTAACCCCCATGTTACCCCTAGCCCTACATTGAGGAGATCTGCCAGAACCTGCGTGGGAGCATCTTCCAGAAATTCATTGAGAGGTGAGACAGGAGCACGGCCTGGGGAGAGCTGTCTCTCAGGGTGCTGCAGGGCTCCTGCTGAGAAGCTCCAGTGCTGTCTGTCTCCACACCTGAGACTTGGGCTGATGTCATGCCCAGCTCTGGCCTGGGGTCTCTGTTCTCACATGAGGGTCCTGTCCACATCTGGATCCCTTCTGCCCCACCATGCATCTTAGAGGTCTCCCCAGGGGTCTCTCACCCTCTCTGTGCTTCCTTGCAGTGACAAGTTCACACGGTTCTGCCAGTGGAAGAACGTGGAGCTGAACATCCATGTGAGACCTTCCTCCTTGGGATACAGGGAGGGAATATGGGTCCTGGTCCTAAGGGAGTTCCAGGGGACTGAGGCTGGGCGTGGGACCCCCGCAGGACGCACAGGGGGTAGCTACGACGGGGTGATCCCCTCTTTCTGATCCGCTTTAGCTCACCATGAACGACTTCAGTGTGCATCGCATCATCGGCCGCGGTGGCTTTGGGGAGGTCTACGGCTGCCGGAAAGCGGACACAGGCAAAATGTAATGGGGCCAGGGAGGTCTGCTTGTGATGTGAGACTGTGGTTCTGTGGGCAGGGCGGTGAGCGGTGTTGCTTTGATGATAAGCACACAGGAAGGCCAAAGTGTCGCCATGGCTCCACCTTCCCGGGGGATACGTTGTGATGGCTGGGGGAAGGAGCTGTCTGGCCACAGGCACTGCGGCACAGGCGTGGTGGGTACAGGCAGCAGCAGAACCCCACAGGGACTCTCTGCCCCCAGGTATGCCATGAAGTGCTTGGACAAGAAGCGCATCAAGATGAAGCAGGGTGAGACGCTGGCCCTCAACGAGCGCATCATGTTGTCCCTTGTCAGCACTGGGGTGAGGGGATAAGGGCACAGGGCAGAGGGTGACGTGGGCTGCTGAGGCACCGCTGGCTCAGCATGACATCTTCTCCCTGGCCAGGATTGCCCATTCATCGTGTGCATGTCGTATGCTTTCCACACACCTGACAAGCTCAGCTTCATCCTTGACCTAATGAATGGTGAGAGCCCTCTAGCTGCTCCCCAGCCTCAGCACTGCAGCCCCCTGGGACCTTGCTATGGCATTCCCAGGGTGACTGCTGGTGCCTGTTGCTGCAGGGGGGGACCTGCACTATCACCTGTCCCAGCATGGCGTCTTCTCGGAAGCAGAGATGCGCTTCTACGCATCAGAGATCATCCTGGGCCTGGAGCACATGCACAGTCGTTTTGTGGTGTACCGTGACCTTAAGGTGACCGTCCCCCTGAGCACCCACCCTCTGTGTGGGCATGTAGAGGCCCCACAGTCCTCCAGGTCCTGTGGGCACCCCACATCTAGCAGGAAGCCCCCAGGCACCTCTGGGACCCTGCAGGCGCCCCTGCATCCTATGTCTCACCCATCCCACCATGCACAGGCATCCCCAGCCCAGGTGCCACCCATGCCCATGGGCTGGGCTGGGGCTCAGGGGTTGCTCCATGTCCCGGCAGCCAGCAAACATCCTCCTGGATGAATTTGGACACGTCCGTATCTCAGACCTGGGCCTGGCCTGTGACTTCTCCAAGAAGAAACCCCACGCCAGCGTGTGAGTGTGCCTGCCCCCCCCAGTGCCCTCTGTGACTCCTGGGCACAGCCCTGACCCAGCTCTGTGCCCCCAGGGGCACCCACGGCTACATGGCCCCAGAGGTGCTGCAGAAGGGGGTGGCGTACGACAGCAGCGCCGACTGGTTTTCACTGGGCTGCATGCTCTTCAAGCTGCTCCGCGGGTGAGTGCACACACAGAGGGCACTGGGAGGGCTGGGCACCAGGGGCACGGCTGAGCCCCACTCCTGTGGCTGCAGGCACAGCCCTTTCCGGCAGCACAAGACAAAGGACAAGCATGAGATCGATCGCATGACCCTCACCATGGTGAGCCGGGGGTCCTTGGGACACTGCACTGCAGCACTTGCATGCCTGCGCGGCTGTGAGCAGCTGAACCTTTGCCTGCAGGCTGTCGAGCTGCCCGACTCCTTCTCCCCTGAGTTGCGCTCGTTGCTTGAGGGGCTGCTTCAGCGTGACGTCAACCAGCGGCTGGGCTGCATGGGGCGTGGGTGAGTCCCAGCAGGTGTGGGGAAGGGGCCACAGGCGGCATCACCGTGGGCAGCACTGCCGCATTCACCCTGCATTGCCTCGCAGCGCTCAGGAGGTGAAGGAGGAGCCCTTCTTCAAAGGCCTGGACTGGCAGATGGTGTTCCTGCAGAAGGTGAGAGGGGCACGGGGCACAGCTGCAGGGCACGGCCAGGCACCCGCTCACTGCCTCTCTCCTGCCCGCAGTACTCCCCGCCTCTCATCCCACCCCGAGGTGAGGTGAATGCAGCTGATGCCTTTGACATCGGCTCCTTTGATGAGGAGGACACAAAGGGCATCAAGGTATCGGGCTGGGGGGCTGGCACGCAGCAGGGGATTGGCACGGGGCAGGCCCTGACCCCCGCCTCCTCGCCAGCTGCTGGAGAGCGATCAGGAGCTGTACCGCAACTTCCCGCTCACCATCTCGGAGCGCTGGCAGCAGGAGGTGACCGAGACCGTCTTCGACACCGTCAACGCGGACACGGACAAGCAGGAGGCACGCAAGAAAGCCAAAAACAAGCAGCTGGGCCACGAGGAGGGTGAGTGGGGCTGGGTGCCCCCTGTGCTGTCCCCGGTGTCTCTGCTGGCACCCCACAGTGGTGGCAGTGCTCGGCACTGAGCCTTTCCCCTGCGTTGCTGCGGCCCCAGACTACGCCATGGGCAAGGACTGCATCGTACACGGGTACATGTCCAAGCTGGGCAACCCCTTTCTGACACAGTGGCAGCGCCGCTACTTCTACCTCTTCCCCAACCGGCTGGAGTGGCGTGGGGAGGGCGAGTCGCCGGTAAGGCGGGCGGGGGGGGTGTGGGGTTCAGCCGTTGGGGCTTGGGCTGAGTCTGTCCCCCCCAGCAGTCCCTGCTCACCATGGAGGAGATTGACTCGGTGGAGGAGACTCAAGTGAAGGAGCGCAAGTGCATCCTGCTCCGCATCCGTGGCGGCAAGCAGTTCGTGCTGCAGTGCGATGTGAGTGTGCCGTGGGCCCTCCTGGGAGGGCTGCCCCAAGCCACCGCGTGGCACGAGGGTGACTTGGGGGAGCTCTGCTCTGAGCCGTGTGCTTCCGCACAGAGCGATCCCGAGCTGGTGCAGTGGCAGAAGGAATTGCGGGATGCCCAGCGCCAGGCCCAGCAGCTCCTGCAGCGGGTGCCACGCATGCAGAATAAGCCACGCTCACCTGTGGTGGAGCTCAGCAAAGTGCCCTTCCTGCAGCGCTCTGCCAATGGGCTCTGACCCTGCGCCCTGGCCCCCCTTCCCACCCTACTTCTAATTTATTGGGTTGGGTCCCGCTCCTTCGCCGTGTCCCTGAGCAGAGCTCTAGGAGGACACCTGGTGACAGTGCCATCCCCGTGCCCGCGGTAGGGCACAGCCATGGCGTCGCTGTCCTGAAGCAGAGCTGGCACTGGACATGCAGCACTGCTCCCTGCTCCCTGATCCGGCTCAGATGAAGGCAGTCCCCTGCCCCCCTCCCGTCTGCTGACCTGCTCCCGGTCCTGTGCCCCCTTCGCCACCAGTGTGTGCCAAATGGGGCACCGCCCTTTGCCCCGTGTGCCCCAGCCCGGCTGTGCCCGTCTGTGGGTGCCAAGTCCTCGGTGTGAATGACGGTGTGCATGCGTGCCCAGGGGGCGCCCTGTAAATACTGTGCCATGGGCCCCCTGCACCCCCTGAGCCGGCGGGTGGGCAGGGAGGAGGCAGCTGGGGGGGAGAAGCGGGGACACAGAGTCTGTGCCCGTGACCCCAGCACATGGCACCAAGCCCTGTGCCCCCCGGCTCTCCCTGCTGTGCCCGCTAGCATCTGTAAATATGAGCGTGGGGAGGAGCAGCGGGCAGGGCACGGCTGCGAGTGAGGGTTGAATGAAGAGAAACGTGAGAATGCATTAAAAAAAAAAAAAAAAAAGAAAAGAAAAGAAAAAATAAGGGGAAAAAAAAGTGGGGTTTTTTTGTTTTTTGTTTTTTTTATATAATAAAAATGTGGAAAACCACAGCCAGGCTCCGAAGTCAGCAGGGGGGCACAGGGACCCGCCAGGGGAGCGGGGAGGGCATCGCCTTGCTGTCGGGGGGGACGGGGGGGGTTACCCGGTGCCGGCCCCGCCCCGCGCCGCCGCGCTGCGCTGCGCCGCGCCACCGCCGCCCCCGCGCGCAGCCATTGCGGGCAGGCGCGGAGCTGCCAGTCGGCTCCTGTGCGCTGTCCGGCCCGGCCCGGTCCGGCCCGGGCCCCGGGGACATGGTGCGGGAATGGCCCGCGCCGCAGACACCTTCCTGCTGCACCGCCTCGTGTGGCACAACCGGCACCAGGCGCTGGACAGTGCGCTGCGCTCCGGCACGGTGCGCGCCGGGTGCGGGGGGGGGGTGCGGGCACGGCACCGGGCACGGCGCGGCGGGGGGGATGCGGGCGGCAGCGGTACAGGGACCGGGAGGAACGGGGGGCGCCGGCAGTACGGGTGATACTGGGGAGAGAGGGGAAATAGGGTCTCTGGAGCGCCGAGGCGGCAGCGCGGCGGGTGCAGGGAAAGGGGAGAGCGAGGGGGAGAACGGGACGTGGAGACCGGAGGGAGGAACTGGGGGCACTGGGACGCGGTGCCGGGGGGATGAGGGGACGGGGAGAAGTAGGGGCGCTGAGGGACGGGAGGTCTTGGGGTCGGGGTCTGCGAGGCTGGGGATGAGGGCGTGGGAGAGCGGGGGCACGCGGCTGGCACCGGACTGCGGGCGGCCGGGTGACGGTGCGCGTGCCCCAGCACGACGTGGAGTTGACGGACCCCCGAGGGCGGACCCCGCTGGAGCTGGCCGTGTCCCTGGGCCACCTGGAGTCGGTGCGGGTGCTGCTGCGGCACAACGCCAACGTGGGCCGGGAGAACGCCAATGGCTGGACAGGTGTGTGGGGGGAGTTTGGGGTGCAGGGATGGCGGCGGCACCTGGCTGATGGCAGCTCCCTGCCCCACAGTGCTGCAAGAGGCAGTGAGCACGGGGGACCCCGAGATAGTGCAGCTGGTGCTCCAGTACCGTGACTACCAGCGGGCAACGCGGCGACTTGCTGGCATCCCCGAGCTGCTCAGCAAGCTGCGCCGGGTATGGCCGGGTGTTGGGGCGGTGGGTGGGCACCCCTGGCACCGGGCACCTGTGGCACCGGATACCCCAGAATGGGTGCTCCAGGCACCTCCGTCACCGAGCTCCTGTGGCACCGGGTACCCCTAGTACCAGGTGTGCACCCAGCATGAGCGCCCCCATCGCTGGAGCACCCCCAGATCTGGACACGTCCAGAACTGGAGGCTCTGCGTGGGAATTAGAGGGTGCAGAGGCAGCTGGAAAGACCCTGGGTACCCCATCTCCCCCAGGACTCCCTGTTTTTTCCCCTCAGTCCCCTTCCCAAGCTCCCCAAGGGGCCCCGCGGGCCTCCCCGACACCCAGCAGGGATCTCCGAACCATAGCCCTCGTGACCCCTTCGTCTCCTTCAGGCCTCTGACTTCTACGTGGAGATGAAGTGGGAATTTACCAGCTGGGGTGAGCAGGAACAAGGACTGGGGCGAGGATGGGGGATGGGGATGAGGTCTGGGTGGGGGTCACCCCCTGTCACGCCACTGATGGGTGCTGCTGCCCGCAGTGCCTCTGGTGTCCAAGGTGTGCCCCAGTGACGTGTACCGCGTCTGGAAGCGGGGTGAGAGCCTGCGGGTCGACACCACACTGCTGGGCTTTGAGCACATGACGTGGCAGCGGGGCCGCCGCAGCTACATCTTCAAGGGAGAAGGTTCGGCTCCAGCACCCCAGAAAAACCCAGGGACCCACACAAATCCCAGATCGCCCATAAAGGCCTCGGGTACCCCTGGAATGTGGCATTCCCAAAGGCCAGGGGTTGCCTGTGTGCTGCAGAGTGCCGAGTGCTGACTCCATCCCCTCGTGCAGAGGAGGGAGCGGTGGTGATGGAGGTGGACCACGACAAGCAGGTGGTGTACACTGAGACGCTGGCCCTGGCCCTGCACGAGCCTGACCTGCTGCTGGCGGCCATGCAGCCCTCGGAGGAGCACGTGGCTGGGCGGCTGACGTCGCCCATCGTCTCCACGCACCTGGACACCAGGAACATTGCCTTTGAGCGGTGTGTGCCACGGGGCAGGTGGGGCTGGAGGGCTGCTGGACACAGGGCTGATGCCACCCTCTGGCTGCGCACCCAGGAACAAATCAGGGATCTGGGGATGGCGCTCAGAGAAGATGGAGGTGGTCAGCGGCTATGAGGCCAAGGTGCCACTGGCAGGGTGGGGTTGACCCCATTCCTTCCAAATCCCATCCACATTCCATCCTCTTCCCTCTCCCCATCCCCATCTCAATCCCATTCCCACCTCCATCCCCCTCCATTCTCATCCCCATCCCAACTCATTCCATCCCATTCCTTCCCCAGCCCTATCTCATCCCCATCCCACACCCATCCTGTATCCATCCCAATCCCCATCCATATTCCACTCCCATCCTATTGCTATCCCGTCCCCAATCCATCCAATCCCGGTCTCCATCCCATTCCCTTTCCAGACTGTCTCATCCTCTCCTGCAGGTGTACAGCGCCAGCAATGTGGAGCTGGTCACCAAGACGAGGACGGAGCACCTCTCAGACCAGGACAAGTCCCGCACTAAAGGTGTCTCTGCGCCGCCCCCCCGGGGCAGGTACCAGGCTGGCACTGTTGCCCCGTGCCCACCCACACCGGGTCTTTCCCCACAGGCTCCCGCACCCCCTTCCACTCCTTCCTGGGCCTGGCACAGCAGCACAGCACCCACAATGGGGTGAGTGGTGGGCAGGAGGGCTGGGGGACGGCGTGGGGCCGTGCTGAGCTGCGTGGGGCCATACCTCCCCCCAGGCACCCGCACCCCCAGCCGCCAGCCCCACCAATCCCACGGCCATCACCCTCGAGGAGTACTTTGACCCACACTTCGACCTGGAGGCACGCAACATCGGGCGCCCCATTGAGGTGTCCAGCAAGGTGCAGAGGTGGGCGCTGCACTGGAGGGAAGCAGGGGAGCGGAGCCGTGCCCGTGCCCATACCGCTGCCCGTGCAGGTTCAAGGCTACGCTGTGGCTCTGCGAGCAGCACCCGCTGTCGCTGGCCGAGCAGGTGACTCCCATCATCGACCTGATGGCCATCTCCAACGCGCACTTTGCCAAGCTGCGTGACTTCATCACCCTCAAGCTGCCCCCTGGCTTCCCCGTCAAGATTGGTGAGGGCAGGGGTGGGGGGGATGGGGCTGTAGCGAGTGGGGCTGCTGACCCGCCGTTCCCCCCAGAGATCCCCCTGTTCCATGTCCTCAACGCCCGCATCACCTTCAGCAACCTCTGTGGCTGTGACCAACCGCTAGGCTCCGTACGGGTCTGCAACCCCACTCAGCCCCCCGGTGCCAGGGCGGCTGGGCCTGGAGGTGGGGGGGAGAGGGGGGGGGGATGGGATGGGGTTGGGGTGGGGGGGAGGGGGAGGGGGGGGGGGATGGGGTGGGGTGGGACGAAATGAGGATGGGATGGGGATGGGACAGGATGAGGATGGGACGGGGTGTTGTGGGGTGGGGGTTTAGATGGTATGAACGGGGATGGAGGTGGGAATGGGGTGAGCCCACCAGAGGGGCAGTGACGGGTTGTAGGCGGGAACAGAGACGGGGATCCCCTCGGGTCGGTGCCGGGGGTGCCCAGCGGTGTGCCGCTGTAGGATGGCCGTTCCCGTGCGAGGTGGAGCCGGCGGTGTTCGAGGTGCCGCCGGGATACACGGTGCTGGGCGCGGGGCGCAGCGAGCCGCCGCGGGACGAAGACGACGACCTCCTGCAGTTCGCCATCCAGCAGAGCCTGCTGGACGCCGGCACCGAGAGCGAGCAGGTGGGAGCGCTCCCCTCCAGGCCGCGCCCACCGCGAGGCCACGTCCCAGCCCCGCTCCTCGCAGGTGACCGTGTGGGAGGCGCTGACCAACGCCCGCCCGGGGCCGCGCCCGCCGCCCTACGACGAGGAGCTGCAGCTGGAGCGGTGCGTGAGGCTCCGCTCCCGGGGCTCGGGGGGGCGGAGCGGCGGCAGGAGCGGCGCGGGGTCCGAGGGGACGCGGCCACAGCGCTGTCCCGCAGGGCGCTCCAGGAGAGTCTGCTGCTGCAAGCGGGGCCCGGCCCGGCCGACGGCGAGACCGCCCCCAACCCCGGCTACGGCGGCTTCGCGGAGCAGCTGCGCTTGGCCATGGCTCTGTCGGAGCGCGAGCAGGAGGAGCGCGAGCGGCGGCGGCGGGAGGAGGACGAGGAGCTGCAGCGCATCCTGCGCCTCTCGCTCACCGACAAGTAGCGGCCCGGAACGGGGGAGCGGCGCCCGGCGCTCCCGGAGCTGAGCTGCCCCCCCGTCCCCCGCCTCGCCCCAGGGGAGGCGGCTCCCGTCGGATGTACATGGACATATACAGAGCTTTATCGACAGCCGCGTGTGGCCTCTGCCTGGGCCGGGGCGGGGCGGGGCCTGCAGCAGGGGGCGGGGTCGGCGGGCCGGGGGCGTGCCTTGCAGCAGGGGGCGGCCCGGGGTCCATCCCTCCCATTCCCCAAAGTTCTGCCCCGTGCCCCCGCCGCCCGCAGGGAAGTCCCGACACCGGGCGGGGCGGGGCCGTGCCCGCTGCCCCTCCCGGGCCGTTCCGTGCCTGCTGCGGGCGGGGCCGTGACGGCGCTTCCTGGACGGGGCATGGCGTTGGTCACCGTGAGGCGGGCGCCGGGCTCCGCCGGGGTTCCCCCCGTGGTGAGTGCGGCCGGGAGCGGGCGGGGAGCGCCGTCGAACGGGGAGGGTCGGGAGGTGCCGCCAGATCGGGCTGGGGCAGTCCCCGTTGTCGTCGTCGTCCCTCCACTCGCGAGCGCTTCACCCTGGGGAACGGGGTCGAGACCCCCCCCCCGAGCTGCCTGGAGCTCTTGGCCGGGAGCGGAACCCCCCTTGCCGTGCCCGTGCCGCAAACGGCGGGGGGTTCGCGTCGTGCCCGAGCCGCCGCCAGGTTGGCCGTGCTCACTTTCCCCGTCGTGCTTTGCAGGAGGACGATGCGCCCAGGCGCGGCCACCTGCAGCGGCGGTGAGATGGGGGCACCGGGGGCTAAGGGGTACTGGGCGGTGATCCCGTCTTGCTCACGTCCCTCCTGCCCCAGGCAGAGCTTCGCGCTGGTCCGGGGGGCCGCGCTGCTGCTGCCTGCCGAGGAGCCGCCAGCCTCCGGACCGTCCCCCGCCGTGCCCCCCGGGCGGCAGGAGCGGCACCTGCAGCTCATGATGCAGCTGCTGAGATCGCAGGACGCCATCCAGCTGGTGGGGCCTCCACCGCGATGGTGTGGGGTTGGGGACGGTGATGAGACGGGATGGGGAATGGGTTGGGGATGAGATGGGGACGGTGGCAGGGATAGGAGCAGTGTGTAAGGAGGATGCAGATGGGAATACAAATGGGATGGGGATGGCAAAAGGGACAGGATGGGATGAGGATATGTGTGCTGATGGTGATGGGAATGGGGACCGAATGAGGATGGAAATGGAAACAGGATGGGAATGGGACGGGAGTGGAAGTGGGGGACAGGATAGTGATGGCAGTGGGGTTGGAATGTGTTGGGAAAGGGATGCGGATTATGATGGGGTGCGAATGAATTGGGGACAGGGACAAGACTGGGATGGGGTATATGGAAATGGGATGGCAATAGCGATGGAGGTGGGCTGGGATCCAGCCTGGCCCAGCCCCTTGTCCGCCTGGGGACACCCACTCAGGCCCCAACCTCAGGCAGTGCGGCTGGAGTCAGCGCAGCCACAGCGGGTGCGGTACCTGCTGGTGGTGCGGCCAGAGGAGGAGGGCGCCGAGGGACAGACAGCACTGCTGGGAGTGGACTTCCCACACAAAGGGTGAGCGGGGCTGCAGGGTCAGGGGGACGGGTGGTGGTCACACTCTGACCCCTGCCTGCCCCAGGGCCGACTGCTGCACCCTGGGCATGGTGCTGCCCCTCTGGAGCAACACCCAGGTCTTCCTCGATGGTGATGGGTAAGGAGCGAGTGGGGTGGATGGGGTCTGCTGGAAGGGGCGCAGCAAGAGTGCCCACCCTGAGCCACGTGTGTCCCTGTGGTGCCCAGGGGGTTTAGTGTGACATCTGGGGGGCAGACGCGTATCTTCAAGCCCATCTCCATCCAGACCATGTGGTGAGTTGGCTGTGGGCATGGGGACGTGGGCACTGCCATGGGGATGGGGATGTGTGCATTACTGTTTTGGACAAGGGCTCAGGATGCAAGGGTGTGGGGCAGCGTCATGGGCACCATGACCAGAGACGAGTCGTGCTGGGCTCGAGGGGACGTGGTGCTGGGGAGGGGCTGGCATGGCTGCAGCCATGGAGCGGAATCAATGTACCAGTGCTTGTGTCCAGGGCCGTGCTGCAGGAGCTGCACCGTGCCTGCGAGCTGGCAGCCCAGGGTGGGCACATCCCAGGGGGCCCAGCGCTGGCCTGGGTGCAGGAGTATGCAGCAGCACTGGACTCGGAGCAGAGCTGCCTCAATGAATGGCTGGCCATGGCCGACTTGGAGTCCGTGCGGCCTGGCTTGCTGCTGCCCACAGAGCCAACAGAGCGTGCAGTGCGGGCACTGCTGCGGGACGTGCTGACATCTGCTGACCTGGAGAGCATCACCTCCAAGGAGGTGAGTGCTGGGGGGATGAGGGGGTGACACAGGGGTCCCATCACCATCCCTCACCCCTTGGTGGGTGCCAGGTGAGAACAGAGCTGGAGCGGCGCATGGGGCACAGCTTGGAGCAGCACAAGGACTTCATTGACAACGAGATGCTGCTGGTGCTGGCGCAAATGGACCGGCCTTCACATGTCTTCCCACACATCTACCTGGTGGGCATGGGATGGGCTGTGGGGTACCGCTATTCCCGCCCATCCCACAGCATCACCGCCATCTTAGGGCTCTGAGTGGAATGCAGCCAACCTGGAGGAGCTGCAGCAGAACTGGTGAGCATGGGTATGAGATGGCAGTGGTGGTGGGCAATGGGACATGCGTATGGCCTCAATGCTCGCTGCCCCACAGTGTGACCCACATCCTGAACGTGGCACGGGAGATTGACAACTTCTTCCCAGCACTGTTCAACTACATGAATGTGCGGGTATACGACGAAGAGACGGCCCAGCTGCTGCCCCACTGGAATGACACCTTCCTTTTCCTCTCTGACATCAAGTTAGTTGGGAGCGGAGGGTGCTGTGGGGTGCCAGGGGGCATCTTGGTGGCTGGGAGCTTTGGGGACAGTGGGGGGGAAGAGGGGTCCTGGGGCACTGAGAATGACATGGCTGTGGGGCAGGGGGGACGCTGGCGGCTTTGAGAGCACTGTGAGAACTGGAAGCAGGGGGAGGCACTGGGAGAACCGGAGGCCTTAGGAGCAGTGCGGGGCAGTGTCCTTGGAGTGCTGGGGACACAGGTGGCACTGGGAAGCCGCTGGGTCCCCAGGAGCTGCATCGCAGTGAGGTTACACGGCAGGGCTCGCGGGGGCCGGGCGTTGGTGCACTGCCGCATGGGGCTGAGCCGCTCGGCAGCCACAGTGCTGGCCTACGCCATGAAGGAGTTCGGGTGGTCCCTGGAGCGGGCGTTGCGCCACGTCCGGCGCTGCCGGCCCGGCGTGCAGCCCAACCCCGGCTTCATGCGCCAGCTCGACTTCTACCAGGGCATCCTGAACGCCAGGTGGGTACAGCGGGCCGGGCACGCTGCGGCCGCGCCCCTCTCGGGGGCGGTGGGCTGTAGGACGGCGTACCTGGGGGGGCAGGCGGGGTCCCACCCGCTCCGACGGCAGCAGCCGGGACTCCGTGCGGACGGGGCTGCGGGTGACCGCGGTGCTCGTGTGCAGCCGGCACAGCAGCTTCTGGGAGCCGCAGGCGGCGGAACGGGCGCCGGAGCCGGAGGAAGCCGTGCCGTGGGACGACGGGGCTCTGCCCCCTTCCCCATCCGCGTCCTCACCGCCCCCCGAGGAGGACGGCAGGCCGGGGCTGGTGGGGGCCGCCCGGCGTCCCCGCATCTCCCTGTGTGCCGTCATGCGGAGCATCAGCCAGATGGAAACCCCCGAGAACCTCGGGGAGCCCTTGGGCGGGGAGGTGAGCGCTAGGGGGCGGGGGACAGCGGGGCTGCAAGTAGGTGACGGTGGGTGTGGGGAGAACGCGGAACGCACGGCTCCTTCTGGAGACTCCCGCTCCCACAGGTGTCCGAAGGCGGCCAGGGCCTGGGGGACACGGAGGGCTTGAAGGCGGCCCCCCTAGGACCGCGGCCCAGGTCCCGGCCGTGCCGTGTGGTTCGCCAGGCCAGCGTGGATGGAGACGGCGTACCTGCGGAGGAGCACAGCCCTACGGAAGGCTTCGCCCCGACCCGGGAGCTCGGCCCCCCCGGCGCTCCGTAGCCCACGGGGGCACGGGGCAGAGCTCCCACGCGACAGCACTGCGAGGCGCGGCCTGGCTCTGATGGGGGCGGGGCCCGGGGAAACCACGCCGCTCTGTACGCACTTCGTGTCACCGCAGGGCCGCACCGCACGGCACTGCCGCTATCACCAGCACTCACCGGCCAGAGAATAAACCTCGAAGAGGGATGGCAGCGATGTACAGAGCTGTGCTGTCTGGGGGCGGTGGGACGGCACCGTCAGGAGGGCTCAGCGTGAGCAAGTGATTGCGCCCCAGCCCCCCCCCCCGCCGCACACTACAATTCCCAGCAGGCCGTGCGCGCCGCCGCCGGGCCCGCCCCGCTCTGTCGTTTGCGGGGCACGACGGGAAATGTAGTCGCGGCGCTGCGGCGCCATCTTACGAGAGACGCAGGCGAGCGCCTTCCCCGGTTGCCGTGGGAACCAGGCGCCAGCTTCGGCTCGAGCAATTAACGCAATTAGCGCACTCACTGTTTTATTCACCCAGCAGCGGCCGCCCGGGCTGCGGCGCTGCGTACCGGGACCTCGGCGTCGTACCGGAGCCGCCGTCTTGCCGTCCGCTCACAGACCGTACTCGTGCCACAGGCTGCGGGCACAGCGCACGGTCAGCCCGCCGCCCCGCTCCGCCCCGCTCCCGCCCCGCTCCCGTCCCGCACCTGTACGTGACTGCAGGGTCGTCGCGGTGCTCCAGGAGGGCGTCGCGGATCGTGGCCGGCGGGTTGAGTCCCAGCGCCCGCGCCCGCTCCCAGCGCTGCAGCCGGGTGATGCCTGCGGGGGGAACGGCCGTGAGCGGCGGGGATGGGGTGAGGGGTGGGTTGGGGGTCGGTGTGCGACGGCTCACCGGTGCACGGCCCGTACTCCCAGGCCAGATCGAAGCGGCGCAACATCTCCAGCAGCTCTCGCGGGGCCTCGCGCGGCGGGGCAGAGGGGTCCCGGGCTTCGTCCTGCGCGGGGTGGGGGGGTGTGGGCGGGGCCGGGGCCGGCGGGACCACCCGGTGGCGCCCCTCTCCGCCGCGCCGCCGCCGCGCTCCGCTCCGATCTTTGCCGCCGGCGCGTGTCTGCGCGCGGTGCCGCCGCGGGAAGCTGTCGGTGATCCGTCTGGCGCGCTCCATAGCCTGCAGGACGGCGGCGGCGGCGGCTTCAGCCACGCACGTCTCCCCCCGGCCCCGCGTTCACCTCCCGCCGCCCCCCCGCTCACCCCCCGTCGCTTTCCCGTCCCCGTCCGGCGGCGCCGCCCGGCCGCCCTCCCGCCGCTGTCGTCCCGTGGGCAGCGGACGAGGCGGTTCGGTTTCGGTTTTGGTTCGGGTGTTTTTCTCTTTGCTTTGGGGGGTGTGGTTTCTCTTTAATCGTTTTTCTTGGTCTTTTTTTTGTTTTGTATTTTTTTGGCTGGTCGGGCCGTTCTGTCTCGGTTATTCTGTCGGGTCATTCATTGGCGCTTCGCTTTTTGCACCTTTTCGGTTGTTTACGTCGTTCACCATTGGTCGGTTGGTTCGTTGGTGTTTTTTTTTCCTCAGTGTTTCTTTGCGAGTTGCTATTTTTCGCTCGTTCCTTTTTTATTTTGCAGTCGGTTCATTCGCGGCGGCTCTTTTCGGTTCGTTTGCTTTTATTCACACATTTCTCCCCGGGGGGCACTCAGGGCGCAGTCCGCGCCAGCGCAGGGTTGTGCAGCACGAAGCGGCACAGCCCCGGCAGCCGGAGGTACCCCAAATTCTCTTGCAGCCGCTGCATCCCCCGGTTCCCTACGGCCGTGTGGCCATACATCGGGAAGCCGCGGCCGTGCGCCCGCCGGGCAGCTATGATCGTCAGCGCCCGCATCAGCCCGCGGCCCCGCTGGGAGGGCACCGTGTAGCCGTGCGCTCCGGATGCAAAGCCGTCGCTCAGCACCCAGCTCACGAGATCCCCGGCCGGGTCCTGAAGGCATAGGTAGGGGAACCGGCGCAGCAGCTCCCCCAGGTAGCGCCGGCTCCACGCGTTCCCCCCGTACGCCCATGTTGAGTCCAGCAGCTCCACGTGCGCAGGGCTCAGTGTGCCCAGCTGCAGGTCAGGGTCCAGCCTGCAAGGTGATGTTGGGTGCTGTGGGGAGGGGAATGGGACAGGAGCCAGGGGGTGAGTGGGGGTGGGGTTGGGGACATGGATGGGACGGGTTAGCATTAAGGTTATGGTTACACTTAGGGTTAAGGTTAGGATGGGGACATAGCCATGGATTGGAATGGGTCTGAGGCCTGACCATGGCTGGGGATGGGATGGAGCTGGGGACATGCGTGGGATGGAGCAGGGATGGGCTGGAGTTACCATTAGTTGCATTTAGGATTGGCATTAGAATGATGACATGACCACGGATGGGTGTGAGATGGGCTTGAATGGCTGCTGGATGGGATGGAGCAAGAATGAGCTTGGGAGAGGGTTGTGGACAGGAATGGGATGGGGTATAGGACAGGGACTGGAATGGAAACAGGACAAGGACACAGAAGGGAATGGGAACAGGGATGGAGACACAGAAGGAGATGGGGCTGAAGCTCACTGTGGCTCTGGTAGAGTGCTGGGGTTGGTGTGCAGGTAGGTGTAGTACTCAGTCACCTCCAGGTCTATGCCCTTGGCCAATGCAATGTCCTGGGACACCGTCAGCACTCCATCCTGCAGCCCTGGGGACGGCAGCGGCAAGGGCTCTGCTCCCCTGTGTTCCCACACTGCCCTCCATGCCCCACACATTCCCAGCACCACCCGTTCCTGACACAACCACCCCGGCTCCCATCGCTGCTCGTTCCTCCCGTGTTCCCATGGTTGTCCCCACAGCCACCGAAGATGTGGAAAGCGGAGTCCCAACGCAGGCAGCCCGGGCTCTCCAGCAGGGCGCGGTAGGCACCCACATCCCAGTAGAAGGCGCTGCACAGGTTCCTGTAGCTGTCATTCAGCGGCGCCTGTGGGGCGGGATGCTGAGCCCCCCCAACACGGGCACGGGCCCCTCCCTCCCCACAGCCCCTCCGGCCACCTCTCCTCTCTGCCGCGCCAGCACAGCACCGAAGTTGGGCCAGGCATCCACTGCCACCTCGAAGTCCCCAGGGTTGCCACGGTTGATGTTCAGCACAGCCCCGTACACCTGCAAAGCCCAGCACCGTGCAGCCCAGCTGTGGCAAAGATGGGCTGCCCTTGAGCAGGTGGCAGAGCTCAGGCAGGTTGGGGTTGGCTGGGGCAGGCTCATGGTGCTCGAGAATGGCCCAGCAGATGTGTGCCCCGGGGGTGTCAGGGAGGGAACGGGGTGGCCCACGACCCCCATGGTGGAGGGGCAGCTGTGGGTGACTCACCGGCAGGGCACGAGGCAGGCTGCTGCGCAGGGCGGCCTCCAGGCGCTGCAAATGGGCCGGGCATGTCAGGATCTGCATGGCCCTGCCAAGGAGTCAACGGTGAGGGGACCCCCGAGCACCCCATCCCTGTCCCCATTGCCGTTACTCACCTTGTGGCTGCGGGTCCCTGTGGGCTGTGGGCAAGCAGTGATGGTGGTGTGTCCCAAGGCTGCCAGTGGCCGTCACGGGTGGGCGACTGCCCTTTGGACAGAGTGTTTCTGGGGGTGGTGATGGGCAGGGTCCATCCTGCCAGGCGCAGGGCACGTGGCACCCCGCTGCCTCACATATCCTCAATCGGGATAGGGATCTGGGGGTCCCCATGCCCTCACTGTGATGTTGATGGGGACACCCATAGCCCTGCTGTGATGGTGACAGGGTTGGCCGTGAACTGAGCCCTGGTTGCCATGGGGGTCACCGGTCCCATCACCACCAGGTGGTACAGGGGTCCAAGTCCCATACCCTGGTGGCACGTTGGTCGGCCCCCAATCTCATCCGTGTCTACACGGCCCATTGATGCCCAGTCCTACCCTGGGTGTCTCTGCCCCTACTCAGGGCATTAAGAACCCCCCACCTCCACCCTGGCACGTGGCAGGCTTCTATGGGATGCCAAACCCCATCCTCAGTGGGGCTGTGGGGGCACAGAGGAAGCGGTGCCGACGGGCCCCTCCAGGCACAGCAGGGCCCACGCAGCCGTGTCCCTATGGGCAGCTCTTCAGGGCGCCTCTGCTGGGGGACACGGGCCAGGGGGCAGAGGCACTGGAGAAAGGCTTTTATTTGTTAATACAAGAATAGATCTTCTGCAATAAATACCCTAATAAATAACATCTCCAATAAATAAACACGCATAGACGCACCGAGACGGCGGCCCTGGGGCTCTGCCCCGGCCCCGCCCCCAGAACAAGCCACGCCCCCAGGGCCAGTGGGCGGGAGCCGCGGGTTGCTAGGCAGCGGTGGTGACGGGGGCGGAGCTTCGGGCACCCAGCTGTGCTCCTGGCGGGTGGGCGGGGCTTACTGCACTGGGGGCGGGGCCTATTCCTATGCAGGGGAGGGTTTGGTCCGTTCGTGGCGAAGCGGGGCTTACTGCTGCCGGGGGGCGGGCCAGGAGAGCGTGGCTCCCAGCCCTACAGGGTAATGGGCGGCACAGCGCGGCCACGGGGACGCCACGGTGTCACCACCCCTTGCGTCAGTGCACTGCGAGGTGATGGCAGGGTGGCACTGGCTGCAGTTGGGGGCAGGAGGCCGTCCCCCGAGGCACGGCAGGGTGATGAGACACCATGGGAACCCTCTGGGGCCGAGTGCCTGTCCCTTAAGGTACTGCGGGGCGATGTGGGGAGGTCTGTGGGTCTGCGAGCTCTGTCCCTCAGGATTTTGTGGTCAGGAGCCCCATTAAGGCACGGTGGTGACGGGGGGATGCCGGGTAGCTTTGGTGGCATTTTGGGATCAAGATCACCATCCCTTGAGACCTAGAGGTGATGGTGGGGACATGGAGTGGCTTCAGTGGCACTTTGGTGAAGTGGGAATCCCATCTGTCAAGGCACGGCAATATGATGGTACGTATTTAGGGTGGTTCTGATGGCCCTTTGGGACAGACAGACCATCTGTTAAGGCACAGTGGTGACGTGGGAAAGCTACGATGGCACTCTGGGATCAGAAGACCTGTCCCTTAATGAACAGTGGTGATGCTGGGGATGTGGGGTGGCTTTGATGACACTCCGGGGATAGAAAAGGCATGGCGTGGCTTTGGTGGCACTTCAGAGTCTGGAGCCCCACCTGTTAAATCAGTGGCGACAGTGGGGATGTGGAGTGGGTTTGGTGTCACTTTACGATGAGAAGACCTGTCCCTTAACACACAGTGGTGACGGAGGGGACTTGGAGTAGTTTTGGTGGCATTTTGGGATCGGGAACTCCATCTCTCAAGGCACAGTGAGGTGGTGAGGAATATGTGGGGTGACTTTGGTAGCACTCTGGGGTCAGGATCCCCATCTGTTAAGGCCAAGTGGTGATGGTGGCTTCGGTGGCACTAAAGCGATCCCCATCCATGAAGGCCAAGTGGTGACATGTGTGCGGCCACTGCTGTGGGGATGCCCTCAGCAGGGCGGGGGCCCTCAGAAGCCCCTGGCCTCGATGCGCAGTGTGACCACGGCTGGCGGCACCTTCTTCTTGAGGCGATTGAAGTCCTTGGCCGAGCGCCACAGCCACGTCTGCAGCTCCTTCAGCAGCCAGAAGTCATCCATCTTCTTCAGAAAGTCGTTGGGGGCTGCAGGGGTGCCAGAGGAGGGCGGGGGTCCGGCGGGGCCGGCGGGCAGCGGGTAGCCCAGGGAAGACATGACGCCGGCGATGCTGAGCACCAGGCCCTGCAGGCTGGAGCAGAAGTGGCCGAGGCGATGGCGCAGCTCCACCGTGCCCACCTGGCCGTCCAGGCCACGCAGATATTTCAGCAGGCGGCTGTAGGCCCGGTAGTTGGCTGCCAGGCGCGCATTGTCCGTCAGGCCCCGCCACAGGTCCAAGTCCACCGTGGCGCTGGGCACCCGCTCAGCCCGCGCCAGCCGCGGGGGGTTGAAGTCGGGCTCATTGAAGGGCGGGCCCAGGTAGTTCAGCTGCAAGGAGGGGAGGAGTTGACAGGGGGCCGACGTGTCCCCGGCACCCATGTCCCACACACCACCGGTCTCTGCGCCCAATGCCCAAGACACCCCAGGTCTCTGCGTCCCCCTGCACACCACGTCTCAAGTCTCCACGCCACCGTGTCTCCAGTCTCAGATCCCGCTGCCCATCACGTCCAAGGTCTCCAAGCCCTCCATGTCCCTAGTTCCCTGTGTGCACAACCACAGGTGTCCACAACCCAGGTCTCCATGTTCCCCAGGTAGGGTGCCCGATACCTCTCCTGTCTCCGTATTTCCCTGCACACCACATTCTCCTTTACAGAATTTTCCAGATCTCCACAACCTTCATGCCCCCAGTCCCCATGTCTCCCTGCATACAGTATACCCCATGTCCCAGACCTTTGTGTCCTCTACCTGGACGTGCCCACCGCGTCTCCCTGTCCCCATCTTACCCCTGGTTTCCACATTCCCCTGCCCACCATGTCCCTCAGTGCCATGCCCCCATGTCCCCACGTTCACCATGCTCCCCCACATCCCAGGTTTCCATATCCACATCCCCTACCTGGACATGTCACCTTGTCCCCACTGTCCCCCTGGTTTCCATGTCCCCAAGTTCATCATGTCCCTGAGCACCATGGAGGTCCCCAGTCTTCTATGCACCCATATTCCAGGTGTCTGCACCCACATCTCCCACCTGCCCACCGCCTCTATGCAGATGAGGCAACAAGGGGAGCTCAGCCAGAGCTCACCAGCAATGTGGAGACAGCAATTCCACCCTCACCATTCCCACAGCATGATCATCAGCAGCAAGGGGAGGCAGATCAGGGCAGAGACAGCAAAACCTCCACCTGGGCCGGTGCCACTGGCAGGCAAGGAGAGGTGGGGGGGAGGAGCCAGGGGTGTGAAGATGTTCACACCCTGTGCCAGGACCAGAGTCCAGGGCCTCCGGCACAGGGAGGCTCCCCTGGCCACTGCCCTTGTCTGATGAGGCATTTCCTTGGCCTCCAGCATGGGTGGAAACACGCAGTCTCATGTATACAGGTGTACTCCCACTTACATCCCAGTGCCGTGCCCTGGGGATGCTGGAGTCTCCCCAAGCTGGGGGGATGAGCAGTTTAAGGGAAGGGGCAGTGGTGAGCTACTCACATAAGTGCCGGCAAGGGTGCGGAGCTGGTGTTCCAGATAGCGGGTCAGGTCGTAGGTCTTCTGGATGGACTGGCCAGCACCCAGCTCCTCCGTGCCGTTCAGCGCGGGCACCGCCGGCAGATTGCAGAGTGCGGCACACAAAAAGGCAAAGATCCCCCAAGAGTCTCCTGTGGGGACAAGGCACCTCAGAGAGGACCCTCCTGACAAGGGGACCGGGGGCACCCCAGTGTGGTGCGATGGCACCAAGGGCGCTGAGGATGCAGCAGTGCTCCAGTAACACTCCACTGCCCACCCCACATCCCCTGGCTCCCCAGGGGGTGGAGACCCAGGGTTTGCCTGCGGCACCTCCTCCACCCATGTGGTGACTGGGGCCGCCCTGCCCTTGGGCGCTGGCACAGCACTCCTGGGACCTCAGGACTCTGTGCTGCCAGTGTGCTCATCACCACCCTGCATATGGGGAAACTGAGGCAGGGAAGGGCTGGGCATGGAGTGGCAGTGCTCAGCACCCAGCACAGAGAACAAAGAGCAGTGCAGCAGGAGCCTCAGGGACACCATGTCGTCCCCACCAGTGCCACCATGCCCATCCGGCATGGCCTCTACTCTGTGCACTGCCGACCATGGGCTGCAGAAACAATCCTTTATATGGTCTCAAGTGAGTGCTGCTTGCTGTGCTCCCGCCGGGACGCCCGGGTTATATTTGGGAACGCCGAGTCACCTACCACCAATGCCGAAGCAGGCTTGGTTGCCTTCCTAAGCACAGCACGCCGGGCGCCCTGCAGGGCTGCAACAGCACATCTCATCCTCGTCCCTATCCCCATCCCTGCCCTGCTGGGAGCCAGGGGCCAGGCAGGGCTGAAGGCAGCTGGGCACGGAGCAACCTTTACTGAGGCCTCTGCTGGGAAGACCTCAGCTCAGCATGGCACAGCCTGCAGTGGGCTCCCCAGGGAGGCAGGGGCGGCTGGGAGCCCTGCAGTGCCCTCGTGCGTCACCAGTCCCCGTCAATTGCTGCTGGGAGGCTTGGGAAGTGAGGAGCAGCCAAGTCCTGGTGACGCACGTGGGCCCACGGGGACATCCCGGCTGCGGCAGCACCAGCTCCAGTGCGTGGCACGCGTCCCGGCTTTGCCCACCCAGCACCGGGCTCACAGTGGCGCATGATGCCCTGCGGGCACGCAGTGCACACAGCGGGATGTGCGTCACGCACACGCGGCACAGCGTGTATGGAAGCACCATGGAGCAGTGAGCACCATGCAGGACGTCCCAGCCACGACGTGCCGCGCCGTGCGCACGACAGCACGCACGCTGGTGACCACACGGGTGCCACTCCGTGCCTGCGGCTGTGCCACGTGAAGCTGCCTGTGCACGACCGGTCTGCGGGTCCCGGGATGGTGAGCGTGGTGTGCGACGCTGTGTGCGTGCGAGTGAGCGTGTGAGCGTGGGCTACGGGCGGCAGGGGGGCCGCGTGGCGCTGACTCACCCGCCCCCGGGTGTTTGCTTTGGCTCGGCCCCGGTGCGTCCAAGCCCGGCACAGGCACTCACAGCCCCGCGCGGCGCAGCAGGGCTGGCCGGACCCTCACCCACCACCAGCTCGGGTTTCCAGAGTGGGATTTACACCCGGCCCCAGGCACCGCGTGGCCAAGGCAAACAGAGCTGGGGGGGCTGGGAAAGGGAAGGAGACGGAGCTGGTAGCTCCCGGGCATTGATGAGGATGTGGGCACTGGGGCGTGGATAATCAGAGCTGGGCGACGGTAGGAATCTGCAACCGCGGCGGTGGCAATGACCCGACCGTGGCGCAGCCCTGCTCACTCAGCGGTGGCCTCACGGCCCCGGATGGTTCCCACAGTGGCACAGTCACACTCCCCTGCCCGTCTCTCGGGTGGAAAATGACTCAGCACCAGCGCAAGGCAGCGGCCGCATTGCCCCTGTGCCAGAGGGAAGGAGGAGAGCAGCACAGCTGGATCCCAGTGATGTCAAGAGAAAGAGCCCAAGGGTTTCAAAACCGTCCCTGGAGCGGGGCCAGGATGCTCCCAGCCCACGTAAGCAAAGCACAGGGCAGCTCCGGGGCAGGTGGAGAGCTGAGGTGGCCCCCCTGGCAGCGCACGTCACCCCACACACACGTGCCGGACACTGAGGGGGCCAACAACAAGCGTCAGCAGGACAGCTCATCCGACAGTATCCCTGTGCGTCACAGCAGGGAACGTCACCCGTGGGTGGCCTTGGAGGCGCGGAACAGTGCAGAGCTGTGAGCCCCCCCCCACCAAGCAGACCCCCCATGAGCGACTGCTGCCATTGTGCAAGCTGAGCTGTTCCCCGGGCACGCAGTGGGCAGCGAGCTGCTGGGGTCAGGCGTGACCGCAAGCCGCAGGCGTCGCTTTCCCAAAAGCACTGAGCAAAGCAGAGTGTGGGCTGGGAAAAGGGGACCCCTGCCCCCTGAACCCAGGGAGCAGCTCTATCTGATGGGCTAGCGGCCAAGGGACAACAGAGCCCTGCACTGTGAGGTGGAACGGAGCTGGGATGTCCCAGCGTGAGCACGGCGCTGAGGAGTGGGGACCAAGCAGACAATGGCAGTGGCCTCGGCTGCCCCCAGCGTGGTTCTCCCCACACACTTTTGTGAGGATGGCGCTGACAGCAACACCTGCACCCTCCATCCCTGCAGTCCCCAAGTGCTGGCAGGAGAGAGGCACGCATTCTGCCCTCACTGCGCTTCGACAGTCCTCGAAGCAAGTGGGGAGCAGGGGGGGCCCCCAGACCAATCGCAGCCCCAGCCACAGGGCTCTGTGCCATGCCCCCGCCCCGCTGCTTACTGAGAGCAAAGCCGCATCCCTGATGGTGGCCAAGAATTGTGCAGGAGCACAGGGGTGCAGGGGGAGACCGGCTCCACACCCCCCTGGCCACGCATGTACTCGCAGCTCACACTGAATGTTTACATCCTGTCTCCTCCGAGTGTTTATAAATGCATCCGTGCATGGGAGACTCCAGCGAGGCCGTAATTAGCGGGGCCTGGATTTCCCATCTGGCCCCAGCCCGCGGCACTGTGTCACCCCCCTCCTGCCGGAGATGGGGGCTCAGCCCCTAATCCTGACCAGATCCCACACCTCGGCTGGCGCCCACCTGGATCCCAGCAGCACCAATGGTGGCAGAGCCCTGTGCGGCCCACCGGCACCCAGAGCCACCAGCACCCCATACCCGCACAGGCACTCAGTGTCCCTGCTGGCACCGCAGACGCCCAAACCCCTCCCGTGTCCCCAGCAGCGCCGAGGGCTGCGGAGCTGTGCTGGGAGCGGCAGCAGAGCCAGGGACAGCGCAGCGCCAGAGGCAGCCTGGCCCCTCTCCGGCCTGCAGCGGAAACGGCTTGCGGGGCCAAGAGCGGGGGGACCGGGGGCTCCCCTGCGGGCAGCACGAGGTGCATGGGGTCACCGTTAAGGAGGCAGGCGGATAGTCCCGGTGCCAGCCCGTGTGGCAACACAGATCCCCACGCACCCCCCACCCCCTGCCGCCTCTGGACGCGCTGCCATCGCTGCCAGCTTCCTCCGGCACCCTGTGCCAAGGGCACACCGGCAGAGGCAGGGCCGGCGGCTCCGGCGGGATCCCCGTGATCTGTGCCAGCCACACGTTCCCCAGCAGTGCCAGGTATGGGTGCACACCCGTCACCAGGGATACCCGGAGCCGGCAGGGCTGGCATGCCGGACATCCCAGATGTGCCAGCACAGGCACACCTCCACATCCCTGCTGGGATGGGTCCATCGGCACTCCGTGGGCGCCCAAGGGGCTGTGGAGTTGGGCTCACTCTTACGGCTCGAGGCAGGTGGGCACAGGGCAGGGGGTGATTTATGGTGCACCGTGCCACTTAGCAGGGCATAAATCTTCCCCGGCGCAACCCTGTAAGCAGAGCCCTCTGTATTTCCCTTCGGAGGCTGCTGGCGGGCTGGGGCTAATGCAGCCCAGATGTGTGCAGGACCGTGCCCTCACGCCGCCTGCTAACGAGGCGCAGGGACACCGCTTCCCGGCAGCAGCACAGCAGCCCTGAGCCGTGTCTCCGGGCTGTCACTGGGCTGCTCTCGGCCCCGACCGTGGCAGCAGCTCTTGGTGCCGCCGGCCGTGCTGTGAGCGCAGGCCACGGCCGGCAGCCTCCCGGTGCCACTGGTTTGCCACCATCTCCACCATGTCGGGCCAGGATCAGGGAGCAGCGGGAGACCCCTGGCTACCAGCCCCGCTTTTCCAGCTCCCCCCAAATGGCTCCGGCTCCACGGGAGCCAGAACAAAACGTGGCCTCGGCCTCGTGTGCCCAGCCCCGGGGACACCAGCACCCACAGTCTGACCTTTTAAGGGTTGTTTCCCAACTTTTTCCCCGTCCTTTCCGTGCCCGGCAGCCCCGCTGCCCTTGGCTCCCCATGGCCCCAGGGTAACAAAGCCTTCTGGTGGCCGGAGGGAGCTCCGCAGAGGGGGGGGATTTCCTGGCACCCTGAAAGCGGCCACCACGTCCCACTGGGTATTGCCCTCTGTGGTGCCCGCCTGCCCCACGAGTAAAACCCAAGCTTGGGGACTTTCCTTTTTCCTCCCCTCTGTCAGTCTCAGGTTTTAATTCTCCATGCTAAGCAGCGTTTCCCTGCCCGGTAATCACAAACATGCATGGAAAAGAGGCAACAAGAGAAAGGAGAAAAAAAAAAAAAGCCCCGAGAGCAGAGGGGGGAAAAGCCTTAAATCAATCCCGAAGCCAGACGGACGTTTGAATCAAACGGAGTTACAGTCGGCAGCAGTCGGCGCGGCGGACCCCCACCCCATGGCCCCGCTCTTACCTGGGGGCTCCCCAGCCACATTTAGCATAGTAGAGTCAGGGCGCGGGTCTGCAGGCGTGGGGAGCCCAGCAATGTGCTGCTGCAGCGCTCAGCCCCGCACCGATGGACACACGGCCGAGGTTGCTGCTCCGCTCTGCCCCGGCTCTCCTTTGGTTTTTTTTTTTCCTCTCTCCCTATTTGTTTTGGTTTGTGTTTGCTTGAGTGTTAGGTGGCAGAAGCAGTCTGGGCAGCGTGTTTTTGGTGTGTGAGTGTGTGCACGGTTCGCACCACGCTCCGGCTCCCTTGCTTGCTGCCTTTCCCCCTTCCACCTCCCTTGATTTGCTCTTTTGATTGGTGTCCAGGAATGCAAGAATAAAAAAAACGCGAGCTTGCATACACCCTCTCTCCAAGCTGCTGCCTCTCTTTTTTTTCTTTTTTTTTCTTCCCTCTTTTTTTTTTTTTTTTTTTCTCCTCTCTCTCTCTCGAAATTCAAGTGTTAAGCAGAACCAGGTTGCTTTCAAGAATGTATTTGATGCAATTGGACACAAGAACGGGCTCCATTCATTCCCCTCCTTCTCCCCGAGACTCCCCCAGGGCTCCCCAGGCATGCTGGGGAGGCTGTGGCCACAGCAGGCTCCCCCAAGGCAGGGAGCAAAGCCCAAGTACTGGGGGTCTGCGGTAGACGGGGTGAGGGGGGGGAGTGACTCCCTCTCCACATCACCCCCCCAGGTGCTGGCTGCCTCTTGCCTTTTGTTAGTGGCCGCGATAGGGAGCAGGACAGGGTGGCGGGCGGGGGGCTGCTTCCTACCTGCTCGGAAATCCATGGGGGCAACCCAGGGGGTGGCAGCAGCACGGGGTTGGGGGGGGATCCCGCCCTCCGTACTGGGGGTGCCGTGGGGCTGCTCGCGCCGGGTCCGAGCTCCACACTCCCATTTGTCGGCCCTGCTCCCCACGGGGGCCCGGGGCCGGCAGGCCAGGGGCTGCGGGCTGCCTGAGTGCTCTCACCGCCTCGGAGAGGGGATGGCTCACGAGGGGGGGCGGGGGGTGCCAGGCAAGGGAGGGGGGGAGGCGGAGAGAGGCGGTGGAGGGGTGGAAAGGCGGCAGGGAGGGCGGGAAATAGGGGGACGGGGCAGCGCGGCTGGACAGGCACGGCTACGCGGACCACCGGCATAACTCTGCTTTCTTCTGCTGGCAGCTCAGGGGCAGAGGCAGGTGAGCGAGCCCCGGGGCGGAGCCCCTCGGGAAGCACTAAGCAGCGGGGCCAGCAGGTGACTGCAGCCAAGGGCAGCACACACAGCCCGGCATTGCCCCGTGCACTAGGTGCCTTCCCGCTGCTCTCTCCCCCCACCCAGCATCTTCCCCGTGGGGCTGCCGGCTGCCAGCAGCCAGCGTGGAGGAGCAGCCCCAGGAAGGTGCAGCGCCGCTCTGGTTGCCACCGGCACGCAGCAAACAAGGGGGAATTTCATACTGGGGATGCGGGGCCGGCACCCCGGCGTGTACACGAAGCACTGGGTGCCAGGTGGAGATGCACGGCCAGGATGGACAGACAGAAGACAAGACCCTTGTGAATCACACACAGCAGTGCTGCTGCACGTCCCCTCTGCAGCAGGGCAATGCTTCGGCAGCCCCAGTGCTAAGGGGAATGTCCCCACCTCTGCCAGCCGCCCCAAAGCGTTAGGGAGTGCCCGGCAGGGCTGCAGCTGCAGGCACAAGCATGATACCGCTGCCCCTGCCCACGTGCCAGGGGATCCCAGGGACTCGCCCCACAGCATCGGGGAGCTGCTCACCTCCCCCTGGCCACCAGGACAGAGCTGCCTGCTGACACACTGTGCTCTGGCTGCGTGTTTTCCCCCTCAGCCTTCAGACCCCTGGAATGCAGGTTCAGGAGAGCCGTGCCCCTGCCCACGGCCACGGCACCGGCAGCCACTTCGCCCTCGCCTCCCACCGACGACCTTTTGCAGTACCAGGAAGGGTTCTGACCCCAAACACCCACAGCCCCGGATGCTGGGAGGCTCTCCATTGTGCGCTGAGGAAGGCAGCCGGCTCCAACTGGTGCACAGGGGAGCCCCGGCCCCCCCTGCATTGCGGACAACTGGTGGGGAGCTGCTAAGGGCCCAAAGGCCTCAGGGCCCCGTGGGTAGAGCAGGAGGAAGAGCAGCTGCGGCCCAGGGCACAGCACGGCTGACGGCACAGCGTGACCCACGGCGGCAGAGCCAGCCCACGGCACTCACCTACAGGCACTGCAGACAACTGAGGAGCCCTTCCGCGCCGGGTAGTAGGAAAGGCGCAGCACCGAAATTGGGCTGCGGGAAACCAGAGAGGCCCGGAGAAAGCCCCGCCTGAGGCGGAGGGCCTGAGGGGAAAACCGCGCCCGGGCCGGCGCTGCGCGGCACCCCACCGGGCCCACGAGTCCCCATCGCCTGAGGGGAGCGCACTCGGCCTCTCCCCGCCTCTGCTCCTCGAGGCCCCATTGGCTACGCGGCACGTCGCTCCGGCCACTCTCCAATCCGCGGTGGCGCCTGTGTTCCACCACCCAATAGCGAGCGGGCCGGCCGGAGAGGGCCCGCCCCCGAGCGCTCCGAGGGGCGGAGGGGGCAGGGCTGGGAGCGAGGCCCTGCCCCCGGTATCACGTGAGGCAATGCCCGCGGCTTGGACGCCGTCACGAGGCCGGGGCCACCAATGGGCCGCCGGCGGGGGCGGGAAGAAGGCGAGCTTCCGCCCAATGGGAGTGCGGCGGGCGCGGGAGTGGGGAAGGTGGCGGCGCAGCGCGGCAGTGAGGCGGGCGGGGGCTCCGCGGGGCCGGTGGGGGCGCAGGGGCGGGCGGGGCCGCGCAGGGCGCTGCCGGGGGGGCGCTGCGGGAGGCGGACGCGACCACCGAGCGTCGGGAGGGGGAGAGGCGGGGCCACCAGCCGGCCCCCCGAGGGGGTGGGGGGCGCGGCCTGGCGGGCCGGCCCTCCACGTGCTTTCCCCGCATCCCCGTCGCCATGAAGTGCGTCATCGAAGGCGGCAACTTGAAAGGTGGGATGGGGAGGCGGAGGGGCGCCGCGGGGTGCCGTCTGCCCCCATCTGACCCCCCCCCCCTCCACCCACAGCCCTCGGCCATGCCGTGCACGCGCTGTCCCGTGTCGGCGACCACCTCTACCTGGAGCCCTCTGACACTGGGGTATGGGCACAGGGGGATGCCGGGACGTGGCTGTGGCGCCCCCCGGTGCCCGGTGCCACCCCTTGTCCGTCCTCAGCTGTCCCTGCGTGCCGCCAGTGCCTCCCGCTCCGCCTTTGCCTCCTTTTTCTTCATGCCGCTATTCTTCCAGCGTTACGAGCCAGGCCCCCCCAGCACCCGCTGCAAGGTGCTGATGAAGGTGCAGACCCCCCCCAGGTCCCCCTACGTCTGTGCCTCCAGGAGGGACAGGCAGTGATGCTGTCCTTATCCCCAGTCCTTCCTGGGCGTGTTCCGCTCGCTGCCAACTCTGGACAAGTCGGTGGAGCGCTGCCTGGTGGTGCTGCGGCCCTGCGCTGGGCACCTGTTGTTACAGCTGCACTGCAAGCACGGTGAGGGGGAGGTGACAGCACTGGGGGGGTCACGGGGCTACAGCGGGGCTTAATGAGGCTGTCCTGCAGGTGTCACCCGCACCCACCAGCTGGCCTTCCAGGAGTGTGAGCGGCTGCAGGCCATCTTCGACACGCAGAGCTGCGCCAGCCGGCTGCGTGCTCCTGCACAGTGAGTGCCGGGGGATGTGGGGTGGGGGCCGCTGGGGGGGTCATGGTGCTGAGTGCCCTCACTGCAGGGTGCTGGCGGAGGCGGTGGTGCACTTCCCACAGACGCTGGCAGAGGTGACGCTGGGAGCTGCTGCTGGGGGCCGAATCAGGCTGCGCAGCCATCTGGAGGAGGGCAGTGGTGAGTGGGGATGGGGCACAGGGACAGGGAGGGGTCTGCTGGAGCTGGCGCTGACTGCTGCACTGCAGAGCCCGGCAAGGCCATGGTGACAGAGCTGTGGTTGGCGCCGGATGAGTTCCAGGAGGTGGCAGTGGTGCCCGGCTCCTGCATCACTTTCTGTCTCAAGGAGTTCAGGGTGAGTGTGACCGTGACCCTATGCCCCACATCCCGGTGGCCCCTCAGACCCACTAAGCCCCATCTCCCCCCAGGGGCTCCTGAGCTTCGCCGAGGCCTCCAGCCTGCCCCTCACCATCCACTATGATGAGCCCGGCAGGTAGGAGCCAACGCCACAGTGTCCCTCATTCACCCAGACCCATCCTTCAGGACTTCCCACAGTCCATGTGTGCCCCCAGGCCAGCCATCTTCAGCCTGGATGACTCCCTGATGGAGGCACACCTTGTCCTGGCCACCCTCCTGGACCCAGAGAGCGACTCGCAGCCACCCCCTGCCGCCAATGGGTAACGGCCATCAGACAGGATCAGAGTGAATGGCCCCATGCTGCCAGCAGTAGGGACTAGCGTACAGTCCTAATGCTGCCTGACATTTACTCACTCACTGTCCCCTCCAGCAGCGTCTCCCACCCACCTCCCCCCTCGGATGACTTTGCTGATGACCTTGAGACCTACATGGTGGCCTTGGAAAGTAGTGCCTGTGAAGGGGAGGCAGGGGCACCCCCCAGCCCCACCTTCTCCCTGCACACACCTTGCCCTGCAAAAAGTGACACTGAGGAGGAGGAGGATGGAGCTGTGCCAGGGACACCCCCTCACAAGAAGGTGTGGCATGGGCACTGACGGGGAGGGGGGGGGGGGTAGAGGACTGGCATGGACCTCTGACCCTATGTCTTTTCACTCCCCAAGTTCCGCTCGCTGTTTTTTGGTTCTGTGCTGACACCAAGGGGGCCTGGCCCAGCCCCCAGCCAGGAGGTATTGGCAGAGGACAGCGATGCTGAGTGCTGAGAGCCCCCATTCCGATGCCACAGCGCAGCAGCTGGCACTGTCTGGCCATGCAGGATAATCCCAAACCCACATCTTAAGACCCATTACAAGTTTATTCCCCAAAAAAGCCTCCTGCCCTGCCTCCACTGCCATCCAAGGGGCAGGTCCTGCCCCAGAGGGCGCATTTGGTATACAGTAGAAAGTGGCAGGGGGGACAGGATCTTACAAATAAAAAAACAAATGGAGAGAGGAGCAACCTGGTGCTGGGGCTGCTGGTGACGGGCACTCACTTCTTGGCTTTCGCAGAGTTGCGTGGCGGGGTGACAGGGCGGCCAGCGGGGTTCAGCCCACTGAACTGCCCATACTTGCCCTTGTTCTTGTCTGCCGGTTTCAGAATCTGCGGGGAAGAGGGTGAGCGGGGGGGCTGCGGGCAGAGCCCTGCATGCTGCCGCCTCCCCAGCAAAGCCCTGACTCACCTGGAAGGAACACATGAGAGTCTCATCCACGCTCATCATGGCGCCTGCGTTGTCAAACTCCCCGCAGTAGTTGGGTGCAGAGAAGAGGGTGACGAGCTGGCGCTTGGCAAAGAACTCGTAGCCATCCTCCACCACCTGCGGGGCGGCAGCACTCAGATCTCCCTGTGCCCCGTCCACGGGGCCCACAAACCCCCCCCAGGGGACAGCATCCCCCTCAAAAGAGCCCGACCACATCCTCAAGTGTAAATGTCCGCTCCTGGGAAAAACTCCACTGGTGTGGAGCCTGGGTGGGGCCTGAGCCCAGTACCTGGTGTGCCCGGCAGATGAGATCCAGGTCGTGCTTGTGCAGGAACTTGGCCACCACCTCAGCCCCAAAGGTGAAGGAGACACCGCGGTCGTTCTCGCCCCAGCCCTGCACATCCTTGTCAGGGTCAGACCAGAGCAGATCACACAGCAGGCCCTGGTCGGGCACGTCTGTGGGTCGCATGATGCGCCGGATCTGCTCCATCGACTGCAGGTCAGGGGACAGCCCTGCATGGGATAGGAGCATCAGGTTATGCTGTAGGGCAGCCTCTGGACCCAGGCAGCAGCCCCAGCCCCGTGCCCACCTCCGTGGCAGCAGAAGATCTTCTCATCCACAATGGCAGCAATGGGCAAGCAGTTGAAGCAGTCGGTGAAGGTCTTCCACAGCTTGATGTTGTATCGCCGCTTGCCTGTAAGGCAGCAGGGTGGGTGCTCACAGGAGCCCTTCCTGCGGGCTATGCTCCACCCTCTCCACCCCCCCATGTCCCACACTGCACACAGGGTGGCACTGAACCCTCCAGGGGGGTAGGAGGCCATGGAGGTGGCTGGGATGGGGGCATGAGGTCTGCAGGAGATGGAAGAGCTGCAGACAGGGACGGCAGTGGGGACTTCAGGCTGACTGCATGTATGGGGTTGGTACTGGGGTGAGAAGGCGGGGGCAGTCCTGTTTGTCAGCAGTGGGGTCGGTGTGGCACTCACACTCGTCATAGAAGCCATAGATGCGGTTGATGCTGGCACATTCATGGTTGCCACGCAGCAGGAAGAAGTTCTCAGGGTACTTGATCTTGTAGGCCAGCAGCAGGCAGATGGTCTCCAGCGACTGTTTGCCCCGGTCCACGTAGTCACCCAGAAACAGGTAGTTGCTCTCGGGGGGAAAGCCCCCGTACTCAAAGAGCCGCAGCAAGTCGTAGTACTGCCCGTGGATGTCACCTGTCAGAGGATCGCAGGGGACACACAGTGACGCTGGCACCCAGCCCACCCCCCTCCCGTCCCCCCCCGGCCTGCTGCTCACCACAGATCTTGAGGGGGGCTTCCAGCTCCAGCAGGATGGGCTGGCTCAGGAATATCTCCCGTGACTTCAGGCACAGCCCCCGGATCTCGTTCTCTGTCAGCTGTACGTTCTTCCCCGGCCGTGAGCCTTGCACTGTGCAGGGGTGGCCTTCAGCGAAACCCACTCCAGCCCCGGAGCTCCCGGAGACGGCTGTGTCCCAGCAGTCCCGCGTAGCCCCCAGGGCCCCCGGCCCTCTACAGCCCCCCGCTCACCCGCAGCCCTTCTCTTTCCCACAGCCTCCCGGATCCCTCAACAGCCCCCCCACGGCCCCCACCCCCCGGCTCCCCACAGTCCCCCGAGGCCCCACGGCCCCCCCGATCCCCCGCAGCTCCCCGGTGCCCCGCAGCCCCCATACTGCCATTGCTCCCCACGGCCCACGTTTCCCCGCGGGCCCCGGCTCTCACCCCCGCCCTCCAGCTCAGCGGCTGGAGGCAGAGCCCTCGCGGCACAACCCGGCCCTTCCCGCCTCTAGCCGCGCCCAAGGTCGTCTCGAAGCCCACCGCTCACCCTCCAGGAGGCGGCCGATGATGGAGTCGAGGTTGAGCTTCTCGGTGTCCGCCATGGCCGCCGGACGCTGCTTCCCCCCCGGCCCCGGCCCGCCCCGGCCCCGGCCCCGCAGCCATAGAGAGCGGCCGGGGCGAGCGGCGGGTGGGGAGGGCGCCCCCTGCCGGATCGGAGGCCGCGGAGGCGCGTCGTGGCTCCGCGCTCCCAAGGGGCGCTGCCGGGGCGGCCGCGCCGTGCCGTTCGTTGCCCGGAGGCCGTTGCTACCCTCGCGGCGCGGGGACGCGCGTGGGGAGCTCCGCGGGGACGCGTACCAGCGGTGCCACTTGCGCCACGGGCTCCACCTGCGTCACTTGTGCCATTTGTGCATCAGTGCCACTTGTGCCGCCATGCCGCTGCTGCAACCCCCCACGTGCCATGCGAGCCGTGCGGTGCCGCCAGACCCTGGCCCGGCGCCCGTGGTGACATTTCAGCCCCGCGGTGTCAGCTGCGCTGCTGTCCCCGACCGACCCCAGCAACTGTCCCTGGCTCCGGTGCCGGCTGCGTGCCCCGCTGCTCGTGTCCCGTGTCCCCAAATCCGTGCAGCCTCACATCCCGCTGTTGTCATATCCCCATGTCTCCGTGTCCCGTGTCCTCGAATCCAGCCGTCCCCAGCCGACATTCCTCAGCCGCCATGTCCCCTATTCTCAAATCCCCTGTTTCCCATATCCTTGCGTTCCCTTACCTCCATATCCTCCTATCCACCTGTTGCCACATCCCCATACCCTTGTCTCCACGTATCCTCATATTCCCAAATCCTCGCGTCCCCAAATTCCTGTAACCCCATAAACTTTTCTCCCCAGGCCTCCATGTGCCCCATCTCCATTTCCCCATACTTCTATGCCCCATATACTCGTGCCCCCGCATCCTCGCTTCCACGCCCCCATAGTTCCTTCACACCCCACACCCCTGAACCCCGCACATCCTCCGACCCCTCTCCCCCGCCTCCCCGCCCCGCCCTGCTCCCTCCCCCGGGGACGCCCCTCTGCCGCTGGAGGCGCCTTCGCCGCCGGTGCAGAACGGGCGAAGCTCCGCGGGCACCGCCGCCACAGCCGCCCTACAGCGACAGCGACCGCCGGTGGGTGCGGGCGGCGGCGGCACCACGCGTGTCAATGGGTGTTCGCGTGCGCTGTGCCACGCGTGTCCGGCGGTGAAATCGCGGGCAGCCGTCGCGCTAAGCCGAGGGACGTGCGGGGCGGCACCGCGCGGCGCCGGGGACGGGCGGGTGGAAGCCGGGGACAATAGCTCTCTGTGCCACTAAGCCGGGGCACGGGGCTACCCCACTGCCAGCGACCACGCGTGACTGCGGGCACGGCTCGTCCCCGCGGGGCCGCGTGGCCGCGCGTGCCTCGGTTTCCCTCCGAGCGCACCGTGGCACCGCGGGGCGGCTGACCGCGCCGGCCGCGTCCCGCTCACTGTAACCCCCCTCCCGTCTCTTGCAGCCCTCCGACGCCCGCGGCATGGTGAGTGGTGGCACGGGGCGTGAGGGCAGGGGGCCCCTTCCCCTTCTCGGCGGGGCTGGGTGGTGCCGGCGCTCCGTGTGGCAGCGCCGTGCCCACCGCCTCCGCGTGACCCTGCGGGGACAAGGGGACGCTTTGTCCGGGGGCTGGCACCGCTCCCGGGCACCCCGACACCACCGCCCCAGCGACGTCCCTTGGCTGCCCGATGCCCCCCCTGAACCTACGGCCCTCGTGCCCGTTGCGGTGCCCGTTGCGGTGCCAGCTCGGCCGTGCCCTGTGACAGCTCTCAGTGGACCAGCTGAGCGCGGAGCAGGCTCTGGGCATGAAGGAGCAGGAGTGGACCGGCCCCGAGGCGCTGTGCCCGGGCTGGCAGGAGGAGGAAGTGTCCGACGGCGAGGGACCCGAGAACAGCGAGCACCCCGACCCCACTGCCCATGCCTATGAGGTGCTGCAGCGCACCCTGCGCCTGGAGGGGATGCCCCTCACCGTAGACCGCACCGGCCAGCCGCGCTCTGGTATGGGTACGGGAGGCACTGGTATGGGTATGGGTGGCACTGGTATGGCTATGGGTGGCACAGGGTGGTGGGGTGCTGGGATAGGGCAGTACAGAGTCTTGGTGTGGCCTGGGGATGCAGTGCCAGGCTGGGATTGTGGTACAGCACCATGGTGCCAAGCTGGGGACACCAGGCTGCTAAGAGGTGGGTTGGCAGCAGGGCACAGTGCTGGTGTCTTGCCAGAAGAAAGTTTGTAGGACTTTCTTCTTTTCGCTCTGTTAGTGTGGCACACCTGGCCCAGCAGTTAAGCCAGCAGGAGGTGGTGCCTTCGTTGCCACGCAAAGCATTATCAACTTTGGCAGTGGCAGGTCCTTCAAGCTGCACCCTGAAAAAGACTGCTTGTCCCCTATCTGCTTATGTTTACAATCGTGAGCAGCAGTCCTGGAGCACGGTGGCACCCACCACTTGCCCCTCTAGATAATTAGCAGTTGTCAGTCTTATCACCGAAAAGGCCTCACGAAGCGAGCTTTGTGACAAAAAAAAAAAGTTTTGTGTTTCACAGCTGGGCTGGGGACTGTGGTGCCAGCTTGGGGTTGTGGTGCTGGGCTGGGGTCACAGTGCCGGGCTGAGGACACGGGCTGCTCACATGGGGTGGCAGCAGGTCCCATGCACCCTACCACTGCCTTGCTGCAGGATTTGGCCAGCTGGATATGACTGTGTGCATCCTGGGCTCCCCCACCGCCTTCCTGCCCATCTTGCTGGAGGGTGGCTCCCGCTGCCCAGGTGAGTATGGCCCTGTCCCCCAGGCCTGGCTGCCAACAGCCCCCCTGGTGTATGGGGACACAGCCACTGCTCATCCCGTGCCACCCACAGGTGCCATGGTGCTGTGCCTGGCACCTGCCTGGGCCAGCCGCGTACCCTCAGAGACATCACCAGGCGCGTGGTCCCTGCTGCTCTCCAGGGGGGTCTCCTTCGAGGCAGGGGGCTGCACTGCCCTGGAAGAATTTGTGCCTCCTCGGCGTGCTACCTACGTCACTGGCACCTTTGGGTCGGAGGGCAGTTGGGAGGGTGAGCTGGCCCGTGACCTTGATTGCCCTACTGGAGGCTCAGCACCACTGGCACGCTGGCTGGAGGATCCCCTGCTCTCTCGCTGGTTGCTGTCTGCCCGCGCCGGCCTGCCTGTGCCTCCCACCCTGGCCTTCACCACGGGGCTGTGGGAGACCCTGCCTGAGGAGCCCAAACCCCCCGGGGTGCGCCTGGTGAGGCTGCAGGACCCCCGTGGCCAGGAGAGCCTGGTGCAGGATGAGGTGGACGCCTTCCTGGAGGGCAGCACCATGCAGCCCTATGATCAGGTGGGGACAGCAGGGGGGACATGACACAATGTGGGGGAGGGGGGTGGCAGAGGGGAGGACAGGGTGGCACGATGCTCGGGTGGAGTGGGTTGGGATGACATGGGACAGGGTGACATGGTGCTGCATGGGACAGGGGCGGCAGGGCGGTACAGTCTGGTGGCATGGGGTAACATGGCACTGCAGGGGACAGGGTGGCATGCAGTGCTGTGAAAGGGTGGCACAGGGTGACACTGCACTGCACACAGGTGGCAGTGCGGCTATCAGGGTGGCGGTGGCGTGGAACGGACCCCCGCAGCACCCACAAGAAGGTGGAGGGCAAGGCAGTGGCACAGGCAGTGGCAGCCCTGCTGAAGGGCCTACGTGAGGAGGAGAGCGTCCTGCTGGAAGCCCTGGTGCCCACCGGCCGCCTGCCCACGCTGCCCCCACGTAAGACCCCCCTCGGGTACCCACCACTCAGGAAGGGCTTCTGGGGGCTCCCTCGTGTCCACTCGTGGGTGGGGGATGGCCACCTCGGCCTCAGTCCCTAAGGGTGGGGGGAACGTAACCTGCCCCTCCTGTCCCCTGGGCTGGGGGTGAGCATGGCACTGGGGGGGGACCGTCCTTGGCCATTCCCTGGGGCTGGGGCACCACAGGGTGAGCTGGGGGCTGCGGGTGGGATGCTGCTGTCCCTGCCCTGTCCCTCACCCCTCAGGCAGCGCAGCCCCGCGGCTGCCCGTGGCCCTGCGCATCTGCACCGTCGTCTGCCGGTCCTGGGGAGACCGGCCCCAGCTCTGCCAGGTACGGTCTGGGGACGGGGCTGGCGGGTACACACCTGTGCTTGGCATCCGAAGCCTCCACCCCCTTTCCTGCAGCCCCTCTCCTTGGGCCAGGTGTGGCCGGGGGTGGCTGCGAGCATCCCCTGCCCCGGGCTCTGGGTGCCAGCACAAGGCCCCATGAGTCCCAGTGTCCCAGGGGCTGGCAGCCCACATCCTTGCCTCAGGGACACCCACCTGCATCCCAGTGTCACCCTGTGTCCTCTTGGTGGCGTGTCCCCACAGGTGGCCTGTACTGTGGGGCGGGCAGAGGTGCCGGTGCGGCACGGTTCGCTGCTGCCCTTGGGCCTGGACTCCAGCCTGCGGCAGTGGGGCCTGGCAGATGCGGCACAGCGGCAGGCACTGGCAGGGCGGCTGCAGGAGGCCGCCGAAGCCAGCATGGCTGCCGTCCTAGCTGCGGAGGGCGAGCTGAGCCCCGCTCAGCGTGGTGGTGCCCGTGCCCGCACCGACGTCCTTGGTGAGCTCTTACCTCGGCCTGCTCCCTTGGAGGCAAGTGGGGCCGGTGGCCTTGTGGCACTGAGTGCTCTGTGTCCCCAAGGTGTGGATTTCCTGTTGGCGTGCGTGGATGACACCCTGGAATTGGTGGCCCTCTCTACCAACTGCCTGCGCTGCCTGGAGACGTGCCTGCTGGTTGAGGGCATGGGGCATGATGTGGGGCAGCCTGCCGGAGACGTGCCACGACTGCTGGCCGAGTGCCTGCTGCACCGGGCGCAGTGCCGCCTAGTTGAAGGCAAGGACATCCTGCTGATCGGGGCTGGAGGAGCCAGCAAGAGCTTCGTCTGGGAGGCAGCACGCGAGTACGGCCTGCGGGTGAGCAGATTGGGCCAACAGTAGGCTTCAGAGTGAACGCTGGGTGCTGTGGCTTTCAGTAGGCTTCAGAGTGAAAGCGAAGCTAGGGAATGACACCGGGAATGAACAAAGAGGACCTGTAATGGCTGGGGTCAGGGAAGCTAGGATAGAGACTGTGGGGACCTGGTTGTGGTGGGAATGGGAACAGAGATGGGTAGGGCTGAGGACAGCCTATTTATGTCGGAACTGCACTGGGGACAGGGATCTTAGGGCCAGGGATGAGGGCGCGGACGATCAGGAACTGGAAGGACGGGAACAGGCTGGGTACAGGGGCACCGGTACTGGCTGGAGACTGGGAATTAAAGATGGGGATGGGGAGACCAGGACTTGGTGGGGATGAGGACAGACTGGGGATGTGGGCAGGGCAGCAGGACCAGGGACAGAGATGATGGAGCCATCTGTAGGCTTCACAGTGAACGCTGGGTAGCGTTGCCATGGGGTGGGCACACTGTGTCCCACCACTCCGTGGTGCCACCAACTTGGTGCTGCAGATCCACCTGGTAGAGTCGGACCCCGAGCACTTTGCGGCTGGGCTGGTGGAGACCTTCCTGCCTTATGACAGCCGGGAGCACCGTCGGGACGAGGAGCACGCTGAGCACGTGCTGGAGATGCTGCGCGCCCGCGGGCTGCGGCCCGACGCCTGCCTCTCCTACTGGGATGACTGCGTGGTGCTGACAGCGCTGCTGTGCCAGCGGCTGGGCTTGCCCGGCTGCTCTCCCACCGCCATACGCCTGGCCAAGCAGAAGAGCCGTACCCACCAGCACCTGCAGCGCTGCCGCCATGGCCGCCCGCCTCCGGCCGCCTTCGCCGTGCCTTGCTGCCGGCTGCGCAGCCACGGCGACGTGGAGCAGGCGGCGGGCACCGTGCCCTTCCCCGCTGTGGCCAAGCTGGAGTTTGGGGCGGGGGCGGTGGGCGTGCGGCTGGTGGAGAGCGCCGGGCAGTGCCACGCGCACGCAGCCCAGCTGTGGCACGACCTGCGGGCCGACGCCGACCACCCGGGCATCGGGCTGGGCTGGGGCAACACCATGCTGCTGATGGAGTACGTGCCGGGCACCGAGCACGACGTCGACCTGGTGCTGTTCGAGGGCCGGCTGCTGGGCGCCTGGGTGTCGGACAACGGCCCCACGCGCCTCCCCACCTTCCTGGAGACGGCGGCCATACTGCCCTCCTGCCTGCCCGCTGACCGGCAGGCCCAGCTGGTGCGGGCAGCCCTGCGCTGCTGCCGGGCCTGTGGGCTACGGCACGGCGTCTTCAACGTGGAGCTGAAGCTGGGCCCTGCCGGGCCACGCCTGCTGGAGATCAACCCTCGCATGGGCGGCTTCTACCTGCGTGACTGGATCCGCGCCGTCTATGGGCCCGACCTGCTGCTGGCCGCCGTGCTGCTGGCGCTGGGCCTGCCGCCCGTGCTGCCCTCCCGGCCTTTGCCCCGCCAGCAGCTGGCGGGCATCATGTGCCTGGCGTCGGAGCACGGCCAGGCCCTGCGCGGCGGCGTCATGGAGGCCCTGCAGGGCATGCAGCGGCAAGGCCTGGTGCGCCTCAACCCGCTCTTTGAGGAGGCGGGCGGGCGCTACGAGGAGCCCTGCCTGAGCGTGGCCTGCACCGGGGACGGCCCCGCCGAGGCCTGTGGACGGCTGCTGGGGCTGTGCCAGGCGCTGGGCATCGACTCGCCCCAGTACCCCGTCAGTCATTTCCTCTCCCACTTCAAATAGCCACGGCGGGGCTGGGGATGCGAGGCCGGGGCCGGGCTTCGCGTCCCCCAGATCCCCCCCGGAGGCCCGCACCCCAATCTCAACCCCCCGCTCTCTCGGGGTTGGGCTGTGGGCTGTGGGCCTGTAGCAACACGGCGGCCCCACGACACCCAGCGTGGCCCTCGATGCAGCATGGGAGCTGCAGCAATGGGGAGAGCCTGCATAGCAGGCTGTAACAAAGCAGCCCATAGTAACAGGCAAACGTGAGGAGCCCCTCCTAAAACCACTGAGTGTGGGGAGATCCCGTTGTAACAGGTGAATATGAGGAAACGATGCAGTATGAGGGGAGCACACAGTAAGAGATGACCATCGTGAGACCCTGTGACAGAGGATAAATACTGGGAGATCCTACAAGAACACCTGTGTGAGGGGAGACCCCACAGCGATAGAACAGCACGGGGAGATCCCACAGTAACAGGCATACAGCAGAGATCCCCTGCAGAAGCGGGAGACCCTACAATAACAGGAGCGGGAGGCACCTGCACTGAGAACTGCGCGTGGGGATATCCCGTGAGAACACCCCGTTGCTGGGGAGACCCTACAGTAACAAACCTGACAGTGGCAAAGCAGCGTGGGGAGAATCTCCCCGTGTCTCACAATCCCAGGAGGATGCCACGTGATAACAGCGTGTCACAGCCACTGCCACCATCAACGGGGAAACGGCACCTACAAGTGGCAGCAAGAGACCCTACAATAACAGCAACCCTGCAGTGACACACGGCCCACGTGGCTGAAACCATACAGTAATAGCAGTGTTTGCAGCAGCCTGTGTAGTGCCTGAAGCCTTATAACAATAGACCACGTACTGCCTGAGACCCTGCAGTAACAGCAGCGACCCTGCAGTAACACAGCCCGCATAGTGCCTGAGACCCTGCAATAACATCACAGACCCCACAATAACACAGGAGTGCAGTAGCAGCCCGAGGCCCAGTTGGAGGTTCTTCTGGCGGTCGCCTCCAGTCCGACCCCCCAAGCACCTCACGACCCGTGGAAGTGGCACGATCCCAACCCGGGCCGGGGGAGCACCCCCAGAGCCACGTGCACCAATAAAGGCTGCAGAGCGCCAACTCAGTGCGTCAAGGCCCGTGTTTATTTCGGGGAGGTTCCCCTCCCAGCAATCCCCCCGCGGGGCTCCGTGCGCCAGCGCTGACATTTGGGGCCGACCCCTGCCCTTTGGGAGACACCCGAGACGGAGGGGCGCAGCCTGGCCTACGGGGCGTAGCAAAGACTGGAGTTGCTAGTGCTGGTGGGCGTGGCTCAGCCTGGGGGGCGTGGCGAAGTCTGGGGGCGTGGCGAAGTCTGGGGGCGGGGCCACGTGCTCGGACTCCACGTCCCGGAGTGCCCCGCGGCGGGGATCCCGAATCCCTCTGGTGATGCGACGCGGCCGTGACCGGGCGGGGCCCGCGGATTCGCTGCGGCTCCGCAATGGCGGGGGTGTTCGACATCGACCTGGAGACCGAGGAGGGAAGCGACGGGGAAGAGCCCGAGCTGGGCGCCGTGAGTCCACATGGGACGTGGGGACGTCGGGACCTGGGGGGGAGACGGCGCGGGGACGGCGTGGGGAGCTGATCGAGAGTGGGGATAAGGGGCTGGGACGTGGTGGGACTGGGGACAGGGGCACGAGGATGGCAGTCGGGGATCCTGACAGAGGTGACTACGACCTGGTGGGGGGGGGATAGGTGAGGAATACAGCTAGGAATACCAGGACTGGCTGGGGATGGGGCACTGGAGAGGGGACGTGGGGAACTGAGCCTGGTGGGAAGAGGGATGTGGGATAAGGACAGGGTAGGGATGGAGCAGAGTGGGGCTGTCTGGGCGTGGGATGGGGGCTCAGGAGTGGTGAGGAGCTCTGGGTCCTGGTGGGGATCAGAGGTGATGGGAGGGCTGGGATGCGATGTGGATGGGGACCAGGGACCTGGGCTAGGGATGGGAGGAAAGGCAGGACCTGTTCCAAGGATGAAGGACAGGGCTAAAGCCACCGTGCCGTGTGGCACTGATGCCATGTGCCCACAGGAGATGGAGTTGGAGCCCCGGGGGAACGGCCTGGAGTGAGTGTAGGGTGGCACTGAGGGGCGGCTCTGAGGGGGCCCCATCCCTACTCACCATCCCCACACCACCACCCCACAGGCCTGTGGGGCACTACGAGGAGATAGAGATCTCAGAGAGCAGCGTCAACAACGGCCCCGAGCACATTGGGCCTCACTGCTTCGAGCTGCTGCGTGTCCTGGGCAAGGGCAGCTATGGCAAGGTGCGAGGGCTTTGGGAAGGGGGGCTGCTCACGTGGTGAGGGTGTCAGGAAGTTTGCCCTCCCCCCCCCCCCCCCCCCATTCTGCAGGTCTTCCAGGTGCGCAAGGTACAGGGCACTAACACAGGGAAGATCTTTGCCATGAAGGTGCTGAAGAAGGTAGGAAGGTGCCATGGAGCGCTGCATCACTGTGGGACCCCCCCCATAATTGTATGATGCCCTCCCTTCACCATGTAACCCCCCTGTCCCAGGCCAAGATCGCCTGCAATGCCAAGGACACAGCGCACACACGAGCTGAGAGAAACATCCTGGAGACCATCAAACACCCCTTCATTGTTGACCTCATCTACGCCTTCCAGACGGGTGGCAAGCTCTACCTCATCCTGGAGTGCCTCAGTGGTATGGGGGAACGGGGGGGGCAAGCATGAAGGGGGCACAGCTCACGGCCCCCTGGCTGTTTGTTGCAGGTGGGGAGCTCTTCATGCAGCTGGAGCGTGAGGGTATCTTCCTGGAAGACACCGCCTGGTAAGGCCAGCACACGTCCCTGCGTATCCCCATGTGTCCCCATGTGTCCTCAGCCTGGAGGAGGGCACTGGGGGCCCCGACTGCTGCTCACCCCCTTCCACCGTGGCACAGCTTTTATCTCAGTGAGATCACACTGGCGCTGGGCCACCTGCACTCCAACGGCATCATCTACCGCGATCTCAAGCCAGAAAACATCATGCTCAACAGCCAGGGTGGGTACGGTGCTGGGGGGCCACTGTGCAGTGCCATTCTAGGGGCTGACCCCCTCCGGAACCCCCCCAGGTCACATCAAGTTGACGGACTTTGGTCTGTGCAAGGAGTCCATCCATGACGGAGCAGTCACCCACACCTTCTGCGGCACCATTGAGTACATGTAAGCAGGGGGAGAGGTGCCAGGGGGAGCCTGGGGGGACCACGCACTCAGGGCGTCCCTCCCGTTGCCCAAAGGGCCCCGGAGATCCTGGTGCACAGCGGGCACAACTGCGCAGTGGACTGGTGGAGCCTGGGTGCCGTGATGCACGACATGCTCACTGGATCGGCAAGTCACCCAGGGGGGGTTGAGGGAGGCACGTGGACAGCATGGAGGGCTCATTGTGGCCAACCCCCGCCTGGCAGCCCCCGTTCACAGCAGAGAACCGCAAGAAAACCATTGACAAGATCCTGAAGGGGAAGCTGGTGCTGCCACCCTACCTGACGCCCGATGCACGTGACCTGCTCAAGAAGGTGCCTCCACCTGCCCCCGATCCCATCACCCCGTGTGTGTGTGGAGGGGGACAGCTGGAACCCCTATTTCCTTTCTCTTGCAGTTCCTCAAGCGCAACCCCAGCCAGCGCGTTGGTGGGGGGCCGGGAGATGCAGCTGATGTGCAGGTAGGGGTTGGGGAGGGGTATAATGATGTTCCTCCACTCCCCCCACTTCTCAATATAACATTACTTCCCCTCCAGAAGCATCCCTTCTTCCGGCACATCAACTGGGAGGAGCTGCTGGCACGCCGCCTGGACCCTCCCTTCAAACCCTGCCTGGTACAGGGGGGACTCTGGGGGGCAATGGTTGAAGGGGGGGCTCAGAGGACAGCAGCCACGTTCGTTCCCCCACACAGCAGTCGGAGGAGGATGTTAGCCAGTTCGATGCCCGCTTCACACGCCAGACCCCCGTGGACAGCCCCGATGATGCCATCATCAGTGAGAGTGCCAACCAGGCCTTCCTGGTACGGGGTGGATGCACAGGGAGAGGTGTCCCGCTGCTCCCCCGCCCCACCCTTTGCCACTGCCTTCCTCCAGGGCTTCACCTACGTGGCCCCCTCAGTGCTGGAAAGTATCAAGGAGGGCTTCTCCTTTCAGCCTAAGGTGCGGAGCACACCCCGCCGCCTCAACAGCAGCCCCCACACCCCAGTCAGGTACCCGTGCCAGGTTTGGGGGGCACTACGGCAAAGCTGCTCCCCCCTCACCTCCCCGTCCGCCCTCTGCAGCCCGGTCAAGTTCTCCCCGTTCGAGCCCTTCAGATCTGCAGAGACCATGGAGCTGGGGCTGGAGGGCGGCACCCCGCCCGAGGCCACGGCCCCGCTGCCTATCGCCTCCGCCAAGAAGATGCGGTGGGGTCGGGGGCGGCCGCCCAGGTAGGGGTGTGGGAGGGAGAGGATTCGTGAAACGGTGCGCGTACCATTAAAGCATGGAGCAGTGCGGCTGCAGCGTACTGAGCTGGGGGGAGTTGCGCCCCGCCCTGCCCACCGCGCCGTGTCCGCCCGGAGGAGCGCTGAGCGCTTTATTGGGGCGGCGCCGTCACAGCGCGGTGCTGTCCGACGGCCGCGCGTCGCCCCACGCCGCCGTCCCCGCGAGGCTGTGCGCGTCGCCGGGCAGTGCGTGGGGCTGCTCCGCCGGGCGCTGCTCCTCTTCCTCCTCCTGCGGGGCCTCTTCCTCTCCGTCCTCCTCCTCCTCCTCCTCGCGGCGCTGCCGCTCCGCGCCCCACGGCATCAGCTCCTCCGCTTCCGGGGCTTCGTCCCCTTCCCCGCTGGGTTCGGCGGTGCTCTCCCGGCCCCGCAGCCGCCGCCATCGGCTCCGCAGCACGGCCAGGGCGCGACGCCCCGCGGGCCGGGGGTGGTAGCGGCCGTCCGAGAGACGGCAGAGGTGCCGCCAGGCCAAGGCCAGCCCCACGGCCAGACACAGCAGCAGCCCCAGCAGGGCTCCCACCGCCCGGTCGCTGCGGCTCACTGCGGGCTCCCCCGCTGCCGCCACACCCACCAGCAGCAGCGTGGCTGCGTGGCGCCAGGCGGTGTCCTGTGAGACGGGATGGGTCCTCGTCAATACCCGCAGTGCTCGGCCCTGTGACCCCCCAGACCCTGACCCCCAGCCCATTGGGCTGCCCCGAAGACCCGTGGGTTTTTCCCCTTCCCCCCAACGCAGCGTCTGCAGATGGGGAGTCGCATGGGAAGAAAGTGCAGCCCTCTGCTTCACTCCCCACCCCCAAATCTATAACGGGGTAACCGTGGCAGAGAGGATGCATGGGTCTGTGGGCACTTCAGAATCCCCCCTCCCTGGTACTCTCTGGGATGTTCCCATTCTCAGGGATGCCCCCACCCTGCTCTCTGACCCCTTCTTCCCCCCCACTCTGTTTTTGGGGTGCTCACCATCACCGAGTGCTGCTAGAGCAGGTCCTGTTGCTGCGGTGTGAGTGGTGCAGGGGGGCCCCCAGCACTTCCTGCCCCCCCGGCAGCGGATGTATCAATGCGGGGAGGAGGGGTGGGGGGGGAGGGTAACAGCGTCTGCACCTGCCATCCCTACCACCCGAAATGCACCCAGCAGCTGAGAAACCTACAGCAACGCATCAGCCTGGGTGAAGAGTGAGAGGGAGCGTGGCCCTGTGAACACCGACTGCTATTACTGCTGTGAAAGTTTGTGCCTGAGCCCCCAGCTATAGCTGCCGCCTCTTCCTATCCCCTACATCCCCACCGTGGGCTGGGGACATGCACAGACCCCCGCCCCCCCCCCCCACACACCTCATGACACTACAACAAAGCCCCCATTACCCTCACGCCCCCAGCCTGACCCAGCACCTTTATTATAAAGAGCTTTATTTGAAGTGAAAATATAGATTTGGACCCTGCCCTGGAGGGAGGGCAAAGGAGAAGGGGATCCCGTGGCTGTGCCACATGGTAAAGGGAGATGACCCTACCCAACCCCGCGGGCACGGGGGGTGCCAGGGGCTTTAGTGTTTGATCCCAAGGACCTCCCCACTAACACTTGCGGGCCACTGCGGGGCGACAGGGGGCAAAGTGGTCCACGATCCACAGGTG